CAAATAGCTTGTTAGTTCGAGCTATAAACAGAACAAGGTAAGAAGATATATCGTTAAGAGGGGCATACATACCTCAAGAGCGGAAGCGAAAGCGCTCATCAATATAGCAAAGAAAAGTAACGCGCCACGGCGATAGAAACTCTCAGTCGTTTCGTTAAGGTTATAGAAAACACTTCCAAGAACCAAGGACATGAAGAAATTGCCGATCAAACCTGACAAAGTTAACGACATGTCCCCACGCAACCGTTGGAAACCGCGGTGCACGCAGAGGCCAATCTGTTGGCTAACCGACAAGGTATATGGAGATTTCACTCGTCTGCCCAGGGTTAGAGAGTGATTGTATGGTACCGAGGGGAAGGGAGAGATGTAGGATGAATGCTTACTGGGACTTTGCTTGCTGTGCCTTGCGGGACTCGATAAATTTGTCCACAGACGGTCCTCCGACTGGGTATCGGGTCTCATAGTCTTCAATATCCCGCAGGAGTTTGGCATATGCCGCGCTGTTTTTCCAGGCCGCCTCAAATTCGTCGGGTGTTCTAGGTGTTCTGCCTTCGAAGCCCGGTCGGATAACATGCTCTACAGGGCTAGTCAAAGACGTTAAGAAATCCGCAGCTGTTTGTCTCTCGGGGCATTCGAAGCCCATATCCACGAAGAACTGCTTCGCCTCATCTGTTCGTCCGAAATAGATTTGACGGCCCTCATAAAGAACGGTAACTTTGTCAAAGTGCTACAAAAGCCGTTAGTCTGAGAAAAAGTGCAAAAAGGTCTACAGCCGATAGGAAATAGGGTAAATGCATATCATACATCATAAGCACTTTGAGAAGCCTGGTAGATTGCAACGCAAACAGTGGCTCCCATGTAATCCGTAGACAGACGTAGAGTCTTGCAGAATTCCAAAGCGTTTGCAGAATCCAACCCACGAGTACTGTTGTCCCAGCATTGCAAAGGTGCCTGACTTAGGCAAGCCTCTGCAATACTCACACGTTTGCGTTCTCCACCGCTGACACCCCGAATGAAATCGTTTCCGACATTTGTATTAATTGTATGGCTGAGGCCAAACGAAGCCATTACCACATCTCTCACGTGAGTAGCATATTGTTCGCGCGTAACTCCAGGGATTCGGTTTGCTGGAGCTCTTGCGCGGGCAGCAAAATCCAACGTTTGCCCGACAGTCAATTGAGGAAAATGAACATCGGTCTCCGCTGTATAGATAGCCTCGCCACGGAACTGCTTGTGCATTTGCTTGATTGGGATGCCTATAGTAGGATGAAGGTACGATCAGAAATGCAGGCTCGAAGTTTAAAAGGGCAACACTTTTGTAATCATACATACCTTGGTAGTTGATATATGAATCGTCACCGAGATAAATACCATTCATCTCGCCAGCAATCGTCTTCAGGAAGGTCGAACATCCACTATCAACTGTTAATTTCCACGACCAAAGAGAGAAGACATGTGAACCAAAAAATATATATATATTGCTTACCTTCCAGGTCTACCCAAGACGACGAGCATCTCTCCATCATTCACAAGACCGGCAAAATTCCGAAGAATCTGGATTCTATGCTTCCCCGTCCCTGTAACGGCACGGAAAAGGTTCCCGATTTCCAAGGGTGCGTTGGCCACATCCTTTTGATAGTCAGTGGGCTTTCCAAATCCATGTACGTTTAGATCCCTAAACGCAAACCCAGCGGTGCGGCGGGGATATCTGTCAGGATCTCTTGACTGCAAGGCTAGCAGGTTCTTCATCCATGCCTTTGCGTTGAAATTGGGGCTGTTAGGATCAAGTGTACCATCCTTTTCTGGGGCGATAAATGGGTTGTGAGGTTCCAACGACGAGATATTAGTGGACTGGCGAGTTAATTGTTTCGCAAGGCTTTGTATATCGTCCTCTCCCTTGGGCGTATCAATATCTCGCGCAGTCTCATCACTGCAAATGCTATCGTTGCGACCCCGCTTCGCCATTTTCACTGGCGATGCGGACTCGTATGCTGTTGTTAGCACGGTTGAAATGATTCGATCCTTTTTGAGGTTTTGGACGGCAGTCTGTTGTCGATTATGTGTGGGAATCCGTTAGATGTACAGAGTTAAGGCAGAGTAAGATATGTCTTGCGACTATGTGGGGAAGATATGGGCCCAGTTTAATTATATAGAAATAGTACAGGAATAAAGGGGAAAATAAAGTTCTAAAAAAGGAAAGACAAGAAAGGCCGACAGGATCTATAAAATCTAAAAGAAAGTAAAACATAAAAAGGGAAAGAAAAGTTTAACGAGAGATAAGAGGAAAAAAAGGGAGGAATATATATATATCTTCAGAGAAGTTAGGATGGCAGAAGAGTAGTAGGGGGGGGGGATCCAATCGGATGGCGGTAAAAGTCAGTCCCGGTTGGTCTCAGCGCCCCCAGACCCAGGGAAATTGGCCCAATCCTAGAGTTTCCTTTCTTTCCACGTTCGCGATGCTCGCGATTGATTTTCACCAGGCCAAAACGTGATATTTGTCAAATATATGCCACCGCTGAGTGCTCAATCGGTTTTACGGATCATGCTCGCTGGTACTCTCACCTCGGGATACCACTGGCGACCATGTATGAAGCCTACGTGACAAGGCGATGGCTGACAGCAGGGGGCAGGGGTGAACGCTGAGATGAGGGCCGGAGGAGACGAGAGCATCCGAGAGGTCCTGAACCTGTAGCTGTCATGTTTTGTTTCCGGCGTTTTTTTAATAAAAGTAAAAATAAAAATAAAAAATAAAAAAAAATTCAGTTTGTATTATTGGAAATCGGCTAGAGGTTGAAAATCTCCGTGAAACGTGGGACGAAATCGCTGGGAGCCGGTGTTGGACTAGCAACTACGCTGTAGTAGGATAAAGATAAAGCACTGGTTCCGGCCTCCAGGCAACAGTGAACACCACAAGGAATTGGTTTTATTTTCACGAGGCCTGGCAGAGCAAGAACCCGAAAGCCGGCCGGCCCGACTCGAAAGGACAGAGCTGAGTAATGATTATATTACCCACCATCAGCCAAAGGTTGTAGTTATCAATCGATCTAGGTGCATTTTTCCCTCCCCTGTTACATGTACTGTACAGTAACTACATCACGTATGTTCTCGGTAAAAATTGGGACGAAGAAGCACGCGCTTCATGTGCGTCTTTCGCGGGGGCTCCATGTCGACGGGAACTCTTGCTTGTCGATTATCTCACAGGCATATTATGAATTGGAATTGTTGTAGTTATATCGCCTTTGCGTCCCCTTGGAGATCTTTGGCATAGACGACCACGCATCCCTTGTGCACGCATATCTCATGTGCTTCTTCGGGGTGCTCGATGGGATGACGACATATTTCGACACGCAGGGCGGCGCCTGTGGTTTGTCTTCAAGCCTAAACTGATTTAAGCATAATCACTTGATGGTTTCGGGCCAAAGTCAGGCCGCTTGTTTCGAAAATACCTGCGACAAGTCTGGAATCGTAGTGCGGATGATACTGGGGTTTCGGCCAGACGGGATTCGGAAGAGGGAGCTGCTGAAGCTCCGAAAGACCCACAGCAGAGCGGAAGAAGCAGAAGAACTCTTTCCGAAGGGGTTTTTAGTAGTTGTAGCTTGCTGGAGATCTCTAAGAATAGGGTTGACACATAACCAACACTTGGGTATTAATTATCTTAGGAGCTGAAACTAGTTGTTGTGGTGGTTGGGTGGTTTGTGCGGCTTATGCATAAAGCTGACAGAAAGGGCAGTTAAGAATAATAATGAACATAATGCCGTGAAATTTTTATGCTCTGTTTCCAGAACAGAGCCGCCCCGCTCGCTTACGCAGCGGACAGAGTGGGTTCGCGGTTGCCAAGACGCCGGAGCGTGATTACTGGAGGAATTGCAATCTTCTACGACTTCACGCTACTACGATTCCGTCGGCGAGAGACCGTTGCAGCCTCGATGCTGGCTGACGAAGAGAGAGACGGGTTTAAATGGCCCCGAACTCCCCTGGCTCCAGCAATATTCGAGAACAAAACACCAAGCTCAGCAGAAATAAACTATGAGTAAAGTTTCTCTTCCGTGAACCAGCCGTCTGTGATGGATGTTGAAGTCTTGACTGTCAATTGGGTTACTGCTAATGTCTAGAAAATACCAGGATTGACCTCATAATGATTAGGATAGAGACAAAAGCCATACGGATGTGTTTTTGCACGACTTGCCGTAGAAATGACCGATACAGTACGACTGATGTCTCTCTGTTTACCTGCATATCAGCTCGGAATGTCTTATCCTATACTTGCTCCCGCTATGGGACGGGGTAGAAACGTGGGAGACACAGAGCGCTCGAGTGCTCCTGAAGCCGCCGAGTGACACAATGTAGTAGAATAATAAGACAAAAATGAATGCAAAAATGATCCTTCCTCGATGTATTTTACGCGACACCATTGATACAAGAAAGAAGAACATTCATGATTTACGTTGCTAACTGACCTGACCAGGCCAGCCAGTCGTAATTGCGTACTCCGTACTATTATTGGCTAGGACAATCCATGGCTGATGGCCGAAAATGCGAGCAACCCAATTGAGCTACTGCTCATCAATTTCATGATTTCATGATTTCAGCTCAGATATCAATCAGCATATGCTTACGCGCTGCGTAATGCACACCAAGGGTGCCGTTCCTCTTCAAACCATAATTAAATGGTCTGAACACCAGGATGACCGGTGAATAAAATTTAAATATGTAACTAAATCATCCTTCAGCCAGAATAATATCAATATCCATGGAATCCATGATGGAGGTCTTCAGTTTTGTTTGTTGGAGAAGAGCATGGGGCCACTTTTTACACTACATTAGTTACCTGCACACTGGCCTGAGAGACATCGTACTACTATCATTATTAAAACAGTTGAAGATAGCGAACAAACACCCATGATCTGAAGGATGCTGACTAGTTATTAGTCAGTGGCAAATTTATGTTATAGTTATATCTTGCATCATCCAACAATATCAAAAAAAAAAAAAAAAAAAAAGGATCCTGTAGGACGGTGGGGCAAAAGAGCTCGATCACCACCAGCTTTATAGACAGATCCTCTCTCACTCGACAAAATTCCCTCTCTTGAAAACATACCAACTGACCAAACCTTCATTTCCAGCTGGCGAGGTCTAATTCCTCATATCCTTCTCATCATCCCCCCGGGGGCCCCCCCCCCCCCCCCCCCCCCCAAAACCATTTTTTTGAATGTTGAATGTATGAACGAGGTTCAACTCAAGAAATACATGCGAATTAAATTTTTCTTTTCCCACTTCCAAGGCAGTGAGTGCTGTGACTGATAGTATAACTAATAAGAATCTCAAGTTCCAGCCAGACTTACAAACCCGCCCCAAAAGAAGGGAAAAGTTAAGAGAGAAGGAAGAAAAACAGCTGCTGTCCCCTCAAAACCAAAAATATAAATTTGAATCATCACTCTATAAAGAATGAAGCTGATACCGGGAGAAAAAATTAAGGAAAAGAAGAAGGAACCTTACTTTTTAGAAAATCTAGAGGGAAAAGGGAAAAAAGAAAAGGATCTTGAAAATTGGTAACTAAATGATTGAAGAGACCGGAAGGGAGGGAGGGAGGGATAAAAATAAAAAGATAAACTATTTCATGAGCTCTTTTTGATATCTCATAATCTTTTTCTTTTTTGTATAAGGATGGATAAGTTACCCGCCCATGACATGACACAACACACACACAGAGCCAGCCTTCTTCCCTCAATCAAATGCGACAAGGATATGCCACCAAAAAGCAACAAGCAAACAAAACTCACATGCACAGGAAAATATGGCATCCTGCCTTGCTTTTGTGCTGCTGCTGTTTAAAAGAACCCCTTCCCGGTCTCTCATAGCTAAATATTCCATCCAGTCCGTCCACACTTTTTTATTTTTCATCCCCGCGTATCGGTTCTTCGTCTCACTCTCTTTTCCTCCTTCCTCCGCTCCTTTATCATGACCACCATCAACCAACACCACGGTCGCCAAAACGAAGGCATAAAGGTCGAATATATCGTTATTTTCCTCCTTTTTTTTAATTTTAATTTTAATTTTAATTTTCCATTGTTTTTTAAGTGAGTCCAAATAAGGGAAAAAAAAAAAGAAAAAAAAAAAGAAAAAAGAAAAATATTAGGATCACTGCTCGTGCAATAATAGCGTAATGTGCCTAGGAAAGTGGCTGGCTTCGCTGCTACTAAAAACAGAGCATGTTAATGCGATAAACTGCAAAAAAGGGAGTGCTTCAACCTCATGCCAACTTTGATTGTCACAAGCGGTTTGGAGTGGGGGTGAGAGGCCACTGGTAGCCGGCTGCGTCGCTGAATTTATATCCAAAGGACGATGTGAAGTCATCCAGGACAGACGGGCCGCGAGATCCTTTAAAAGAAACCGAGAAGATCGAGTTAGCTGTCAAGTAAACACGACAAAGGAGGGGGGTTCATTTTTTGGGGGTGTAGTTGTTAGGGTGGGGTTAAGCTAACCATAGGGATACTCCATTGGCGTGATTTCAGTGTTCTCGTCTAGGTAGTGCAATAGTGGGGTAAAGATTCTCCAACTGGCGTCCAATTCATCGTCTCTTACGAAATTGGAGTGATCTCCCTTCAGAGCGTCTAGGATTAGAGATTCATACGCCTCTGGAATCTTCAGGTCTGAGAATCTTCGCCGGTATGTGAGATCCAGCTCTGTGACAACGGTTTGCATAGAAAGGCCAGGAAGTTTCGAGTTCATCTTGATGTAAACAGACTCGTTGGGTTGTACGCGGATAACAAGTTCGTTTCGCGGGATGTCTTTGAAGATACCCGAGGTGACGTCGCGGAATTGTATACGGATCTCTGTCTTTTGTTCGTTCAAGGCTAATATATCACCAGAAATTAATAACGAACGTGTGCCAGGATCCCAGAGAAGCTTCAGAACCAACCTTTACCCGCCTTCAGAATGAAGGGCACGCCGTCCCACCTCTCATTTTTAATGTATGCCACCATTGCGCAAAATGTGGCGCACCTTGAATCTTTTGGAACTGTGTCGTCTTCTTTATATGCGGGTTTGCTTCCATCGAGAGATTTTCCATATTGACCAATGATGACGTTTTTGGGTTCGATCGCATCAATTCCCCGCAGCACACGTACTTTCTCGTCTCGAATATCCTCAGCGGAAAACGAGATGGGTCGTTCCATTGCTAGAAGGGTTAGGACTTGCAGGAGGTCTAGAGCGATGAATTAGCAGGAAAATTTACGTAAAATGAAAATAATGATTCGTGCGAACTAACGGTTCTGCATAACATCGCGGATGATGCCAAATTCATCGAAATATCCTCCTCTGCCCTCCGTGCCGAACGGCTCTTTGAATGTGATCTAATATATGTTAGTCATACTGCGCCTCGGATCAATTTTAGGGGTCCAAAGGAAATCGTACCTGAACGTTATCGATATGATGGCGATTCCAGGTAGCCCCGAAAAACTCGTTACCAAATCGCAGAATTAAGATGTTCTTCACCATCTCTTTTCCAAGGTAATGATCAATGCGGAATATTTCGTCCTCCTTCCAATCGGGTTCCAGCGCCCTTTGTAATTCACGCGAGCTTCCTAGATCCTTTCCAAATGGTTTCTCTACCTATTTGAGTGAAGGCAGCATTAGCGCCTCATCCCATCCCAACAAACCCCATGTTCATGAAAAAGGGACGTACGATAATTCTCGCAATGCCATTGTTAGGATAGCAGTTCTTCTTTAGATGTTCGGAGACGGTTATGAAGACGCTGGGGGGGAGTGCCATATAAAAGACTCTGTTCTGTTCCTTCTGCCCCTTCTCGAGCTCCTCCAGGTGTTTGTTTAAGGCAACGAAGGAGTCATCCTGATCATATTGGCCCGAAATATACGTGCAAAGATCGCAGAACCCAGCAAGCTGATCCTCAACGTCTTTAGAGGGTACCTTGATATATGACCGTACCCTCCGGATGTATTCAGTGTGGTCCATCTTTGTTCGCGCATATCCGATGATTTTGATATCTTTCGGGAGGAATTTATTGCGGTACTGTAAAACGGCGGTTAATCCATGACTTCATGGTAATTCCTATACTTTACAGAGAACCGAGGGTTAATCCGCTTACCAGGCCAAACAAGGCGGGGAACTGCGATTTCGTTAGTATGAGCTGTGAGTGTCTGGCAGGTTAAGAAACTCACAGTTTTCTTTTTTGCCAGGTCCCCTGATGCACCAAGAACGACGATGACTGTGTCATCTTTCAATTCGATCGAGCTAATTGGGCAGAGAGAAATATGAAAATTAGTAAAATCAACTCCGAAAGAGTGGTAACAATGAAAGTCATGGAGGAATGAATGAACCAGAGGTAGACTAAGAGATGACGGAGATGCGAACAGGCCACGATAAGCTCTACTTGCTAAGTACAGCCCAGTGGTAGAAGACATGAAAGCCAAAATGCGCATCACTTGCTACCTCGTTGTCTGTGTTTTGGGCAGGATTTTCTGACAGGGCACAGCTCAGCTGGTAGAGACGGTCCTGTTCAACACAGAGATAACTTACGGAGCACCATGCCTGCCTGAAGAGTCGGCAAGCGAGCTGGCCATTGTGCAATTGGCCCAGGGTTTAAGGTGGGATGTGTCGGGGGGAGGAGGTGAGCTTCGAGTCCGACTCCAGAAGAAAATGTTGGCACGTACGACGGAGAGAAATGGCGCAAGGTTCCAAGATAAGACGCAAGATAGAGAAAGAAGGCAAGTCAAGACCACGACATGAGATGGAAGAGGAGTTTAAGATTGCGAAGGGAAAGAGAGCAAGAAGAATCCGAGTTGGAAAAGGCGGAAACGGAGGAAACGGAGGAAACGAGGACGGGTGGTTGTGGTTGTGGTTGGGGGAGACGATGTTGCGGATGTGCTGATGATGACACAGCCGCCAGCTCCTTTCGCGGAACAAAACTGCAGCAGTGCGGGAAAGGCGGCGGGACAGAGATCAAGGTCAACAAAAAGTGTTGAATCAGACTCAATGATAAATAATAATTAATGGTTTGAGGGCCAGTGTCTGTCTGGTGGGGGCGGGGGGGGGGCATGGCATGGCATTGGGTTTTAACTAAACAATCATGGAAATGACTACTACAACAGAGGCTGGCTTGGGTGGCGGCGCGAGCGACAGTTTAACTACTACAAGTGCCCAGCTGGTTACATCCAGCTTGCAAGCTCTCCAGAGTCTCCACGGGAAACGGATTGATGGGAAGACTTGGCTGAGTTACGGGCTGCCGTTCGCACCACAACCACTACGCAGTTACTTGTATTGTGTCACACCAGTGCCTGCGCCAATTGTCAGTCATGGCTGTGATATGTGATATTCTTATTTCTGCTTGCTCCTTTGTCAAGCCCGTGCCATTCGAAAGGCCAATCCGGATTTCGTTGGAGAGGGGAAGAATATTGCAGATGAGCTGTCCGAAGAAAGCCCCATATCAATCAAATTTTTATTACAGTAACTACTTAACTAACTAATAACTAAGTTACTTCGTAGTTACTTATTAGAAGGCAAGCGACAGAATTGCCAGTAGCAGCTCACCTGGATCCAGAAAAAGATGACAGCAGAGTACTTCTTTCGCTCAGGAACGAAGGCCCGAAGATCTTCGCTGAAGCATATCCTCAGAACTGAAACCGACCCGAGCTCTCCTTCAATCTATTCTCATGGTGGGGTTGAGAGGGACCAAGGAAAAAGCAAAGAATATTAACTTAGTTATCCCAGCGTTTGTTTGGCGTTGACTCGTTGAGCTCGCCCCCTCGCCTTCAAGTTAACTACCACTTAGCGGTCAAAAACGTCATGCATGGCAAATTTTTCGGCCAGCGTTTTATCCAAAAAAATTTGCGCTGGTTGCTCACCGAATGGTCTCCACTCCTGGCCCTAGCAGGAGACTCGCTAATAAATTAATCGCTGCAAATCCTCGTCGAAGCAAAACGGCTGCTTGATAATCTGTACGGAGTAGTTACAGATAAATCACACTATTCCCACCTTTGGTAATGCCAATTGGGCAAATTGTTATTAATGAGTGCCGTTACCCCACCGTTTGCATCGACTCTACTACTCTACTATATATACGCGTACATACCCTGAGGAAGGCTTGAATACATTCCTTGTTGAGCCAACACTAGATCTAAGCAAGCCTGTCTCAACGAGATAAGGGGAGCGAAGACGAGATCAAAATGGCTGTTTTCTTTTTATGGCCCCCCCTCCCGCTTGCTCTAAGAGGCCACGGTCAACTTCGGAGCACAGTGCTCCCCCAGCTTCGCAGACACCCTCGTATGTTTCCTTGTCGGACCAAAAAAAAAAAGTACATACAAAAGTGCAGACATTTGTTCTCCATCTCACCCTGAAGTGGTTCTACGGAGTGTTTATGTACCTGTCACAGTCATCATCCCCGCTGACGGCTGACCTGAGCTTATCATTATTCAGCTGGTTGGAGGCTGTGGAGAAGGGTGGTGAGCGAGCCAAAATATGCCAGCCAAAGAAGCCACAGGGCATGACTTCGATATCAATCTCATCGTGCAGGGGCCGCTATCGCTATGGTTTGCCATCCAACCAGAACGCGGCAAGGACCCATTTCCCAAAGCATTTCTCTGCTCCGGCAGCTGTTGGGAACTCTTTTTTTTTTTTTTTTTTTTTTTTTTTTTTTTTTTTTTTTTTTTTTTATCCCCTTCTCCCCCGGTTTTTTTTCGACTGAAAAGAGGAATTACCTCTACTATTCCATCAGTTTGCGCAGAACGCGTATCACATCTATCCCTAGAATTTTTTTTTCTAAGAGGTATAATTCAGGTCTCTGTACAGTGAGTATGTAACCATTCGTGCATGCAGCATCGGTAAGCTTCCAAAACGGCCGAATTTTCCGAACAGCAGAACCTCCGGAAGCAGAAATGGGTTTGGATGGATCTTGAAAGTAAACGTAACTCATAAACAATAAACATATGGAGAGAGATCAGAATATATTCCCACCCGGAGCCATTATTCGTACCCCGGAAAGCGTTGTGGAACCGTTTACGGCCTTTTTTTTTTTCCACACTTATTATTTAAACAACCTCAGAATAAATACTCCGTAGCTAGACGCAACATTATCAAAAATTTGTGTACAGTACATCTCGCATTTTCCCTAAGTATGTGGTTGGATAGCAACACCCTTATCCTCCTCCAAACCAATCCTTGACGCTTCATTGAACTCTACAAACAAGGGACAAAATTTACCATTGCTGTATACATCCATCAGGGAAACATTTTATTAATTTCCTCTTTTTGTTCAACTTGAACAAACCCTCAATCAACAACAAAGCTTTTTTCTTCTTGTTTTTTTCTTCTTCTTTTTTTACCTCCCCAAAAACAGCCTCGGCCCAGCTTAACCGGAAAACAGTTTCTGGGCACAACCTTGACCTACGCAGTAGGTTGCGAGTTGTGACAGACGAAATATATTTGGCTATTATTATTATTATTATTATTATATTAACTACCCCCACGGACCTGAACGACTCCAGCTTCTGGTTATTTGCCTGTTTTAGGCAAGTCACCTCCGTTGGTTTTCTAGAAAATCCACAGTGGAGATCCCCCGACTCGACTCCATTTATACTGTCACGCAATCAATCATTATTCTTTATTCCTCAGAAACCGAGCTTGAGCTCTGAAATAGGACAATCAATCTAGCACCGATAGACGCAGAGAGCTGCCATGCCACGTCTTGATATATCAGAGCCAGTTATCGGGTCTGGGTACCTTTTTCCATATAAAAATGAAACACGCCGACACATGGTATTAACTTTCTAGGGGATTGCTTCGAAGGAGACGACGCTTATAAGGTCACTATTTCGTGGTATCGCCCATTGATCTTGAAGATGGCTGTTAACTTACCTGAGACTAGTAGACTGTGAGGAGGCTTGGCCATAGATATCTTTAGTTAGAGCCATAGATATCCTCTGTAGAGTCTCTAAATTTAGGCATGATAGTGTTAGCTGATATGGACGTATCAAAATGACACCAGAAGGGAAATTGTTCATCTTCATATCATCTCATCTTCTTTTACTGTCCTCCTCACAGGTGCATTTCAAGGAGAATTGCTCTATAATGCTGAGAGCGAGGCTTCAGGCCGCTTAACCAATGTGATGTTTCTGTCACGCTTGGGCAGATAAAAAGAAGTCATCATGCGCCCGGAATGGCAAGTATGTTGCGCTTGGCGAACAACAATGATAGTGAGAGAGAAGAGCTGAGGTGAGGGGCTCAGGTGATGTTTCCAGAAAACGAGTTCAAAACACATCCCAGGATGTCTGCCATTGTCTGTATGTAAAATACCTGCTGCATGCTTCTGTGACCAGACAAAACAAAACGTAGGAGCGGATGACTCCCCCACACATCGAAGTTCCAGTACTGTGGATGAATCATAGCATATACCAAGACCTGCTTGTGAAGTTCAACTGCTATAACTCAATGGAAAACGAGGAAATTGGTAGAAAGTGACAATCCGATGTGAAGAGGTTAAAACGCCCAGTACTGCCTTCCAGTGCGGCCCGCAAATAAGGGAATCATGTGCGAGATCTCACACGAATATATTTCTGGAACTTTGCAAATGGGGTTTGCTTATCAGGCTTCATTTTCAGACTTTCGGGGAACTGACTTAGATCCTGCTCTATAGGTTCGGGATGGTCATTCGTTTATGCCTCGTTGAGGTCGTTTAACGTTCCCACGTGTTACCAGAAGTGAACCTAGGATATACCAGGAAGTCTGGTTAGACTTGACGGAGCTGTCCCTCCCGATGGAAGAGCGAACCGCGGCACTTGCGTCTAATCTGTTTGTTGGTTTTATGCGCAGTCTTCGTTCACCGCGGAAACGAAGGTATGTACCGTGATACCGATGCAGGTGTTGAAAGTTTCGGGCACGCGTTTCTGGGGGTTCGACGGCCAATTAGATATTGTACCGAAATCGGAATAAGCAGAGGCAACTATCATTACCTACCTGCGAAAGAGAGCCTTGATTCCTTCCGAAAACAATTACTCAAAATCAGGTCTAGCTAGTCCTCTGTGATAGGGCTTTCTATGATTCGGTACTAGAAACACAATAGTAGTTAGAAGCGCCAAAATTCTATGTCGGAAGGGCGCCACGCACACCCCGGTCGCTTGGAAACGAAATGTTGGAGGTATATTTATTGGGTTTTCGAGCGTCTCGGGAATGATCTTCGCCTGCCTGCTAACCCCGGGGTCCGTGCAACAGGGTCGGAGCAAAGAGTAAGGTGTTCCAGAGCCTGGAAACACACGTAAAAGGAAGTCCCTGATCTATTCGATGTGTCATGCAAATGTTGGTTTAGGCTGAGATGCGCATGCAGTGGTTCGCAATAAGTAGTCCAGACCGCTTCTGTCCGACGGCTCAACGAAACGGGTATCGGCACATAGGGAGGGCACTTAGAATTTCTGAAATTGCCGTTGCTATCCCTTACCATGAATTTCAAGGTTGTGGGGAGGGGGGTGCGATCCTTAAGCATCCTACGATTTGCGTCTCAGCCAACCATTTGTGCCGTGATCGACAACTATTTCTTTCCGCGACAGGATTCGGGTTCGCAATATGAGTCTGAAATCTGGACTGTTTGTAACTTGCTGTCGGGATCCTCTGCGAGAGCGGGGTTGGGTGAGCTGAAGTATGGAGCTGGCACCGGAGTTAAGAAGTCGTACTTGAGAGTCCAGCTTTTTTAATTCCGGCCATCAGCGTCGACGTTTGCCTAGGCGTCAGTGAACCTGTAACCGAAAGTCTGAGTTTAAACTCCGGCGACTAAAAGATGAAGTGTCCCGAGCATGGGCAATGTGATTATGATGAATGATGGAAACAAGAATCGCCTTATGCGCAAAAGAATCTCCCACCTGAATAGGGGGTGAAAGAATCCGGTTGTCGCTGCGGCGAAGCGCGGTTCCTATATCATATTTTCTATTTTAGCACTCCCTTCATCCAGCCACAGCGTGCTCCACACGTGGGAAAGCCACCAATAAAAGTTCACAGATCGGAATTCGTCGCGTGGTTTGAAGGTTCTAAGGAACAAGAACAAAACACAAAATATGCAGGCGCTTTGACCATGGAGGAGGTGCCGAAAAATGACAACGTATCAAAAAAAAAAAATTATATATACGTAGTATAATAATTCATTCTCCCCCTCAGCACCCAGTATCAAAAGGGAGTTGAGGAGGTTTTTCCTCAATCTGGCCAATCGGATACACGACGACGGCGTAAGCTTTGGTTGCAACCTCGGCAACTGAAGGTCTTGCCATCGCCAATTTGTGAGCAGATACACTTAATATTTATTGTAGAGGGTTGTTTAACTTCTTTAGCCCGGATTGTAGCCACTAGTTATCAAAAATTGATCGTACCCAGAAAGCTAGCCAGGCTAAGCTTTTATGACATCTACTTTCCCTTCTCTAACCACGCAGCTGGAAACAGGTAAACAAACAATAATGTCCGGCCATGACGTTAAACCGGCCCTATCCTCGACTCGGGCGTTAGGGAATCGCTTTAGGTTAGCTCCCACCAAATAGTTTTCGTATTTACGATGGGGCAAAGTCGGAAAACCGAGTTGCCGAGTGGATTCGATCAATAAGCAAGGACATCTAGAATTTCCAAGTTGGCTGCCGAGGGCTGGGAACTGGGGTCGGTCCCCCGTCTTTTGCCGCCCTTTTTGCCGTTCACCCAACACATTTACTCATATTCTTCGGCGCACCCAAGCTCCTGTGGAATGGGGTTCTGAATTTTCTTTTTCTGTCTTCGATTTTCCTGCCTTTTCGTGGTATGTCGCTCTGGTCTTGCTTATCCTGTGCAGGGGGCGTTTGTGATATAGGACAATCTTTCCGCCCTATATAACTGTTTCCAAATTTGGAACCGAGAGACCGTGAAACGCTTTTTTGGGACTGCTTTTTCAGTTCTTGCATTTCCTGTTCGTTCGCCGTTGACATTAGCATATCCACTATCCACATTATAATTACTAGTTAATTCAAAAAATCTCTTTACGCTAGTTGATTGCTGTATATGAGTTGTTGTTGCAGACGGAGTCTTGAAAGATCTCTTTGCATCCAGTGCGAAAAACATGGGCGTTCCCGACGAAGATCACACACACGATTGTTCTTCCACGATACAGGCAGGCCATAGCCCGATCATGGAAAAAGATTTTGATTGCGGAAAGCCTGCTGGAATGGGAATTCTCAACACAAAGGGAAGTGGGACAGAGAGTGGTAACCAGGAGCAGGACGAATTTGAATCAGATAGCCAAGCAAGTCCGAGAACAGAGGAAAATGATTCAACGACAGCTGCTACGGCCGATGATCGTCCGCCGCAGAGTGAGAAAATGACCAAGAAGCAGATATTTGTGGTCATGTTTGCGCTATGTGTGAGTGGATTTAAACAAGCCTCCCCGAAATTCCCTCAGAGGCCAGTTTCATTTTCTATCTCTGATAAGAAGTGGAAAATGGCGGATATAAGATTTCGGAGAGCTAACGCATATTTCGCATATATAAAACTAGATCGCTCTATTTCTCGCAGCTCTTGACATGGTGAGCCATCATCTTTCCCCCCTTTTCCGCGCGTGTAGATATTAACTCTACAATAGTCAATTATAGCCACCGCGCTCCCCACAATCGCCAGCCAGTTCAACGCATCTGAAAGCGGCTATTCATGGATGGCCTCATCCTACCTCCTGGGGAATGCCGCAGTCATTCCTCTCTGGGGGAAACTGAGTGACATATGGGGCCGCAAGCCTATCATTGTCTTCGCAAACGTTCTATTTCTGCTTTCGAGTCTGATGTGCGCTCTAGCGCCGAATACAGCAACACTGATTGCGGGAAGAACCATTCAAGGAGTCGGCGGCGGCGGTCTGGTTCTGCTCGGACAGATTTGCGTGGGTGATTTGTTTAGTCAAAGGTGTGTAGGTGTGCAAACATTTCAATTGATGATTTTCAATCCTTCGATTTTTCTCCTAGTTATATTCAACCCCATTTCAATGCTTCGTTGTTCTAAAAAAAATGAAATAAGCCGTTTGCTGAACTGCAAATCTGTGAAATTGATAGAGATCGTCCAATATATTATGCCATGTTCGGCATGACGTGGGCTATCGCAGGCTCCCTGGGTCCCGTTGTGGGAGGCATATTTACTGAGAAGGTGACATGGAGATGGTGTTTCTATATCAACCGTCAGTAACCCAATCCACATTTGTAACCTTTCGAGTACTTAACATTATTTCCCTCGACAGTCCCATTCGGCGGCGTGGCCCTTGCAACCCTCATCATATGGCTCAAAATCGAAACGCCCAAAACCCCTCTAATCGCCGGTCTGCGCACAATTGACTGGCTGGGCACCATAGTCGTTATCGGTGGAACACTAATGTTCCTCCTCGGCCTCGAATTCGGCGGGGTAGCTAACCCCTGGAATTCCGCAACGGTGATTTGCCTCATAGTTTTCGGCGCCATCACCCTGGGAATTTTTGTCATCATCGAACGCAAAGTGGCCAAGTACCCCATCCTGCCAATGTCCCTGTTCGCAGACTCGAGTAATGTCTTCACCCTATTAGTAAACTGGTCGCACGCGTCGAACTTCATCGCCGGCGCGTTTTTCCTCCCACTATACTTCCAAACGGTCCTCGGCACGTCCCCCATCATGAGTGGTGTCTATATTCTGCCTCAGGCAGTCTCTCTATCCGTCGTTTCCTTTATCATCGGCTTCATCATCCGCAAGACGGGCACATATGTCGAATATATCAGATTGGGTATGCTCGTCATGACGCTGGGTACTGGATTATACATCGATTTTAAACCATACACATCGTTTCCAAGGCTGATTATATACCAAACCATTGCCGGAATTGGAACTGGTCCGAATTTCCAAGCTCCCTTGCTAGCTCTGCAATCGCGAGTCCCCCAATCGGAAGTATCAACCGCGACTTCAACGCATTCATTTATCAGACAGCTCTCGACTGCCTCCTCTGTTGTGCTGGGTGGAGTGGTTTATCAGAACGTCCTCAAACAATCCGCCTCAAAGCTACTGGCTGCACTCGGCCCAGAGCTCGCGGAGTCATTTCTTGGAAATTTCGCCGGTCCACGAGCGGAGAGTCTAGCGGCATTAACGCAGGCGCAGCGAGATACCGTGTTGGATATATATAACGTCGCATTTAGCCGTGTATGGATTTTCTATACTGCTATTGGTGCAGTCGGCTGCGTATTCAGCTTTTTCATCCGGAAGAAGGAACTTAGTCGGGATCACGAAATTACCAAGACGGGGCTAGAAGCGCAGGAGCTTGCCAGACAGGCCCGTATCACTGCGAAACGTGAGAGAAAGGAGAAGAAGCTGCAAGACAAGGCCGCGAATGGGAACGGGAACGGGGACGGCGCAATGAAAGAGCCTGTTTAGATTGTGATATTTTTTAGTGTGGAATCCCCTACCTTTCTTGTTCATTTGATTTTACTGTCTTGTTGTATATAGTATACCCCGTCCTGCATTTTTGTATGTATGTCCCTGTCCAAAAGTATAATTTGAACATAGAGCTCTGTGCTTTTATCTGGCCTTCACCTATATAGTTTTAGTAACTATATAGATAATTGAAGAAAAGACAACGATATCAACACAAAACTGCTCTCATTGAATCATAGGATGATGTTTGTCAGAAGTGACAATTTCTATTTCTGTTCTTTGTCGTGCTGATGCCAACGTCCATTTTGGTCCCGGATTCGGGCAATCTCACTGTTCCGGAGCCTCAGGGAGCGGGGATGCAGCAAAGAGCCTCATATTTATGCCTCAAGCTGATTGAAATTGTTTTTTGCTCTCTTCACTACCAGAGTCCAGACTTCAGCCATGGCATCGTTATTGACTACTCAGGAGGCAATACTCTAAAATTAACATTTTAGTCAAGGTTAAGCACGTGTTTTACCTGATATCCTCTGTCTCTATCGGGCCCTTTCCCTTTATACCCCTGATCTAAGGTAGGAAATTTCATTCAATCATTGGTATGGTATATGAAAGGAGCCCAAAATGGATAATCCGAAAAAAAAGAATAGAAAAAGAAAAAGAAAAAGAAGAGAAGAGAAAGGAAAGAGAAAAAAAAAAAGAAAGGCAGATAAATTGCGTCGCGAAAAGAACCGGACCAAATATCTAGTTATTACAGTTATTAGGGATGTAGAAAACGGTTGTGCACTTAGCCTATGTAATAGGTCATCTCTGACGTCTCATTCGCGAAGGCGTAAACATTCTACATCGTCGCAAAGGACATGTTAGAGTTCAGTAAAATACACGGAGGAAGTTTAATGGCAATCGCACACGGGAAAAATGAAAAATGAAGCACTAACCAGTTAAAAACTCCTCAAAACCCAGTGTAATATATCCATCCCTATCATCATCATACCTCTTAAACACATCCGTCATACGTTTGAGCGTGATGCACGCTTGCACAAATAGATCAAAGCTCATCCCGTCCTTCTGCCCGGGTATGGGCGTCCCCTTGTTCCTCGCCCTATTCTCAAATATCGAAAATATCATCCCCACAAACGGCGGACTAAGCGTATACCCAAACGCGATCAGCGCCTTGCTAAACTCCGCCAGGCTAATCCGGCCGCTACGATCCTCATCGAAGCGCTCAAAGAGCTCCCGCCAGGCGGCCAGGAACCGCCACAGGGCAACGAACTCGTCGAACCCTACGCTGCCAGACCCGTCCTTGTCGAACATACGGATCATCATTTTTACCGTGTACGCGTCGAAGGAGGTATAGTCTGCATTTACTAGGGCGGACCCCAGTTCTGTTTCAGATAGGGCGCCTGAGTTGGACGCATTGGCGGCGCGGAAGAGAGGGAAGAGTTCCTTGGGGTCGTCAGATTGTGGTAAGCCAGGCCCCGAAGGTTGAGGGCTTCGTGGCGGGCCGCATGTTGGGGTGGGCCGGTTCTGGGCCGGGTGCGCAGGAGGAGGCCCAAAGCCGTAGTTTCGAGGGGGCGGGGAATAGAGACGACCGCTGGTACTGGAAATAGGGGCTCCTCTTCCACCATACTGTCCTGCGGTAGCTTGTACTGCTCCAGGCGGAACGACTCCGGGACCGCCACCGCTGCCTGTACGTGCGTAGCTATGTTGCGTGGGTATTTGTGAATGGGGTTCTGGTCTTTGGGTAGGGGAGATGCGGGTCTGCTGAGGTGGTGGGCCGTTTTTTGGCGGTGGCATAGGGGGGCGCTCTCGGTTTGGATCTGGTCGAGCGGACATTTCGCCTAGCATTTGTGCCACCTAAGAACAAAGAGAGGTGAGCTAACTGTTAATCCAACGGACAAAAGCCGTCACTGGCAAACGTGGGATTGGAGAACCTTTCCCTAGAGAGGAGCCATTTGTCAACGTACCTGCTCTGGCTCCGCATGTCTGCAGGCGGATAACTGCTAGTTAGTCTCCAGTCGCCATTCTAAGATAGTGGAGAGGAGGAGGAAAGCTAGAGCACGTACGCGGGAAGTGCATCAGGGTTGTATGCGCCCTTGTATGCCATGGTGGGCGATGTGTGCTGCAGTCTATGGTAGGCAGAGATCAGGGAGTTGGAGCGGGTGGTTTATAAAAAAAAAAAAAAATTACCAGCAGGGTGATGGTCGTGATACTAATAACAGAAGAGTACAGCCTGACAATGACGATATGATATGTATTGGGTTGGTGAATCGGTCAGACGAACTCCTAGTCTTGAGCTAGCCCAACCGCCAAGCCGGTTTGCTGATTCCGTGTTGAATAATAAAGCGCAACAATACGAAGCGGGCTGAAATCTCGTTGTTTTCAAAATGCCACGGGCTATTAATATATAGAATGGCTCCTGTTAGGAATCTAATAAGGGGCCAGAGATCTGGATGGTGAGAGTCGCATTCATGGCGGGGAAACATCGCGATTGTGTCTGGAGTCTGGTTCGTACAGCGGAACAGGCGACCAAGCCCTTTTTACCTAAGCCTTTCAGCCCTAACTAAGCCCTAAATTGGCGGTGGCTGAGACTTCCATCTGCAATGCCAAGGATCCAGTCTTCCTCCTCTTCCTCTTTCCTAGGCCATACGATGTAAACAATTTGTTTGTACTGAGGTCGTTAGTTAAGTTAGTTACCCAGACAGCTGGCTAATCATATGTCATGGGGATGGGATGGGGGAGGAGGGAGAGGAATTGGTTGGCTAACTACGGAGTAACTACTCCGTACGCAGTAACTATGGGATGGATAGTTAAATGATAGCGCTGGTCGTTGAAAAAACTGAGTGGAGCTAGTTAAAGAGTGCAAAACTTGCAAACATCCCGCGGCGCGATGCTGACAATTAACTAGTTAAGTTACGTTACGCAGTAACTAATTGCAACCTCAGTTAACGTAGTTAAATGTATACGGAGCCATAGACACCCCCCTCCCCCCAGCATTTCAGTATTATAACCTCATCTTTATTCCATTTGTCTCCTCCTTATTATCTTCCTACAGGGAGTCCGCCCCGGGAGAAGGTATCGCCCAAACGAACAGAAACATCCTCCCCTATGCCACATTCTGAAATACCAGCCCCAAGCTCTTGGAAGAGCCATTTCCCGAACGGGGATTTATGGGTTTTCGGCTATGGGTTTGTAAAGATTTTTTTCTTTTGTATATATGCCGTCGGACTATTATACCTAGATTGTGGTTTTATTTTATTTTATTTTTATTTTTTTTATTACTCCCTTTCGGCTACCTTTCGTCCAACCGCAGATTTTTTTGACCGCTATCTTTTAGGAGTCTAATCTGGAAGCCACCGCCACATTATGGTATGTTAAATATTCTTTTTATATACCGTGAAGATTCACAGAGGGATCTACACCACCGTTGGGGACAAGAGTCTCTTTTTTTACAAAGCCTCATCTCATGGGTTATCAGATCCTTGATACCGATACTTCGACTGCGGGGAACATCCTCACCGTACACCGTACACCCTAAACTATAAAAAATTGTATCTAGTAAAGCCTCTACTAACCGTTTACGTAGATCAAAGATTGCTCGGATACATAGAAGGCTATGTTCGACGGTTCTGGCAGGTATGTCTTTCGATTTATTTAGAAAATGGATGATCTACCTACGACGTGGTGTTATTTGAACTCTTCATGAGGTATATGTAGACGAGAGACGGGAAGCTGATATTCCTCTTTGGTGTTCTTTTTTTTACTATTTGAAGGCGAGGTATGGCTACATATTCACTTTTGTTTAACGGACCTGATGAGAAAGGCCTTCATACCTGATACCCGGGGCTTTTTGCTCCTTTATATGACGCACTCGTGCCAAAGCTAGGGTGCCAATATCACTAACTTTCATATTTTTCATGAAAACAAACAGCGGAGACCACAGAGGAACCCCTGAATCACCCGGGCGGGTTGTCACTGTAATCGAACAATCATTCTGGGAAACACTATCAGACCCGGTTAGCACTTCTAAAGAACGACCCATCATCCCCCTAACAAGCAAACCCCCACCATATATGACCGAACCCCCCTTTTTCTAACAATCAACAACAGCAACGTGATGTCCAATCAAACAACTCCAAACCCTCTACCGTCTGGGGCGCAGCCTATCACATCCCGGCCTCCCACGCAGAGGAAGTCCACGCCTACCTAGACGATAGGGAAATAGACGGCTACACCGTCCACTTCACCCCTTTCCACCCAGCACCATCATCCACCACCACCACCACCACCACTAACAACAATAACACCACCATCACTTCACCAACCTCCCCCATAACATGCATGGTCTACATCGGCCTGCCCACAAATGCCCAATTCCTCCGCAACCCCACAGACCGCGACCCGGCCAACGTCGCGCGTGTCATCAGCCAGAGCTGCGGGCAGAGCGGGGAGAATCGTGAGTATTTGTACCTGTTGGAGAAAGCGTTGGAAGGGCCTGAGTTTGCTGGCGGGCTGGACGGGAATGGGGATGGGGACGGGGTTGGAAGGGTTGTAGATAGCCATATTGCCGATTTGGCAAGGAGGGTGAGGGCTATTGAGGGGAGGGAGATTAGTGAGGCGGATCGGAGGAAGAGTGAGATTGTGCTGGAACATTTGCCGGGGCCGGAGATGCGGGAGGGAGAGAAGGTGGAGCGGATGGAGGAGTTTGAGGGTGGGGATGTGGGGGCGGAATAGGGAGGAAATGGGTCGGGGTTTTGAGAGTTGTGGCCCATGTTTTATGGGGATAGAACTGAGTGCGGGTTTGGTTATAGAATTAGAGCTTCTAGATGTTCCGGAATTTTTTGTGTCGTGCGGTTCGCTGCGGTATGGTATGGTGAGGTGAAGTACTATAAGCAGTGGCAATGGGCGAATAGACCATGGCGCGAACAAACCTCTTGACCTTTCCCGTCCGCCCAATTTACCCGTGATCGTCTGAACATTTCTGTCATCTGCTCTGTCAAATCCCAAGTGGTGTATCGCTGGGAAGAGCTTCCCATACACCAATCTCTCATACGTTCCACTACATTATACTCACATCCATGAATATCGGTGGCCTGTGATACCATACCTGTAAACCTTATGCGCACAGTAGGATGGGCATGGAAATATGTAAGCTTGAAAGGAAAGCGTGAAAAGGAAAAGAAAGGCAAGAGTAGTAAATGGACAAAGGAAAGGAGGTAGGAGGGAGCTTTTGCCAGTCCGTCGGTCCGCGAAGAAAAACATCATAGCTTTGCATAACTAGCATTTAAAAGGAAAAGGAGGAGGCTAGCTAGGATCCAATAGAGGACAAAATAGAACAGGGAAAGAAACAGGACCGGAAACAGGATAAAGTGTAGACACATCTCATTCCTTCGCTATTCAATTTTTCTTTTTTCTCCAGTTGATCAAATTTCGTCACTTTCGATTTCAGTTCCGTCTCTTAGACAAAAAAGGCAGGGGAGAAATTACGCAATAAACAAGGACAAAACGATACAAATTTAGCAACGTGGATGAAGCAGCAAGGAATTCATGCGTGTTCAGGGGTAGAATCAGTCAAGCAGGGATCAGAGTTAAACCGTAGAACGCGTTAGGTTGTGGTTAAGGTCAGAAATAGAGGAAACAGTGCTCTTAGAGACGGTTGGGCTAGAAAAAGAAAATAATAAGGGCAAGGGATTAGCTAGCTAGTCGTTGAGGAGCGGAGATAGTAGTAGAGTAGGGGATGAAACCTGATAAAACGCACGAGACAGCAATAGCGATACGGACAAAAGCAAAAAATGAATCAATTAAACCCTCAAAAATATGAAGTCCACCGCCAGGGACTGATAGTTGGCATTATGGTTCAGAAATATAACAAACCAGGAGCTGCAAAATGAGTCTGGAGGCTTTTTTTTTTAGATAGAAACTACAGCACAAGTGGGAATCGTTGGGATGCAATGTGGAAGGTCGAAGTCGTGTATCGCCGCGTAAAGGGTACAAGAAAATGGAAGGGGAAAAAAATCATTTCGATGCCAATTACATGGTATAGAGCGGGATGAAAGAGCCTGAAGATATAATTAAAATAGATGAATAATGAATCGAGGGGTACATGTTCCATAATATCCCGATTTTCTTTTAATCGTTCTGATCGTGGCTCGTTGATTGCTGTCTCATGTTCTCATAGTTCTTTGTATCGTCGACACCTTGGTGAAACTGATGTGCAGAGATCGGGGCTTCGTGAGAGGTACTTCGGGGTATAAAAGGGGTTTGACGTTAGCTTGGGAAAAATTGCTGTCTCCGACCGTGTGCGCTTAATCGTAATTATCTAGGCCCAAGCACTTCACTGGCCCTGGCCGCCGCCATACGTATGTTGCTGGTGATTATCCCAACCTGTAGGGAGGCAAGTCAGTCAAGTGGATTGGGTCAGAAGGACCATGTAAACAGGAGTAATTTGTGAACTGATTCTAATCTAGGTGCTTAGCTTACCGCCTCCGCCAGCTTGGCGATCACCATATCCTCCACCTCCGCCTATATTGATTCGTGTTAGATATTTATCAAAAATATTGTACAAACCGCAGGCGAAAGGAGAGAACTATTTACCATAGCCGCTACCGCCGCGGTAGCCGCCTCCACCACCGCCGCCATCGAAGCGGTTGTACTGGCCACGCCCATGGAAGCCGTCATTGCGCTGGGTAGAACGGTCAGAGGCTTTGTCGACTCGGATGACACGGCCATCGAACCTGGTCGGGTCAATCTCAACGATGTTCACCGGTAACGAATAAATTAAAACGCCGGGACTATATCCCCGACGTTTCCAGAATGGCTCCAACGTACTCCTGGTTGTTCATTGCGTTCATCGCGGTGTCCGCCTCAGTGTCACTAGCGAAGCGGACGAAACCGAATCCACGACTGCGGTTTGTGTCGCGGTCCTTGACAACAGTCTACAGCGAGTAATCAAAAATTAATGAGCGACTTGGACGACATTAATTACGCAAAGAAAGTAGGAAGAGAGATCTTGTCTCTTTAGGAATAAACTAACCGCTTCCTCAATAGTACCATACTTCTCAAACCCTACGCGCAAGGTCTCGTCGGTTGTATGCCATGCAAGGCCACTGCATTGCCAGATGCTGTGTTAGTTACATCTTCGCTAGTTTAACGAGAGCGAGAAAATATATATATATATATTAACGGACCCAACAAAAAGCTTCGACATTCTGGCGTTTTAAAGCAAAAGCTAAAGCTGTGCTCGTGAAGAACCGAGTTTTCTGGGGTTATGGGGCTCTAAAGGGCGGCACAAAATGGTCAAGGTCAGCCAGTCGGTCTAATTCAAGACAAATAGAACAAAGGCGTCCAAAGTGACAATTTTAAGCGATGGTGGGAAAAAAAAAAAAAAAAAAAAAAAAAAAAAAAAAAAAATCAAAAATCAAAAAGGAAAAGGAAAAGGAAAAGAAAAAGAAAAAGAAAAAGAAAAAGAAAAAGGAAAAGGAAAAGGAAAAGGAAAAAAAAGAGCAGGGATGAATAGCGCCCCCCGATGTCTTCGTTATTGGTAGGTAGGGTTACAGACGGGATTCATGGGTGAGGAGCTCACAACAGCAGAGGATAATGAAAATTACTTAAGTCAACGACTGCGGAGATTGAAGGAAATCAGACAACACAGTATAGCTATACGAAGAGTAGCGGCAAGAGCATGGTTGGTAGAGTAGAAGAGTAGACACACATTAAACAAGGACGATAGCAGGATGGGCTACTCTACTACATTGGAGAAGAACGACAAAACGAAAAAGCAAAGAAAGATAGAGAGTTAAAGGAAATAGAGAATTCCAACGTTTTGGCTTGGACTAAGAAGTCGATCAGATCACGACGGAGAGTCGAGACCGCGGTAGGAGGGAGATAGGATGGATGGGGGTGGTGGGGGACTGAGTGTGAAATAGAACGAGATAAACGAGACAAGAAGGGTCTGCGAACTTCAGGGCTTGCTGCGAAGGCCCAAGGGGGGAAGAGATGAAGTGAAAGGACGACGGGAGGGAGGGGGAGGGTTTGATGAGGATGGAGGATGGAGGATGGAGGATGGAGGATGAAAAGAAGAAGAAGAAGAAGAAGAAGAGAAAGGATGGAGGGAGGGAGGAAGGAAGGGGAAGGAGGCTCAACCCGTCAAGTCAGCAACGAGGGAATGGAGGGAATGGAGGGGAAGGGAAGGGAAGTAAGTGGTGATGACACTGATGAGTCCAACAACAACTTCAACACTTCCAACTCACCCAAACCCGCTTCTGGCCACTTTCTCCCTGACGTACGTATTCGCATTATTATGAGAGATTATTATTATTATTATTATTATTGTGCCATTATGGTTAGTTATTATTCCTCCAGCCGCTAGTTGTCTGTGCGATGCGCACCAACACAAGCGAAAATCCAGTCTGAGCTCTCCTTAAACGTTCTTCCTTTCTCCGAGAGAACACGAGCAAAATCAATAATACACGCCCAGCAGCAGAGGAAGCACCGACTGTCCGTGCCATTCCAGAATTAAAAGACTCGCTGAGATGCAGACCCATTATTATCTATCTGACCATCCAAGAGGGAGGCCAAAGCGAGTCAGCAGTTGGTGTCTCGAGCAGTATCTCGCCTCAGCTTTCTCTCCGGCAGCATAAGGCCAACCCCTGGAGGTTTGTACAGTACGTACTGTAGTTACTCCGTACATAGCTTGGACAGTCGAGGTTATAAAGGTGTCCATTCGCAGCACTGGCCACTACCAAGGCACTAAAATGGGGCTGCCTATGCATATTGTTGGGCCGGGCTTTCTGGTTCCCGTCGTTTCATCAGAAGCTGCATCATGTATTCAAGAGAAGCCTAGAAGCGGGGAGTTCAAAAAAAGTTAGCGTGATGCAAGACCAATTCCATCTATGGTCGAAGGCGTGCTCGCAACCAAGCAAGCTCGCGGAAACCTCGAATTCTTGGACTCTGGTAGTACAAAGACCCCCGTTTGGCCAGGGACAGGGTCTGCAAGAAGAGGGGCAGCGTCGCCGTGTGGCCCCTCTTGATGGGTCAGAGAGGACAGCCAGACCCATGGGTTGGACACTTGCCGGCTCCACGGATTGACTGGACTGAGTTTACACAGTAACTAGTAGTTACTCCCCAAGAACCCGGTCACAAACTTGCCAGCTCCAACCAGTCATCGGCTACGCAGCGAAATAGGTCTAGGCGCGTGATTTCGCTGCAGGTTGCAGTTAGGCCTCAGCCATGCCACGCCCCTCCTGTTGTCGTTTCAAGCAAATCGCCATTTTTCTCGCCCCTCCTCCTTGGAAGCAGAGACATCGACCATCATCATCATCGATAGAACCATAGCTTTTGTTCTAAAGGTCGAAGTTTTAGTTTTATTAATAATCGTCGGAACACACCTAAACGCACGCCGACTACTTTCTCCAAGAACAGGCAGGCTCCGATGGAAGGGGATCCGCCCACTTCACTACGTCCATTGATTTAAGAATTTTGCGCTGATTCGGGTGGTCTCAGTCACAAAAGCATTGGCTGCAGTTCCTCGCTTCCTTCAAGTCTGTTATTCGTCGTAGAATTTTCCTCTTGGGATGCTCCTTCGCACATGCAGCATGTAGTACATACATGTACCATTTCTTATTTGAGCCTAGGGTCTTGTCCTTATTCACCCGCAAGGTTGCGTTTTCACCCAATCCCAAAGCCGATTCCGGGCTCGTTCGTTTCGCATATCGGAGATGCAGCTTTTGAGCAGCTCAACTTTTCCTCCAAAGGGACTAGATCCCGGGACACTTTCAGCGCAGTTCCCACCCGAAAAAGCTCGAGAAACATAGTTGGTGGCGGTTAAGAATACCCGAAACCAGGATATCTGGATCTGAGCTGCACGATGATCTGGCCAATGGATGGAGTAAGGGATTTTAAAATATGCATGGGAGATTAACTTTTATCATCCATATGGACTGCGTCCCAATCTTCGCTTCGGTTTCCTAGGGGAAGAACGAAAAAATATTGTATCAGTACATGCAATATATACCTCGATATTGTCGCCGTTTCAACAATGGCAACATTCCTTTTGATAGACTTGACCAACTTCCTCTCTTGGAAACCCACTTTGCAATGCCTGTGACGCTTGATAGGGGGTTTGGAGATACAATTACCGCAGAGTGTCCTATGTTGACGTCGACCCTTCAGCTCCCCAGTTGCAATGAGATGGGTTATTTGTTGTTGGAGCGTCTATCTCTTCCACCTTTTAAGCTATGGGGGTTTCTCGAGACACCCCCAGTTTTGTTTGCTACCCGTTTGGTTGACTCTTGGTGAAACTAAGGACGAGAAAATAACCCAGAATGTCGTCCAGATGAAAGGAAACAGAGGGTGAAGATGGTGCCTTCCATCTCACTGGCGTCTGGCAGGCTCGTAGGCATATTGCACCATGGCACTTACGACGGAGGGGCGCACTTGCCATCTTACGACTTGAGGAAGGTGCGGTTGGACTACGCAAAACATGCTCTTGGTGTCCAGACAAATAAGAAGAACTATTCTATTTACCTCTACGAAGCATCTTCTCTTCTACCTTTCTTTTTGTGACGCTGCTCTCCTCTTCGTCTCAGACCCGAGCCAGCCCTATTCCGGTCTATTCCATGCGCCCATTTGTGGGAAGATGGATGTTACTTCGAAGATGGATGACGTAATTTACCACTGGCTTTCAAAGGTTGACTCGAGACACGGTTCCCCCGGTCGTCCAAAGTCTTCTTTCACGCGACGGATGGACCCTTTAGACACGAATCGAATCGACGAGCTATGCGAGACGCGCAGCAAGGGAAATGAACGAGGTCATGGTACAGAACCCATAGTCAAAATTAGCCACGCTCCTCAGATAGACCATAACGGGTCTTTGCCCCTTTCAGGCGACCGACATCTCATAGCGACAATGAACGATAACAGAGAAGTCTCAGATTCTATTCCAGGAATGCAAACCTGGAATGGCACCATGTCCGATGCACACGCAAGAGTTCATGACGATGGCAAACCTCGTACAGGTGCCACAGAAAAAAAGGCCGGTCTACAGGGCAATACTTCACAGACTCACGTTACTCCTAACCATGATTTGAAAAATTCTAATCCGCTGCTGTCAAATGTCATATCCAGAGGTTCCTATGACCGTCGCCCGAGATACAAAACTCGACCGGATCGGTATGTACTCAAGGATACACACCCCTCGGCAACACCCTCAGGCTCTGGGACTAAAGCCCGGAAGTCATCACAAATTGATAATGTCGTTGAGAATTTATCCAAGAGTACAAGATATCCTTCTTTCCTACCGACTTCTACTGGGGCTAGCCAACCCCCTGGAACGTCCACTGCTGGCAAAGCAGCATCCGTGACTGCTGTAACCCATAGACCCTCTGTATCTTTGGGTAGTTCTGCAGATAATGAAAAGGAAAAAGTTCATAAAGTGAGGAAGCGGAGGAAGGAAAATAGGCTCGAACATAAGTTTAGAGCACCAAACATTACTCAAGACCGCCTCAGCGTGAGTAGTCCTATCTCTTGACATGTGTACTTTCTTCCTTTCTCTGTTCATTTAATCTATTTTCATTTCATTTCATTTTCATTTTCTCATTTTTTCAATTTTTTCTTGCTAATATTCAGCTCTTAGTTACCAGTGAATCATGGAGTGGGATTTCTTAGTAGAGCGCGAGGAGGCCATAGAGGAAGTACGGGTATCTCTTGTAACTAACCCATCCTATGCTAACCATAACAAAATCTAGTACCTGACCTCAGCTTTTCAGAGATGGGATTCCTTACCAATGTTGGTAAGCGTCCAAGTGAAAAGGACCCAACCAGACCCAACTGTGCGAAGCGGGTAAAGAAAGACGAGGACCAAGGGCGAATATCTCGATATTTTTCAAAACAAACAGCAGAACCCTTAATCCAGGAATGCTATTCGACTGAGCGAAGCGCTCCCCAGGCTTTGACACGTCAACATAATTCTCTCCCATTACATCCAGAGGTTGTTGCGAACGGCTCAGCCGGCACTGAACCCCCAGCCCCATTCGTCGCAGGTTCCGTCCTGCCAAAAGCAGGTGCAAGGCTTCTTAGTGAGGCCAGTCTGAACCCCTCTAGACCTACCTCTAACCCTCTCCTAAGGCAAGCCAACCCGCCGAGACATTGGCTGCCTCAAGATGTATCTCGAATGCTTGATAGCAGACGTGCGATGTTGGTGGCGACGAAAACCGCGCGCAATATTGCCATGCTTGACCAATGTAGAAAGGCAGTGCAACATGCAGCCCAGATGGTGAGCCATGAAGACAGGGTTCGAATCGACGCAGAAGTCAAAAAAGACTACCCGATTGCCAAGCTGGTGTCAGGGTTTTCGCTCCAGCAGACGAAGCGAGCGATAGAAAAAGTGATAAGAGGTGAAAATCAGGTCTTAGCTGAAATCTGCACTCTGTTTGACTCTGATTCGGAAAACACGGATTTCAATGATGCATTCGAAGAAGCGCAAGGTGCTGGCTCTGCCAACGGACCAGCAAGTTCAGCTCCAGGTCTTCATCCCAGTGGGTCTTTAGCCACCCATCCCACATCTAATACTTTCCAAAGGCGACCCTCTTCTCCTGGGATAAAGGGTTCTCCGAAAGCCCATCGAAATACAGCTTCAAGCTCTGACCTCAGCCAATACCAGCCGAGTGCTAATGAATGCAATCCCACTTTTCCGGCTTCACACATATTAACTTCAGACGCTATCACCATTAGCCAACCTCATGTTCAAGCCCTGCCAGGAGACAATGAGCGCGTGTCTCAGCAAGAGGGAACTTTTGGATCCGTCCAATTGTCAGTACCGGTTCTCGATTCAACTCACGAGCTAACGGCAAAAAGTATGGCGAATCCTTCCCAATGTCAATTTGGCCAAAATATGAACGACGACATTTCTGTAATGGGCCCTTCCGTCAGCATTGGCCTCAGTAATATCCACCCATCCAATAACTATGGTTCTGAGAGCAATCAGGCGTGGCACTTAGAAGTCAATACAGGAAAACCACAGCCCGTATGTCTACAGAATGCAACAAAACCGGGCCAACCATACAAACCAGAAATTGAACCATCTACAAACGATAGTCTCCACGGTTTAGTAGACGCGGCAGGTTCCATGGTCAGCAGTGCTCAGTGTCCCAGCCCCATGCGAGCTGAAAGCATCCGAAACCGCCTTGTCTCACAAGGACCATATGCAACTCGGCCACTCTGCTATATTGGGCCAATGGTTTCAGCAAATCCATTGACAGTAAATGCAGAAGGACCTTCTTACAGTGTGACCCGGTATACCGAACAAGCTAATAGCCAACACTTGTCTACTAACCATTCGCCCTGCGTTAATCGCGGTGATCGACCTACAACACCGGCATTAAGTCTACGAAGCGGGCTCTCTAATATCCAAAGCTGCGATACCGGCTGGGTATCCGAAAGTCACCCAGCAAAACTTATTGAACATTATCTTCGGTTTGACCCGATTAATATTCAACACCGTCATCGGGAGCCCGACTTGCTCCATGCTACAGCCGGTTCTCCGACTGTAGGACGTACATCAACTGCGTCCAGATCTAGCAGGACCGTTCCTTCAACCACGTCTTGGTACAATAAGCAAACCATGCCTTGGACTGCATCAAGCGCAGCCCAAAATACACAACCAATTTTGAATTTGCACCCGGATTTTGTTCATCGGGATTTATTTCCTAAATCATCTGAATTTTGCTCAGCCCCTCTCCCACCGAGTTCTCTCCCCTTTTCATATCCCAATAAGCTTCATTGAATACTTCTTGATCTTTCTCGCCTCTTGGGCTACCTTCAGAGGTGCCTTGGGGACGTAAATCATTGTGTTCTATTGTATGACGAGCTTGGTTCCTTCTTTACTCCAGGTTGTTTCTACCCTTATTCAATTATCCGAAGTATCACTTTTACAACTCCTCTCCTCTTTTTCTAAAACTTCATAAAGGGAGATGTCTGCCCGCCCCGAACATACCCATGAGTCTAGAGGTATTCTGCTAGCACAGTCGTCGCTTGTTGCTCCAGTGGATATTATATCGATGGTAATTAGCAAATTCCATTTAGTATACACGAATAAACTTTGCAAACGCTGCTCTTGTAATTTTGTGAATCTTTGCTGCTGGGAAGATTCGTCTCCAGTATCTCTAGGCTCCTAGGAAATTCAGTCATTTGGCGACATTAGCCACCGAGTGCCTCAATCTAAATGGGAAGTTTACGGCGAAGGTAGACAGATCCTTTGCAACGCACGTCAGCAGTTTATTGTTCCTCGCTTCATTTAGCAGAGTAGGTTGCATCTATCACGTCAAGCCTGAGTAAGAGATCCGGCCCAATATGTCTTCATTCTTCATTGGACGATAGTGGGTTGGAGGGGGGGGGGAATCCGTAGCACTAGTTTTCAATGAGACGCACGCACTATATTGATTGCCCTATATTACTGCAGTGGGGCATTGATAGTCAGCGGTTTGCGGAAACTGGAGAGCAAATCAATCTCGTCAAGAAGACAGATGGGAGAGAACCAACGGCAAGAATTTGGCATCCAAATTAATCTGCATAGTTATATGTGTGGGAAGTGGCCGGAGTGGTTAGCCGGAATGGGCAATTAAACGAATGGGTTTCGTATTCTCTCTCTCAACTTCCCGCTTTTCCGTGGCTTGTGTTTTGTTTTAATTTATTTGTATTTGTGTTTTTATGTTGTTGGCTGTTGAGGAAAGGAAGCTCTTGAAACAACGCAATGCTGCAAAGACGCAGATAGGAACAGGTTGATGCGCGACGGGTGGGGGAGGAGCAGGCGTTAATCGAAGTTTTGTCTTAAGGGGGGGTGAGGCAGCATGCTGTTGTTGTACAGAACATATACGATGATTCTTGAGTGCAGATTGAATTATCTAGTGCGCAGCGACCGTATGTATACGTAGGATGGAAATTTATATGCTAAACCACCCATGGATTCTTCTTGTTTCCCCCTTTTTGAGATCCATGGATGGGTCCCGAGATCTGCTTGTTCAGTTTTGGAGGTTATCTCAGCAAGCTCAGACGCTTCTCCAGATATCCATTGCTGTTTTAACACTGGATTGATGATTATGTCATGAGCTAATCTCAAATAAGCAATAAGCTAACCCAAATAGTAAAATCAGATCATGTGAGTGATGATATCTTGCAAAGTGTCTGAGAAGAAACAGTTCCTGATTGTTAGTAACACAGAAAGGATTTGCTCAGTACCCTGAGTATGAAAGAGAATTCCAACTCAACTTCATAGATTCATCATTTCTGTATCATCTTGGAATCTTAGAATAACAATGTTCTCACGATGTATCTGATTTTTATATTCATATCTCAAGTTCTTAGGATAGAAGTATCACCTCAAAGTTGACTAGTGTGTTTTTGAACACAGGAATTTTGATTCAATTCCTCATACAAAAAAAAGCTCTTAGAAATTCTGAGATCAAAAAATATGATCATTTTCAAGAGTATACATCTATCTTAAATATAGATTTTTTTGAAATATTAAAGAAATATTTCTATTCTTCTTCTCTTTAGCTATAAGCTAAGGTGATTTTCAAATCTCAAAGATATGTGGATATATAGTAATAGAAAGTCAAAGTTAAAGAATCTGAAAAATCCTTGTAAATCTCAGGAATCTCCATTGAAGATGGAACCATTTCTTCTCAGACCCTCTGGCGAGGATTGCTCTGAGCACATGACTTGTATCAAAAGTAGGTTAGTGTCATGCCGGATTAGTTAATAATAATGCTGCAACCCATTCAAACCGAGCCAGAGGTCTGAGCCCGCTGAGATAATTTGGAGGGAGTAACTAAAGTTATGTCACGTGCCGTCCCCATGTGGATCCGAGCAACGGACAGACCCACAACGCGAGCAACCTTAAAGCTAATCTTGAATCAACAATACGGAGTATATATACCAAAAAATATGCCTGGATATTTGCAGTATGATATGACTGGGAATCACACTGACACCGCATGCCCTCTTTTCACAGGTGAGGCTGCTCGACATAGGAACCATGGATCATTTGAAGGCTTAGCACTGGCCGCTTCGCTTCTTGATATCTTCTGGGTATACCGAGCATGTTTGGGCTAGCTGTATAACCAGGTTACCCTAGCACTATCTGGGCTCACAAATGAACACTTAATGTCTAAAGTATAATACCTATCGAAAAATCTACGGATAACGACCTTGAAGTCAAGTCTAGTGAATAAAGAGACATGGCGGGGAATTACACCGAGAACGGTGAGCTCCAGAGGCGTTTAAATGTACACGGGCGGCCAGCCCATCATCTCATAGATCAAAAGCGCGCAAGCTAATGGCATCTTGTCTCCCAGGAGGATACAGGTAACAACGGCCAATTTGGTCCATCAAAATCTAGTCCAGTTATACTTTACCTATTGATGGGGTGGTTAGATCCTCTCTCGAGAGCATTGCTCTACCTACTCAATACATGCTTACAACTCGAATGTTCGAAGGTGGGCTGGACCCCTTCAGCTCGATAAGGGAAAGCTAGGGAAACATCTAAACATCAGTCAATGGCCCAACGAGCCCTCTTGCAGCAGAGCTGAACCCAAGAGATCACGCCGCAAGGAACCATGGGTGGTCCAGTCCGATAGATTCCCCTTGAAGCATGCACTAAGCGTTGTTATGCAAGTCTTAGATGGACCAGGCAACAAAAACAAAATAATAATATCCTCGGTGGTATTTGCTGGAAAAGCCGCGATGAGCGATTTATATGGAATTATGAAATACTTTTAAGAGAGCTCTCTGTTGATTTTTCGCGAGCATAGATCGTGGCCAGAACAATCGAATTGCTTCACAGGGCGGGTTTGTTTTAGGCCACATCGTGGCCATGCAGGCAGCCAAGTCGTATCACTTGCATCACTTGCAAAACACAAAAGTGCGCCTGTCTTGGCGTAATATGGACAGAGCGGGATGAGGAGTCGAGCGATGTCTCCATGTTCTAGAGCAGGAATTTGCTGGTCGCAACTGCTCTCTAAGTGTTGATGATGTTCCGGTGCTAGATAATTTAGGTTAGGTGAGGACGCAGCAATTTAGAAGCTGACAAGTCGATCGCAATGTTGCACAAAGAGCCCTGATTTGTTTTGATCAACGGATCTGGAAGCGGGAGCGCGTTGCCTTTAGCTTCACCTCTCATATTTGACGTGCCGAGCCGGTGTCAACCAAGGGCTTTGATCTCCGTTTTATGTTAAACTGTGGTCTAGAACATGGCTGTCATCGAATCCCGTTATTCTCACCATTTATTTGTCCCCCAAAGAGATTGATTATTCCCTCGGAGACACATTACCTATTATTCTCGAAATGTGGAAAACCAAATTCCCTCTAACTTAAGAATTGGCTTCAAGCATAGAGAGTATTTTGTATGGAATAATAATAGGGAAACAAAGGTTAAACTGGCTCGCAAGGCAACCTGGGAAGAAACGTTTAGCGAGCTTCAATACATAACTAGTTACCACACAAAGAACATTATGAAAGAACTAGCAGGAAGAACTCAAACAACCAAGAGTACCGACTAAAAACTGATCAAGTAGCAAGGACATAACAAGCTACCATCAGTAAAGCCTTTGAGCAAAAGCAGTAGTCAATTGTTTTCATGCTAGGCTTAAAGGAGTTTTGACGAATGACAGACGGACAAGTTCCAGACCGACCACAGAAGAAAGGTTGAGGCTTTGCGTTGGCGGTCCACGGTTGATCACGAAGACTTTCAGCTGTAAGAATTTGGGTGCCTCTCATAGTGATGAACATTCTCTGGTGCGGGGTCCAACTACCTTACCTTTTTGGCTTCAAACGAGTCATCAAAGCGGCGCAGACGGTAAAGGAAATGACCGACTATGGGTGACAAGATAATCACTTGCATGATGAGTTAACCTTATCAAGCGCAGAGCAAAAGAAATCAAAATCCCGGGTTTGCCGACCTGTATGGAACGCCCATCAGCAGGAACGGGCTGGGTGCCGTGGCTGTCAGCGAATAGAAATCACAACGGCGACCAAAGGCTTGAGATCTGGCTGTTTCTCCACCTCGATGACCCCCTTTCTTGCGGTCAACCTGAAAATCATCATCCCTGGCCTGTTGAGGGCCCAGATTCGAGAACTGGTGGAAATGAGGACACGATGAAGAACCATGCAGGCGGCGGCACCCTGAAAAAGGCGTTGCTCCACCCACCCCCTTCCCCCCTTGCGCTTGACATCCTGACTGGGCGCAGCCTTCATTCGCCAAACATTAGCTCCTGAAAAGCCAGCGTGGCGAGCGTTTTCCATGACTCCATAACCAGAGCCATCCCATTATCGAACGATATCAAACGAGCACAATCAATTCTGAAGCCGTCCCCGCCGGTCAAAAGACAAGAGCCCAGGTATATGTACTCGTACGCCTGGCTACCTTTAATATACTGTTCATACAAGTACAGTACATATAAAATTGTTCGCGGGTAGATCTGCGGCCCGTGGATGCACAGTTTTAGGCCCTCTCTTGGCTCCAGGTCTCGCCCAAGACCCTGCTCGTTGCCAAATGGAAAATAACAGAGCAAGCGTGATAGACGATGGTAATAATGAAAGGACTACCTCTCCAGCGTCTAAATACCAATTGACCCGATCTAGAACATCAGGTCGTTGTCTGAGCAGGAATGGCGCGGCGAAGTCGCTTCACCTTCGCCCTGCTGCTGCTCATTTGTGAGAAGTGAACGGTAAGTGAAAATCAAGTGAAAATATCCAAAACACCCGCAGCATTACCAGAAGTAGCCGGGTATGTTTGTTACACCATGTTGTGGCCATGTTGTGGCCGTTTAAAATGGCTCGGTTCGCAGGGCTAACATGGGTTCGATGCAGTCTAACGCAAGTACATCACAACGCTCCCGATAATTTGGTAGCCATCACGGTATCCTGAGGGAAACAGAGCCAAATGACTGGCAGGGTCCAAGAGAAAATGCCGCTCTTACCTCGCTGTTGGGGTCCACAAAGTTGGGAGACACTTTCAATTCTACAGTGATATGAGGCCTCGAGGTTGGACGGTTGCAATCCCCAGTGCCCTGGCTTCACTATCGTCTTAGCTCTCCTACTCCAAATGTTTGCCAACGTGGGTAGCAGGATGATATTGTGGAATTCGGTGTATGGGCTCCATGTCTTCAATGCCCGGATGCCTTAGGGACTACTCCGTACAATCTGTGGGCTTCTGACGCCTGCATTATTTTCACCCCTTCATATATCTAAAACCGGAGCCAACCTGTCTACTCGTAAGAAACACAACCGGACAATTAAGTTCGGAAAACAGTTTACAACAGCAATTTTTGCCATACCTACGTCGCTATCTGGAGGGAAGCCTATCAATCACCAAAGAGACAATTTGGGGTGGACCAACCACCATAGAATGGCTATCCGATAATCAAGTTTCGCAGGAGGCGCCACGGGCTTACATTTCTTAAACAACTAGTGTCCTGTTATATCCTTCAAAAGCCTGCATCGGCGATGGTTATTTCATGACTGGGGTCTAGCTTTGTGATCGAATTTCACCAAGCTCTCCCGTCCCGAATCTCCACTGACAAACTGCAGCAGATGCATGCAAGCCCGACTACGAAAATCGTCGATAAACTAAGTGACAATCATAACTCCTCGAGGCAACGGATTATCTCCAAGTCTAGTAGTGAATTTGTTTACCTAGTCACGATAATCCATGCATTACATGACTGAACGAAGCTGATTTGCATCTATTGTTTAGGATCTGTGGACCTAGCTACATGGACAACGTAGTAGCGATACTGTACCAGATGTACATGTACATGTACAATGTACAGTACGTTTTGAGCCACGGAATCTAGGCCTTAGTCTACTAGCTTCTAGATTGCGAGATTCACCCGATCACTTGGTCCGTTTCTCCAGAGCATGAGTATGTGGACTTGCCTTTGCGATCGTTTCATATTTCCCAATTTGCCGTCCCGATATCGACCTGACATGGAGCCTTGATCCAACCGATCTCCCTCAGAATCGTTGAACATACGAGGCCCCAAAAGCAATAGTGCTTGACAGATTGTACTTGAAAATACGCCCTTCATATCCGCTAACCTATGGCCCGCGTCCTCGGTCACTTCTTTTTTGTTCTGGTCAGACATAGTTGTGAAAACTTTCACAGGCTTGCTTGTACCTTAAGCAGAGTCTTCAAAGAATCCGTGACTTATTTCAAACCCACCTATCATGGTAGAAGCTTTACCCTTCAATCACGGAGGAACTCTCGAAAGGTTCAGCGTGCATAAAAACAACCCCGTCTTCCAATGAAGACTTTTCAAAAAAAGGCTGGATCCTCGTAAGGTCCTTTACATGATAAATGGGTCAGTATGGCTGGCAGCTAGACATCCCGCACATGGGGAATTGAGGGCTGCCTCGTCGAACGAGCCAGTTAACTAGAGGGTGACTACCTCCCCGAGCTACAGATCATCAGTTTGCCCCATTCTACTTCCGTTGTACATGTACATACTTTTCAAAACTCCTTATTCAACGACCCCGTAACGGATTACGCTGATATATCGAATCCTGCCATCATCATTTGCATGTTCTTCCAGCTACACTCAGACCTCAGCCACTAACTATCCTTTGCCTAGTTATCCTAACGGTATCATTTCAAATTCCATTCTAGATCGGAGCAGGGAGTGGTTTTAAAGCCTGACATCAACCCGCCCCGTTATTAAATATTCACTCCTAAATTTGTTTCGTCTTTGGCTTCCTTCCAATTTCATTGCTTCAACTTTTTGATTCCTTGATCCGCATCTCCTTGAGGTTTTGCCATATCCATATAGCTCCAAATCCCACATCGCCAAGTTTGACATCAGTTCCCCTACCAAGATGAGCGAACCTGAGCCACTCAAATTGACGGAGGAGAGGTTGGCGATGCATAACAAGCTATATAAACCGGTATGATTCTATTGAGACACACTTCATATCAAGGCTACTTCCCAACTTTTTCTCAAGAGTCTAGAAACCCACTGTAGGCATGCGAGTCAGCTAGTGGAAATGGAAAGAATGAGCATGGGCTTGCTACCCCTGGACACCGATTCCCTCAACAAAGAGCACTGCTCTACATCATCTCTACCAACTGAGCTGCCATTTTCTCAAACATCGGGCCTTTTCACGGGTTCTTTTGGCTCAACGAACGGGCCACTCAAAAAATCCCCTCTCGAGCATCCGTTAGAACGGCTTTTGACACCTGGTGATCTCAGTGAACCGATCTACTTTGCGAGGCAAGCATTAAAGCAGTACGGATTTGAATATGGGTCACGGGCCTCGGTCGATGCCAGAAAGAAGCTGGGACGTCTCAACTATGAGTCGACAAAGTCGACCGCCAAAGCCGCAGTGACGGATAAGAATGATCGCAGTAATCGGAAAAGTTAAATCTCATGGTTCTCTCTCCCGTTTTAGCACCAGTTTTCAGACGAATCGCACGCTGTAACAGCAAGGTCAGGAAGACCACGCCAAAAAAACAACGATTGTCCCAAAGCACTCGATTTATACAAAATAGAACCTGCCGGAGGACCATACTGTTAAAGGCTTTTTTCGGAATTTTTATCATGCCTTATTCCCCCTTTCCTTCGTTTGCTCTTCTGCCCTCGTTTACTGCGCCTCCCTACCTTGGGAGCCTGTTGGGAGCCGCTCAAGGCAACGCACCACTTTCTAAGCCCAGTTAAGAAAAGAAAAAAAAAAATCACTATTTCCTTCTCTCAGCTTCGCTCAGCCCTTGCACTGCGCCACTTAGTTAATACCTTGACTACGCCACATATGGATCTTACTACCATCCCAAATACCCTTTGCCCCACCTTGTATTCTCTCCCAATTGCATTCTTTCCCTTCTGGCTTCTCCAAGTTACAAATGGCTTATACTCCGTACTTCGGTGCTCTCCACCCTTCAATTGTGCCATCCCTATCGTTATTATTTCCTAGAATTTTTGATGAAAAGCACAGCACAGCTCTGCTCTTGAACTCGTACCATCGCTTTCAAAAATTGGCAATTGAAAATGCTTTGACATTCCCTTTCTTTTTACGATTATAGAATTGAATGGCAAGCCTGAGTAAAATCATTATTCTCGCGCGAAGATAGAAGAGTAAGAAAATGGTAAATGTACCTCTACCAGATGAGAATATAATCCGGCCGGGTACTTTACGTCCGCTTTGTCACGATCTATTTAGCTCTCCCGAATGAATCTCAACAAGATATCACAAAAAAGGCCCACAAGAGCAAAATCCTATGCTAGCGTAGCCACTAGTCTATCGAATGCACAATAGAAGCACTTGGTAGTGCCGAGCATTTCCCAAGAAGAAGAAGAAGAAGAAGAAGAAGAAGAAAAAGAAAAAAGAAAAACAACAAACTTTACCTAGGCAGTGGGTCAACTTTGGAAATTACCTACAGACAGCAGCATTCGCCTGTTGTGGTACAGGCAACCCCGGGTTATTGTGCATAGATATGAAGAGTCGTTCACAAAACCACCCTGAGAACTTTCAACGCACGAATAATTGCATTCTCCCAGGTTGCTGCAGGTGGGTGTCCTTTAATCTCTATTGTCATCCGTAATCAGAGATTCTGTGGGTATGTGTTACGATGCCCGAAAATGGGACTGTTCACAAATCATCAGTTTTACTCAGTTCCTCGAGCCATGCTTCAGGGTGATACAGCACTGAGGGCAGGACGACGTACTTCTTAGTCGATAATTTAAAATGGATCTCTCTCCATTGATCTTTCGATCACCATTATACTCCGCTCTGCTGTCTAAAAACCTTAACTCACCGCCGACAATCCATATAGACAAGGCATTTTGTGTATCAGCCCAGCCAAACCACGGTGGCAAAAGGAACACACCAGCCAGCTCTCTGGGGGAAAAGAGAATGACATTTTGGACGTATCATTGGTAACTCTCGTGGGAAACGGCCCGCGATTGCACTTTTCTCGGCTTCATCGTTTTGCTGCGACTTTTTTTTCTTTAATTACGTTGGTTGCCGGGGAAAAAAAGGATGATGTATTTCCTCTTCCCAAGTGAGCTTTCATCTTTCCTTTCGATCATCATAGCTCCTTACTTTTGTTTATTATTGTTTTATTATTGTTTTATCCCTCTTGGTGTCGCTTGCCTTTGTCAACTCCCCAGTGTATTTAAACCGCTTTTGAGTTCATGGGCTGTGCATAAATTTGATTGAAAGGCGGCCAGAAAATCATGAGACTGGCATATCCTGAAAGTAAGAACGGACTCAACTTTTTGATGCGGGGGGGTCAGCCTATCCCGATCGGCCATACGCAGCGCGAGTAAGGGGCCTTTATGAACAGGGATAGCTATAACAATAGGAGCTGCATTCTTCTGTGTAACCCGCCAGACCAAGGGAATGTCTGGGGTTAATTCTGCACCGACTTGAACCCATTGTGTGGTAAATGATACACTCTATTCTTGACCAACACACCAAAAAAAAGCCTTGGGAATCTTCGCAAGGTAGAGAGCACTGTACGGAGTACAAAGCGCCAATATCCCCCCCCTCGACATTTAATATTCTTGCGCCCCGTTGCAACGAATTAGGGTTGGCTAGATCACGTGTAGATGCCGTCATCCGACGATAGTTACCAGCGCCGTAGACGGGACATTCGAAGTAGTAAACGCGATTAATAAAAGGTTGCAATAAACTGCCAGTCGCGGGTGGATTCAGTTGCACTGGCAATAAGGCACAATTTTGATTTTGCCTGGCCTGGGGTTGTTGGTCATTTACTGCCATCAAGGAGACCCTGAACAAATCACCTCTGGCCCGATTTCAAATTATTTCCCGCTCCCTATCGCGAAAGCTTCCTATCACCATACGCTCCTAGGCAGAATGGTTGAATTTATCGTTTAGCGCCAACTCATGCCACTAGAAGGTCACCATGGTTAGGAAGACATTCCGCTCTTTAGTTTCCCTTCCAGGAGAAACGCGAGTGTTGCTGGATAATACATCACTAACCACAATCTCAACCATCATGGAGACAGACAGTAGGCCATGAACGGAAAAAAGTTTAGCAACTTTTGTAATCCATAGAATCCATGTCTTTGATGGCCCTCTTGCCTATTTGAACACGTCACAATTTCCACACAATTTCCACGGCGTGAGACAGAAAGTGCCAGGGTGCAACAAGCCACACCGCCGACGATCAGCCATTGCGGTGTCGAAAGTTGGTTCGGAAAGTCGCCAATGTTGAAAATGAAGTAACTATAATAAGCGCCCGGGGGTGCGGGGATCTAGGGCTAGTTTCCCAAAAGGTATCGGATTCTAAGTTTTTAGGCACCTTTACATGAACTAACCAAAGCACCAGAACCATCATTTCAGCTGCCGCAATGGACATCTGTTGAAGAGCTCAGTTGAAGCTACGCAGAAACTGCGAACAGTCGCGGCAATTCCCGAGCCATCCTCCCCCACCCCTCGCACTCTTTTTTGACGCCGAGGACGTTTTTCGCGGATGGCTTTTGGCCGATCTACAGCCGGCGCTGGCACCAAGTTCCGTGTTGCAGGTCCCTTGATACATGCCAAAAAGGTACATACATCCTGCCGTCCTATACATGCTGAAAAAGAACTGGTCCTTGGTCCGCCAGTGTGCTTCCAGCCGGTCATCTTGTAGATGGAGCATCTGGAATATGTCAACATGAAGCTGGATTCCAGCAGCAATGCAGCACCTTTTTCACTCTACAACCCCGGTGTCAATGTCACTCTTCTAGGGGCTGTGTTGAGCTCAAGGTCCTGCATGTCATTGGGCGTGGGGATTGGGTGGGGTTCAAAAACTGTTGAAGCCCAACCTCAGATGTGTGCGCTCGACCGTTGACAAAACCATCCCGCACCTGCCATCAAATAGCAAAGGGAGTTTCCGAATCCCCAGTGAGACCACAAGACATCTTTCGCGGTTCGAAGAATAGGTAAAATGACCCCAGTCATAAATAAGTCACTAGACGCAGCAATCCACGAGTCGGTACGTTGTTTTATTCAGCTTCCCTTACTGTCGATATCTCCCCAGGGTCCTGTGCCAGACATCGTCCTTATCAACTCGATATATATCTTTACTCCCTCTTTTTTTTTTTTTTTTTTTTTTTTTTTTTTTTTTTTTTTTTTTTTTTTCCCCTTCTTGAGCAGGTTTTAAAATTTTCCTCGGGGCCCACGGGGTTCTACCGCCCCTTTAACCACAGTCTTTCAAGAGGTTATAGTTCCAACTTGCAAGTACAGAATATGACCCGTACATAGCGATAGGAAAGGAGCCATCTTGGACTTGGACTTGAACAGTGCAGTACTTCATCCAGGCCTCGCACCATTTGGAACTGGCATCGCTCTTCTCCATTGGATTAAATATAGCCTGGTTTAAGCAAATTAAATGCCAACGAGGCAGTAAACTGGCGACCAAACTCGAGTCGGCAATTTCATTTCACTTCTAGCTTTTGCTCGCCTCTTGTCTCCGATCCATTCGGGCTGCTCGTGGAAAGGGGATATTCGATTTTCCCAATTTAAATAACAGACAAGCGATCATGGGAAGCGGATTAAACGCCAACTTTACCCCAAACCCGACAACAGAAGCACACTCTCACTGGAATGAATTTATCCATGGCTCACGGTACCAAGATGTGTTTGAATTGTCATATGGTGGACATCACAGCAATAATTCCGACCTCCCTCAGCCGGATGGATCCCTACTGCCTTTGGATGCTCACGATTTCGGCGTTGAACAAAACCTCATGACACCCAACGATGGATCCTTCTCAACCATGCCTCAAATGTCCCCTGACAGTTGGAGAGCACCCTCCAATCCAATCTCATCTCCCATGGCTGAATGGTCCAATTACACAGCCCGCCGTTCTCAAATGTCCCCTGACAGTTGGAGAGCACCCTTCAATCCAATGTCACTTCCCATGAGTGAATTGGCTGATCACACAGACTGCCGTTCTCAAATGTCCCCTGACAGTTGGAGAGCACCCTCAAATCCAATCTCATCTCCCATGGCTGAATCGTCCAATTACACAGGAAACGCAATGAACAGTTTTTCTCAGACGGAGTTGCCTCTATATCCTTATTCAAACATGATTGAACCAGGCAATCAGACCATATTACCTAGGCAAAGAACTCAAGCAGGCCATCCGCATGGCGCTGGGCTAGACCGCGACTGCTCGACCCCTTGTCGGACTGGCAACATAGACCCCTCGAAACCCAGAGGAATATGGAAACAAAAAACATCAAGCAGAAAAGGATTTTCAAATAATTTGCCTTCCAATCATTTTCAGCCACCACTTCCAAAGACTGGGCCCCAGTCCCAGCAAGTTACAGGGCCTTTCATAGAGTATGCATTCCATGCATGCTCTGGAGAACCTGCAACAGCGGGAGCAAAAAAAAGGCGCAGAACTAAAATGGAAAAGAGGGAAACAGCACAAATCCGGAAACTTGGTGGTGCTTGCGGAGCGTGTCGAAGAAAACACCGCCGAGTATGTCCTCAACCATCCCCCCAGAAGGCTAGCATCTTCGCTAAACTAATGTTGGTATTTCATTTAGTGCAGTGTTGAGCATCACCAACGGACCGACAGGCTATCGGCACAGAGTGCCATAAGTAATTATCTTATCTCCATATCTTGGTGGAATAACTTGGCCTAACAGCTTAATAGGAGGTTATTCAGCGAGTCCTTGTTCAAGGTATGTAAAGCCGGTGCCTAATTCTCGGCATGCTAATTCCGCGCGCTTCCACCTTACTCACTATTGAGAGGTCCATCAGAGCAACCACTGCGTCAACACAACACGACAAGGGAGATGTGGTAACACCATCCGACCTTGCGCCCATTATATACGTCATAGAAGAGGTTGGAACCCATTCCAGTAAAGTCACGATTAACCAGTGGCTAGTGTGTCAAGTATGGATTATGTGACTAACGGATTTTCTTCTTTCTCAATAGGGGTACAAAGAACAAGATGCACGCAATGACAATGGCGAGAATCCGCAATCACACCCGCTGATTCTTCCCGAAACAGAAACCATCTTTGGCATCGCGAGTGAATATTATGATCCAGATATGGACCGCTGGTTGGCCGACTACCAGAACGCAGGGAACTTCGCCAACTTTGAGGAATCACATTAAACGGCACCTATCGCTCTCTGCAACGAATTTCGAAGGTTCAGACCATGCCTTGGCCAACAGCTTTTGCCGATTTAATTGGCAACAAGATTTGTTAAACTTGGGAGATAAGCCCATGACGGCCGGCAATATACCAAAAAACGCTGAAATACATCATTTCTCGTCGTTTGAAGCATGGAGTTGTATAACCCGTATACGTAATGTCTGGGATTTAGGCGTATATATTCGGGGAGAATTTCATTCTCAGGGTAGGCGTTAAGATATGTTACAGACGGCTTATTTTGTTGCTCAGAAACTTCAAAGCACCAATCATCTGCATCGGGTACGGTGGCGAGTTTTCTTCTTCGGGTAACCAAGGGCAATTTGGAAATGGCATTCTGGGTGGAACATTTTGTATACAGATCTATGGTATCTTGTCTTTTCGTTTTAGTATTAGATTTCCCAAGGACGCCAGGTAGACAGACGGACGGCAACGCCCTACCTACCATATATTAATATTTAATTCATGTCATATCTCAATATTGTCACAACGAAGCCGCAGTTTCGATAACTCCAGCGCCGCGGGCAACGGCTTTATTCTGCACCACAATCTCAACCGGGTATTTCCATTCCATCATTTTTGCCCATCCTGCTCAAGGAGCGAGAGTTAGTTAATATCAGAAAGAACGAAATAAGCTTGAATTCTTTCCATTCACGCTTCCCACAGCGTGAAGAGTGACGAAAGGTACAGCAACTATATGTATCCCATTGCCAACGTACCCCAATAAGCACACTTTCTTCCAAGGAATTTGCCAGCAAACGGTATAATCACCATAGTCAGAAGCAACTCCAGCTGTTGTATACTTTCTTTCCACTCCCTCTCTGCATCTGACTCGTCATCCCCATCGCTGAAGTCCCCCTCGAGGGAGGAATCAGATGCGGAAACTGACGGTAAGGAGGCAACTTCATCATCATCCGACAATGAATTTAGCCGTGACGCTAACAAGTACGATGAAGCTAAAGGGGAGGGAGAATGAGAGGAAGGGAAATCGGAAGACGTCGGCGGCGACGATGACATGATGATGGAGGTAATTGGCAGAGTTGGCCAGAATCGATCGGTAGGTAGGTTAAACAGCGTGGATTACGGCGTGAGGGTGAGAGGGAGCGGTATTGCACCGCAGTTATATCGACAAGAGCATTCAGCCAACCTTGATGACTTCTCGAGGCAGGCTTTTGCGGGCAGATATCAATTTTCGTAACACCCTTGGATATCAACCTGGTCGCCGCAAGTAAGCAAGTTACCGATCTGAGTTCTTTGGGCGATGATGCCAAGTCATCTTGACCACGTGAGAGTAATGAGTCACGTGGTTGCGGATTTTTTGGGTAATCCGATCTGTGAGTCGCCTCTGGCCGCGATGAACTCAATAGCATCAAAGGCTTTCCTGATATACCAGACGTCTTAATAAAACTTACGCTTTCCCTGCGACTTATAACTATCTCGTCTACGCTCCAACTCTTTGTTGCGGACTTTCGAAGACGATCACCATGGCTGACACGGTATGTCCCATCCCGCTATTTTTGCCGATTACGCCTCCCACATTGATTTCCTCACCACATTTGTTGCAGCTTCATATCATATCTTCTCCAGCCCAGCTGAGGATAATTTTCCAACTCCCCGCTGAAGCTAGTTCTTCATCGCAATATAGTCGCGAGCGCTAACTGCTTTTGCTGTGAAGGACGCTCCCGTTGTCGAAAAGAAGCACAGAAAATCTGTTGCGTTCAGCGAAGGGACCACAATCATGGATGCGAACGGGGCAATCTCTGAGGCTGGTCATGCCGATGACAAGACTACTGCTGAAAAGCACACTGCTGGTAAGTCATTGTATACTCAGCACGTAACCTGTCCCATTTTACTAATCATGTAACTCGCGCAAACAGCCTCCCCGGACAAGGAAGTGGACGAAGTAACTGAACTTCTTAAGGGTCTTTCGAAAAAGAAGAAGACAAAGAAAACGAAAGATGCGGATGCGGAGCCTAGTGCGGACGGCGAGTTCGACCCCTCGATGATGAAGAAGAAAAAGAAGAGCAGCAAAAAGGCCGCAGACGGTGACTTCGAAGCCAAACTTGCGGAGGCGGGGCTGGCTAGTGAGGAAGCCGCCCCAGAGGAGAAACCTTCGACTGAAGAAATCGTCAGCGATATCGAGCACGGCAGAGGTATCTGGGCCCACGGTGCTACACAACCCATTCCATATAACCTACTCGTCACTCGATTTTTCACCTTAATTCACAGCCATCATCCCGATATCCTCTCAAGCGGTTCCAAATCCTATAAGATTCCTCCGCCTCAGTGTCTGCGTGAAGGTAACCGGAGAACTATCTTTGCCAATATCACCGATATCTGCAAACGGATGAAGCGGTCGGAGGATCACGTTATGCAGTTCCTGTTCGCTGAGTTGGTCACGAGTGGCAGCGTGGACGGAAGCAGGAGATTGGTTATCAAGGGTCGTTTCCAGCAGAAACAAATTGAGAACGTGCTGCGAAGATATATCGGTGAGTGGACGTAAATCTTTTGGCACCTCGTTAAAATAATTATTTTTACTAACAAGATTTCTCAGTCGAATACGTCACTTGCAAGACGTGTCGTAGCCCAGACACGGAACTCAACAAGGGAGAGAACCGTCTTTATTTCGTTACATGCAATTCCTGCGGTAGTAGGCGCTCAGTCACTGCGATCAAGACAGGTTTCCGTGGCCAGGTCGGAAGACGGAAGAAGCAGCAGGGCTAAAACGTGCAAACTTATTTCGGCGTCCACATCTATGGTTCGCAATGGCATGTTCTTCTTTATTAACCTAGCACAATACACACTTCTCACGACTCGATCGAGTTTATTCTCTCCCCCACCCCCATACTGCTTCCTTTAACGACTTCTTTTGTCGTTGATTCCCTGTTCGTTTCTTTCCATTAAGGAAGACACGAGCATTACCCCCCCCCCCCCGTCCCTTTATCTTTCTAGCTTCTCCCATAAATTGACCCCCTAGAAGAAGCGTGATCCTATGAACTACCGCCATCATCATTGACGTGTTTTATTGCGGTTGTCTTTTCAATTCCTTTTTATTCCCTTCGGTCCTCGCGGTTCGAGCTTTGTATGTTTTCTCCCTGCATAATGTACATGTATGCGTCTTATGGAATTGGGCTACTTTAGAAGGGGGGGGGAAATGGTAAGGGGGAAGGAAGACGTATGTGGGGGGAAAAAAGGAGAGGGGCAAAACGAAAAATGATCCTAGATTGAGAAATTTTAAATGAAAAATACGATTGATATTGCTTCGAAGTATCTCCAAGGGCTCGAAAAACAGTAATTACGTGAGCAGCTATCGCAAACTCCAGTGACAATGGGTGGAGGGCGGAAAACAGCGCCCTGGCGCCTGATGTAGGTATTCCTCCCGCACAAGCGAGGAGAAAAGGACTAACCTGGGGGTTATTGTCCTCAGATGTAATCGTGCTGCGTGGCGCAGGGTCGGGTCAGGGATGTTTCGTACCCCCAATTTAACAGGCACTGGCCATCAAAGTCATTATTTTATAAGATATAGGCCATATGATATGTATTCCCCGTCCACAGGGATCGGGAATTAGCCCTCGAGCAACCGGATGCGACTCTGCTAAACGTCCGGTCCGATCCCGAAGCGTTGCACGGCCCCGCCTTCGCTCGCTTCCTCTGCGTTGTTCAAGGAACCGATGGACGGCCCTCCCTCCCTCTAGAATAATGCGTTGTCTCTATGCAGGCACAGCTCCCAGCATTGGCTTCAGCGGCTCCCGATGTTTAATATTGCGCGGGATGGGAGCGGGAGAAACATGCTTTTTAGATCACGCAAAGCCCCCTATGTCTTTCATGTTTCATCACTTTCCCGAACGCGACCGGGAGACTCAGTTTCGCCGGATGTCGGTCGTTAGAATCTCAAGGGACACCGGGGCGTGCGTGTTTTACCGGTCTTCACTGCAGTCCCTACAATTGATTTAAATTTTTGTCCGATTTCCGACGCTTAAAGTCTGAACATATTGTTCCAAACCTTCCGGGATGGGTAGCCCTGCCTGCCACGTTGCTACCCTGCTGCTGTTGAAACCTTTCGCATGCTTTCCGGATATTCAGGAACCATCCACAGATCTGAATGGTCAAAGTGTGGATCCTTGTCGGGTTGGAAAAGTTTCCAATGTAGTACCCAGATATGTCTGATCTTGTTGGCTGGGGTTACTCAGGGGCAATGTAAACTGTCCCACATATCCTTCTTACATGTACTGTACGGAGTACATCACGCCATGGAGGAAAGCCCATGTTGGCAAACCAGAAAGAAGTGCTGGTGGTGGTCAAACATGGCTGGTCGTAGGAGAGCTTGGATGGCCAGCAGCGCGGAAGATTTGTAAAATGTCATGAGATGCCGTCCTGGGCGCTAGTCCGCGAAATGGGAAAGAAAGGGCTGGAAACTTGGAAGCTGATATGGCGGCATTCACAATAGGAACCGCGAGGAAGCTGGGTAAAACATCAGCGAGAACGAAATTGTGCGAAGTACTTCACTCCCGTATTCTCATGAGAAATGGACGACGACTAAATCGAAACAAGGACGGGCCGAAGATCTAGGCTCGTCTTTTGGCTATCGCGCTCGAGCTATCATACATAAATAGTGTATAAATTAGAACTTCCCTCCTAGGATGGCATTTGCATGACGCTTGTATTTCGCCACGCGTACACAACACAGTACACACCGTCAGGAGGCTTCAAAGCGAAAGAAAGAAAGAAAAAAGCCCGAAAACGATGTTCCACATCCCAAGATCCATAACTACAGGGAGAGAGAGGTGAGTTGAGAAACAAGATGTCGTGGCGGGCCGACGAGCGGGCCAGCCACATCTAGCCATTGCCAACCATATTACCAAGTTGGCCGTGTTTCACGATTGGCTAGGAAAGAATAGGGCGGCTCAACTTCTGTATCTATATCTATTGGCGGAGATCTAGAGCGGTAAGATTAGCTCGAGAATAGTAGGGGGGGGGCGTGCGTGCTCCCATACATACTGTATATACATACACCCCTTGTGGCCGTGGGACAGGGACGGCCTGGATATCATGCACTGGGCCAACGCTCATGCGGCTCGATGTCCGGGAGATCTCTATCCGACTATTCTGGATTCTAGACAGTAGCAGTAAAAAAAACCCTTTTGCCGGCTCACGCATTTGCGGCATTGGTTCCCACGCCGACGTCTTCAGCGTTCAACGCACGTGGCGGAATACAATTCTCGCTTTGCTGCTTCCGAGTAGTCGCCACTGTTTCTCCTGGTTCGGTTGATACGTTGGCATGTGATGTATGTTGTTGAGACGGTGAAGCTGGTTGTTGCAATTGCAGCCAATTCTGTGCCAGCTGTTGAAACCATCGGTTCTTTTTTTTTATTTTTACTTTTTTACTTTTTTTCTTTTTAAACCTTTCTTTACACAGGCGCAAATCCAGTACTATCTGTGCTTGTTTTGGAGAGCGTGGCGTTTTATCACCTGCTGCGCATTGGTTTCCCGCGGCGCCGTCCTCTACTACCTATTTTGAATTGAAGACCAATCAATCACCTGAAAAAATTTAAGTGAGACTTACGCATCTTTTGGTATGACTTTGACATTCAGAAATGGCCGGCCTACAACACAGGTACGTTCGCTCTCTTGGGATTGTTATGGTGTGACACAGTTTCCCTTCAAAGTCACTCACTAGCTTAGCCCAGGAACGATAGGTTCAGGTGTCCAGATAAAATGCCATCCCACCGCTCTGGTGGGGCAAGCCAGGAAAAGAAAAGCAAATGAAACAACTATCGACGGAAGGAAAATGTTACTGGATACAAAATGATCCTACGTTGAGGTGGGAAACGAGGTCACATAAGATAAACAGTTGATATAGACTCAAGGAATTCTTACTTCTCTGCCCTTCAGGAAATGCAATTAAATTAAAAATTATCCGAAAATATAGATAGTTCCATCGTGAACAATGGCAGAACGTTGGATCGAAACAGAAATTGTGTGCAAGGAGAAGGAGTAAAATCGCGGCGAAAATTGGTTGCGGTAAATTCAGCCACACTCGCCCATGCCAAAGATATATGTATTTACCTATCTCTAATAATCGTAGCGGTAGCAGAAGGGTACTCCACCAATGGTCGCTCCACCGAGGGTGTCCAGGATTTGCCGGATTCTAACATCGGGTCGGATGCCATCCATGGAGATAATAGTATCCAACGTCAGTGGCCTACCCCGGTAGTCGTTGCCGTTGATTGTCGTCCAGCGTGGACGTGCCTCGTTTTGCCAGACACGGAAATTTCTGTCAATAAATGCGTGGTGCATGAAGAAGAGAGGGTCGCTAGGGCTGGCAGCGACGTCCATCATAACGCTGCCAATACCGTTATGGCCATAAGCGTGTGGACTGTGAAGACCTCTGTTAGCTTCTATGAAACCTCTCATTTTGAACTAATGTTTGAGATAAAACATTCAAAAGAGGGACTCACCCAGTTTCAGCGCAGCTGTGCATGGCTGCGTAGTTGGTTCGTCGGTTGCACGCAATGACGAAATCATTGTTGCATTGCCGTGTCTGGTTCTCGTCAACGGCACGCGCGAGGCAGTGGGGCCTGTTGGACATGCCTGGGCCGATATTGCAAGTGAGGCCAGCAAAAATACCATCAGTGATGCAGACGCCCTGTCCATTGCGAGGACCTGGGAGAGAGCCAAAGTAATCGTTGGTGAACAATGGTGCTTGGGCAAATCGACCAGCGTCTCTAGTCTCGTCCCACCAGGGCATAGGTCTATCAAGGCCGCACTCATCCCTCAAAACCTGCTCGAAAGTCCACACGAAGTAACGGTGCCACAAAAGGAACAGGTCATTGCCGTGGATCTGCTCGAGCTTTTGCTGATGGAGGCGGGCAAAGTCCTCGTAGCGATTTCTTGCATATTGGAATCTACCTGACGGTGGGCGGTCCATCAAGCACCTTACAGCCCTCAAAAATGCCATACGATCGTTGTGTGAGGCGCGGCGCCATTCAAGGCGCATGTCCGTCCTGCCGACGCAAGCTGCGCCAAATGTTGAGAAGGTTGGCTCATTGGGCTTTTGCTTTGGTGCAGGGCGGATCAGTTTTCCGATAAGATCCTTTCCCTGCTTAACATCTTCGAGAGAGATGGTGTGGAATTTGCCGAACGACGATAGGGGAAGGTTTGGACTCAGGTCGGCAAAAATATCCTTCACTGCCGCAGAGGCCAGTGAGGCGCCTAGAAGCAGTAGTGTCCACCGCATGGTCTGTGAGTATGCGTAGGCGTGTCAATGTCGAAGTGAAAGGATTAAACGAGTGACTGGGTTAAAGAATTATCCGAAGAAGAAAAAAAAGAGAGAAAAAGAACTACATTTTATCCCGGGGAATCCATCACTATTTCAATAGTCATGTCTGCCATTCAGGTGGGTTTCCGCTCAAGAAGTCGAGGAACCTCAGCTATGAGTTCCTATGAAGCGACCCCATGCATGTCTTAGGTGATAGCGTCCTTGTCCATGCTGCCCTTGTTCTGGAGGCTCTGTATGGTGGGAGACTCCACTCGTGGCTGGGTTTGACTTTTGTGGCCATGGCTTCCGGGAACGACCAAGTACCAGCTGGAAATAATAATGCCTTCAGCGCAAAATCCTTCTTGAACGGTGACCAAGCAAAGCGAGTACGTACTGTGTACAAAGTCCCAATTATCAGAATAATAATAGAATAATGATAGATCCTGCCCAACAATGATTCACCATATTCCCTGGTGATGGTATGACAAAATTGAGAACATCAATATTGATTCACATTAGCGCCCCTGCGCACAAAAGGCTTAACCAGGAAAGAGTGCTGGTTTTTCTGGTTCTGCCCTAGGACAACGACTTGTACCAGGAGCTGGAGCTCTCCAATTACGACAGACGGCTGTTTTGCCAGCGAAAGGTGGCAGACTACTCCGTACAGCGAAATCCATGAGGCTTTCATAGACCGACGCTAGCAACTGTCAATCATGCAGATTCGCAGTCAACCACGATAATTGCATTTATTTTCATACCAGCCCTGCAGACTTCACGGGCAACTTTGCAATTATAATTGTTGGCCTGCGAACAGAGTTATTGTTGTGCTGGACCAATCAATGCAAGGGATTTTAGTCGCTCCTTTAGTCGGCATATCGACCCGAATCGACGATGAGGTTTCCCTGATTCGTTGGTGTTTTGTGGAGTTTCCAGAAGTGTTTTCCGAGGCTGAGTAAGTTACGGAAGTCCGGAGCAGGGGTGGGTAAAAATATCCTGTCAGTTTGGCATAAAAAAGAAAGCACTATAGTAAAACCGGCTTCCTGGAAACAAGGTATGCGCTCTTGTCTTCCCTGGGATTTCTTCATCGCATTATTGGAGCAGGGAAAGACAAATTCCAAGGCTTCTCTCCTCTGCGGAGTGCAGCCATCTCTCGGCCATGTGTTCGGTGTCTCGGATTCGAAGAATCCACTGGTTCGAACCTCCATCTCATGATTTGTGGACTGAGCACGGTGGCTGCTGGTCCGTACCAATTCCATGATAATTCGAGGGGGGAATACGCGAATACGGCAGGGGAGCAAAATCGCTTAGTTCCCAAGTCTAGAATGTGGATTTTTAAATTGGATCAAGCGTTAGTGTTTGCTTGGGTGAGATCGTGGCATCGTTGGAAGGATGAGAACGTGAGCGTAGCGTCTTCGATGCCAAGGCGTTAACGTTCTGGTGGGTGAAGTCGCCGCCGAGCACTGTGTAATAATAATAAGGGGTCCGCCAACAGATCCTGGCTGCGACAGTTCTCTCTCTCTCTATCTCTCTCTCTCTGTCTATGTGTGCCTCGCCCCTGTTCAGAAAAGTAAGCTACAATCAGCCCAGAAATATTGCTGGCAAGAAGATCCATGATTCCCCAGGCAAAAGATCAGCAGCACCCGACCCGTGTCTCCAGCTGGCCGCTTGGGATTCTATTTTCGTACAATAATACATTGCACATATACAGCTTAAAGTGGGGAGAAGCGAAGCTTTCCAAGTCAAGGGATACAAAGATCTTGGACTGCAAGCCAGCACGGCGCTCCAACGGATGATTGAATGGGCATGGATTTCATTAATAATTGCAGAACCTGAAAGCGCAGCCATTATTCCTTTGATTGGAGTGACATCAACTTCCAAGTGCAATGTTGCAATGATACATAAGTTATTAGTGAAGAGCAATTGATAACTGCATCTTAACCATTTCGCTCATTCAACATCTTGTTGCAGTCACGTGCCCCAATTCTATATCCATGGTAGAATATCTTAAGACTATATAATAATAATAATACACACAATATGAATCCTCCTACATATATCATGACCATGGAATATAGATTCAAAATGGCCCCCGATCTCCAGCTTATTTTCAGCCCTCACCCTACCTACCCTTGATGGAGGTCATCACAATGTAACCTTTTTAAGTAACTAATCGCAGCAGCTTTTTAACTTATATGATCATTTGACTAAAATATGAATATACCTAACAAAACAAAATGTGTTTCACTTCTACATTCAATCAATTCAAGACAATAACGGTCATCCTGATATGAATAAAACACACAAATACTAATATCTGACAACTGTAGCTAGTATTATTATTATTATTATTATTATTTTCTTGTTCAATGATGAGTGTTCTTGTGCATATCCTCATTTGATTTGAAATATGCAAGCAGGATCTCCTACCGGCTGGTTGTACCCTGTTTCTCCCCGCCGATGTTGGACGCCGAAGCCCCACGCGTAGTGTCACCTATTCAAGAAATGCGTATAAAGTAATGTATGTACACATACATTATTACATTATTGTATGAGAGACACATTTTGCTAGCTCATCAGGTGGGAATGTTGCTACATGCTCAATTATATCATGTTACACATTGAAGTAGAAAATGTTTGCTTTACTTTTTTGTACAGTACATACATGTATCTGAGCTGTATTGTCATTATTATTATTATTATTATTCTTCTTCTTCTTATATACTCCGTACTTACACTATAAATTCCTTCTGTAGAGGGGTAGATATTATTTGTGGCGCACGCCGTTAAATCCTACGATACATACTGCGTACTACGTAGAAGCACCGTAGCCAAATCCGCACAAAGTCCGAAGGTTCGGCACGTCTCCTATCCACCGAGCAGCCCACGCAGAGCCAACTGAGGATTTGATCCTAGGCACAACTAGGTTTGAATGAGAATAATAAACGTTCACTACTCCGTACTGAATAATATATCACGAACAGTTATTTCACTTCACCCTGGCTCAGTCTGCTCGCAAACAATCTTATCCCATCACCATTTTGTTTGTCTAAGAATTTAACCTAAACATACGAGGGAAATAGAGCCCGGCTCTGGCTTGGTGTCTCACTGCGTCGTCCGAGATGTCTGACATCCCAGGTTTATGTTCAGCCGCCCCGTTGGGCAAAGCCTGCAGTCCCGTCCTTGAGGGCCCACAGAGACTTCAACACAAATAATGAGCCCCCCCCCTCGCAAACACGTGTCCTGGGAAGGGAATCAGCCCAGCATTCTCAGCCCTAGGAAACTTTCACCATTTGAGGCGGGAAAGCCATATTCACCCACCCCGCTACACCGCCTAAAATGCGAAGAGAGAAGCAAACGGTTATCAAAATCGAAAAAAAGGAGGGGTAGCAGCCTGCAAACAAAGAAACCAAGTCAAGTGGGGAGGGAGAGATTGGGGGGGGGGGGGGAAGAGAAAGGAACTACGACGTCCAGAAATATTTAGTCGTTTGGCGCAACTCCGCTAGCTAGCACTTAGAGAAAGCCATCAAAGCTCTTCAGCTTGTCTGTCTACAAATGGGCAGCGTCAGATGATATCTTTCTCTACTGAGGAATTCTGTCCATATACATGTGCAGTACATGTACATGTACATGCGAAACTCTATCCCCCTTTATTTTTGTGGCCCATGGTCACACAGCAGTGTCACAACCGATGGAAAAAAAGGATGAATCCCATCAATGTACCCTGGGGGCGCATGTGTGTCTCACAATTTAGACCTCCACGGGCTGACTTCAGATTTGATGACATTTATCTCCGACTCCTTTGGCATCTCGAGAAGACGGCCAGTGGACGCTTCGGGTGGGATGGCAAGGGCTGGGGGTTTTGGAGGCTCGGGGGGAAATACTCACTGTATGTACAAGTTTGCTGATTTGATAGGCGAACCGGATGGGCTTGAGAAGCATGCTCGATCAGTGAAACCTGCATCAGCCACGAATAGGACAAGGTGAGTAGTCCGCGGAATTGATATCTAGTATATGCCTTGAGGAAAAACTACTAGCTAACCCTAACCTTTTATTGGAGGAATACTATGCTCTGTCATTTACAAAAGCTATGCGCGGATGGATGGCTTTGTACATGTAAATGCACATAACTAGATGTGAATAATGACATAATCCTGGAGTACGGAGGTCAGTGGAGTCGGCCTTGATCCTGCATTGAACACTTATGGTACAACTTTCTGGAAAGGAAAAATCGAAGGGAAGCTATATATCATAAAAATGCTACCATCCGTGTGACCGCTGGGATTTCTGCCGATATGCCTGGTACAGTAAATCCCCTTTGCATACTTTTCACGCGGGCAAGGGGATTGTATTGTCCTGTTTGAAGAACTATCTTCCGTACCTTGGCCCACGAACCCAGAAGCAATCATGATGGCTTAGGATTCATCTCTGCCATAGCCGTGGATCTGCTTATCCTCAGTAACACCGCTGCCGTTCATTATCTCGACGCCTCATTGGGCTGCAATCACATCAGCAACGCCTGGCACATGTGGTGAGGACATTAGTGGTCTATTCCTCGGGGACCCAAACAACGGTTTCCAGGCATTGCGACGGGCTTCATATCTTCACTCTCCCAGCGGTGGGATGGAGACTATTGGATCTGCCTAGCGCGGTTCGGAGCCACTACGTTGCGTCCTAGAAATTCAATCCAGGACTGCGTCCGCATTTATAGCCGCATCTATCTTTTCAGCATGGGAACCAAAAACGAGGTAGTTTCGCAACTCGTGGATGGCGTGCGCTTGGTGATATTTCCAGCGGCCATCCATTCTGCCGTGATGCCTCCTAGAGAGTAGACCAACTTGATTTTCCCTGATGTCAGGACCAACAACGCTCTCTTATGACAAATTGCCTGACGGAAGTTGCCGGGGGGGGTCTCCTGAGGAACCACCTAGGCAGATAAACGAATTTTATCCCGTCTGCTGGCTGCTTCAGTTTCTGCTGCCTCCTGAGATATACCGACGGAATCAATAATTTTGCAAAAAGGGTCCAAGCTTGGGATATCCAAATGTATCCCAAATTGAGGGAATGGCTGGAAAATCCAGTGATGTGGACTTAAACCTTGGGGGTAATGCAGAAATGAGGTATATTCCCGACAGGAGTGACCAAATTCTTTGCCTGTCGTAGCTTGTTGTATGTCATATACATCTCCATGCACCATATGGTACGGGGGTCCTTGTGACCCATTGATGATCGGCTGGTGAGTATTGCGTAGGTGGTTCGGAGTTGGACTTGAGAATGACGCTGAGAATCATTGATCCATTGGAACCTAACTTACGCCGTTCACTTCTGGCGATGGCAAGGGGGGAGGGGGGGGGATGGATGATGCAATGCCTTCCCGTGTACTCTTCTTGCCCCACCGTCCCCTGCTGTCATTTTCTTAATTATTATTTAATCCGTTGATTGAGACTCAGGTCCGGAGACTGGCCATTCCCAGTATGATCTTTGGCCTCTACTATTATGAACGAGTACACTGGTAGCGATATCACGGAGGGGTTTCAGTGTTTTCAGCAATTTTTTTCCAGATTTTAACGCGCAACGGAGTTGTCGAGGTACGAATCTAGGGTGGACTCTAGATAGAAAGCTTCGACAATAAATGGAAAAGAAATGAATTTCACAATGCGCCAGCCCTTCTTCATTCATGGACCTAGACCGCATAGCGACAAACCCGTCCTTCCCCTTCTCTGTGGTCTCGGTCTCGGGTAGAACGCCGTGCTACTAGTATACCATTCATATATCCTCATCGTCGTCTGAACAAGGGTATGAACATCACCACGTCGTCTCATCCCATCAAACGACCTCCTAACAGCTGCAGCGGCTTAAGCTGGAAACTGACACCTACACTGTCCTTCCACCGTCAGCTGATTCGTCGATGAGATGAGGTGAGCTTTCCTTCTAACTAATTCGTGTGCCGAATGTTGATGAAAGGAGGGAGAGAGAGGAGGGCGAGGTGGGGATATGAAAGGTGAAAGGATCCGTGAGCATGGATGGGGCTACGACATGGCACGGCACAATAAATAGTTCGGTGATTCGTAACGTAAATGTCGATTCTCGCAGGTATCCATAGAAGTTTGATAGGTGTATTGGAAAATTCTCTCGGGGTAGGTGAAAAGGGTAATCAGAATTATCTGAACTTGGGTCTGAAAGAAGGCAATGGATTGTATTCCAAGGTTGTTTTAAGCAACAACAAGGGGGGGAGGGAAGGAGTTCAAAATGAGGTCCTACAGTCAAACAAATGCCCAAAGCAGCGAGTACCGCAAAAATAGAAGGGAAAAATATCGGGGAATCACAGTGCTGAGCTTGAAGGGGAAAAAAAAGAGGGCGAGATCAAGTTTTGCGTTTTTCCAAACGAAACCAAATACACAAATGCCAACAACACACGTAGAACAGAAACAGAGAGGGAAGAATCGCAATCATTATTATATATCATCTCAAAAGTCCATCGATAAAACATTAACCCTCCCCCCCCCCTTCTTTCGTTCAATTGCATCCACTACGCTCCAGCTCCGGTTGCGTTCGCCGTAACCCACATTGCAAAGGCCGACGGATTCCTCGTCTGCAAGTATACAGTTCCGGGGCCCGTGAATTTGCAAACCAACCCTTCACCGGCGCTCATACCTGAGATGATGCCCCCTGATGCGATCCGCTCCATGACATACTTGCAGTTCCAGGCGACGAGGTGGCCGTTGTCGACGTTGTATTTTTCGCCATCCGCAAGCTGCCGGGTTTGGAAAGGGGGAAGAGGCATCAGTATAAATTTTTATTATTTATTTTATTTTATTTTTCTTTCCTTTTCTTTTATATATGTATGGCGTTTGATTTTTCTTAATTGTTGGAGAAAAAGAAAAAGGGCTTGCACTTACATCTTTCTTGATAATCGCACCAAAACTCTGCATGAACAACAGGCCGTTGCCAGACATTTTGTACACAAACAATCCCTCGCCAGAGAAGAGCGCTTTGCTTAGACCCTGGTTCTTGTAGTCCTTGACCACGCCTTGGGTAGCGGCTAAGAACGCATCTTTGCCAACAGACCATGTGTCATGGCCGTTGAGGCGCAGGACGGTGATGTCACCAAGCAATGTCGGCGCGAGCAGAAGCTCTCCGGGGCCCGTGTAGGTCGAAGTCGACATTTCTCCACCGGCAATGAGCTTCTTCATCGAGAACTTGACGGATCCTTTGAGAGTCATGGTGGGAGACATGGCAATCATGGCGCCTGCGAAAATATTTTTTCTTTAGTTAAATTGACATTGGGAGAATCCCATCCCCAAGGGGGGGGCATCCAGGGGGGAAAGGGTAGGTAGCGGAAGGTAATGAAGTAACCAGCGAAATAATAAGTGATGTCTCGAAGACGTTTACTCCAACATACCTGGCTTAGCGCTGAGTGGACATCCCATTGCCAACTGGAGAGTCAGGATGGTGTTCGAATCTCGGTGGCTAATCCGGTAGCTACCGCCATTGAATGTGCCGACATCATCCGCGGATGTAGACTGCACGCCCGCAAATTGACCCTGGGGTGGGGCTCCGCCAGGTCCAAGCGGTGACTTTTCGGGGAGAGGTGAAGCTTGCGGTGGGGGTGGAGAGGTTTGACCTCCGGTTGGAGGGGGAGGGTACGCTAATGGGCTAGGTTGGCCTCCTGGGGGTGGGTAGTTGTAGTTCGGGGGCGCGGGTGCATAGCCGCCCTGGCCTGGAGGAGGTGGGTATGCTACTGGATATGTTAGTGCATGTTGTGTCGGAATTGCGTACGGCGAAGAGTTCTACCAAAAAAAAAAAAAGGAGAGGCATGCAGCCTAAACTGCTATATTTCGCAAGAAGGTAATAATACTCCAGAAAAGTACGTACCTTGTAGCTGGTTCGGAGCTGGGTCCATCGGTAGTCTCTCATGTTAGGTCGCTAGCAACATCAATTATTTATAAAGAAAAATGTTGAAAAGGGAATCCTACGGGGATAGTATCCTCCCTGTGGAAGCTGTTGCCCTTGGGAGGGTTGGTGTGCCATTCTCGACGATGATCAACCTAGGATGCTCGATGAAGCGGGGTAAAAAGAGAATGGATGCGACTTATGCAAGGGAAACAATACTAAATAAATTCTTTATAAGAACGAAATAGATAAATATTAAATAAAACACAGCAAAAAATAACTATAAATCAATAGAAAGAGGGAGTACAAGGGCGAATCTTATGCGCTGATAAAAGAAAAAGAAAAAAAAATGAAAACCATTCTTGAGGACGAGAGGGGGGGGAGGGGAGCGAAGAGAGCTAAATATATGCAGCGAGTCGCAAGATCGCCAGCCGAATAATTCTTTCTGGCCCAAAAGCCATTTTAGAACCGTCTTAGGCCCCAGCGGCTAGGCAATGAGATGGTTGGATCAACCGGAGGTTCATTCGATATGCTCCGTAGATTGGGTGAAGACATGAATAGCTGACGAATGAGCGCTAAAGTGCATATGATGATAGACATACAGAACCGCCAGAACCCATGCTAAGAGCTTGGTTGGGAACGTGCAGGGCGGCTGGAGGGCTGTGACAGATTGACATATCTGTACTGTACTGTACTGTAGTTACATAGTAACAGCGGGGGATTTATATTGGCGGTCAAGTTTGCCCAGGTGGATGGATAGGACAACGACGGGCACTTATCATTATTTAGAAGGCCCCGAAGATTGACTGACCTGCATGGGTTAGTTAGCATGAAGTATCCAAGCTTGTCATGGTTCATCAATGGATAAGGATACAATCCAATAACTATTTCCATTCATTCTCCACTTGTCTTTTCTTTTTTTTCCCTTTCGAATATTATTGATGTCATTGCGCGTGAGCGAGCCATTTCGATTTTTGTAACTAACTAGCAAGTCTGGTTTTCGATGCGAAATAATAACAATAATAATAATAAGCTCTCCGAAGCATCATGCCCCTCACCTGCTGCTGCTGCAAATGAGGGGGAAAAACCTTGAAGGCTGAATACGAGATTTGCTGCTTTTTGTGGAAATCCTCTTTTTGCACAGACAACGGGCCAGGCTTTGAATAGGTCATCATCGAACAAAAACTCCTTCAAAGTATTCGATGGCGACAATGGCAAAACGACTGGATTTGTACCGCATGCCGGAGTAGACCAACGAACGATATACTAGGTCCCCAAGCTATGTATGGATTCCATATTTGCCCGTTCATCATGGCATTTTCCGTGCAGCAGCAAGGATATCTCCTCTCTTCCAAGGGCAAGTGTTTTGAGATTTTTTTGGTTGGTGATATTAAATAATAAGAATGATCCTGCTTTCGCCTTGGCCCTGCAAAATGTGGCTTTTTGAAAAGGTGGCTGTGCAGTTCCAGGCCTGCAAAAAATTTCCTTTTCTCAGCATTATTGTCTGGGCTGTTTCTGTCCGATGAGACACATATACAGTCCCGTGTCATAAGCTTGAAACTTTTATGACTTCCAGTCAAATCATAGTAGTCTCAAAGTAGTTTGATATCTACACTGTTTATTGTTGTAATCACAGCTTAATGAAGATATGATAGAAAATGTGTGAGAAGAATAGAGACCAATGAGTGCATTTCAGTGTCATGTGACACTATAACTGCAACTAATTACTATTGCATCAAACTACTTTGAGACTAGTCTAACGCGGAACTGTAGTGAATGGAAAAAGCAACGAAGTTATAGTGGGTTTGTATACCAGAGCGTTTCTACAGCGTCGCACGACGGGGACAAAAATAAATCCCCTTTCAAATATGAATTATGCAAAAGAAATACAACTACCGAACCGAGGAAGATGTCCAAGAATTGATAGATACAATCGCAAAATAGATTATTATCAGCATCCGTTTACTCCAGGCAGGTGAATCATTATTATAACTCCTTAGGGTGGGAAAAGGGGAAAAAGGACGAGCAGAAAAACAAAAAAAAAAAAAAAAAAAAAAAACAGAAAAAGAAAAAAGAGGAAAGCCAGAGTATGCGCGCTACCTCGGCATATATCAAATCAAGACAAAATATCCAGGGGCCTACCAGACCAAGACAAAGGGGAAGTCAACTACGTAGTGTTCTGTGTTGGGTTTTGTTTTTTTTTTTTTTTTGTTTTTTTTTTTTTTTTTTTTTTTTTCCCAAAAATCTGATCTCATCCTCTTAACAAACCAAGCACGACTTAAACTAGGCAAAGAAAACATGCCAATATTTTCGATGTGGTTGTTGCATCATCAGTCAGAAGGTGAGCCAGACAACAGAGAGGAAAAACAGAGAATGAAAGGGAAAAACACGCAAGTAATATAGATAACGGGGGGGGTGGGGGGGGGAAATCTAGGGGAAAGAATCGACGCAGGATGGCGGCGTCATTATTAGTTGACAAAGGAGGGGAAAAAAAAAAGGAAAAAGGAAAAAGGAAAAAGAAAAAAGAAAAACAAGAGACCTAAGGATAGAAAGCTAGAAAGGAAAGTAAGTGGCAGTAGGTTAAAAAAAAGGGAGCCGGGTTAGTCAAGAAAAGAACTCCAGTCGGAAAAATGAGATTTTATCCAAAGTTGAAGTCTGTCACTAGTGGCGCAGCGGAGTTGAGTGAGTCTTCGCTTCGTTCGGAAGTCGCCGCGCGCAAAGATTGGCACATGCATGCTGCTGTATAGACGGCAAACCGTGAGATCGATCATTGTCGGGAACGGATCTAACGAGGACACTATGTTTATATTGGAAAGCGTGGTCATCCCCGCATGGAGCCGATATATATATATATATAGTGGGGTCGATAGACGGGAGTGCGAGGTGCGAACTACGCTGTCGATCCAGCAACCACCAATAGTAATATCCCAGTGAGAATTGGTAGAATGCAGGAGACCAATGTTGCTAGTCGCAGGCAAGAGGAGATGAGGCAAGATAAGGCTCCATGTTTGTTATAGCGCTGTTGTCCCTTCATTTTTGCTGTGAGGAATATAATCTCGATTCAAACGTGAAAAAAAAAAGAGCCACCAACGCCGAGGTTCCATGTTTTAAATCCCAAGTGTTCATCCGACCTAACAGAGCCCAAAGCCAAAGGAAAAAGATATCAAGTGACGAAGATGGTGTGGGTTTAAAAAATGCCGTTGACGATTTTGGAGCCGACGGTCGCACCAGCACCGAAGATTGCTAAATAAAAATTTACGTTAGCACAATTGTAACACGCTCATATTATATGTCACATTGGAAGACTTTTTAATCAGACATACCGGCGTTACCCATTTTCTTTCCGAATTTCTTCCCATTCTCTTCGAACTTGCTTGGTCTATGGGATCCAGAGGAGCCTGAATGGGACACCTCAAGAGGAAGATTGCCATAGCTGCTGACTGGCTGTGGTGAATGAATTGTCGATTTCTCCTCAATCACACTGACATAGGTTCGGGGAAAGATTCCTTCTAGGCGTGTGCGTTCATTCCGGCCTCGCCACCCTGTAAGGGGCAATCAGTAACCTGGCGTTTCCTTCATGGGTTAGTATAGTAAAGTCTTGGGACAACGTACAATCATTATTCATGTGCTCCAGAACCTGAATTTTATCTTGAGGCTGCAAAGCCAAATCCCCAGCATCGGTAGGCGTGTAGGCGTAAAGGGCAGACGCGATGGATAGAATCGGAGGCCCAGAGGCGTATGCGGGCGGGGGAAGCGGGTCGTTGTAGGGTTGTGGTTCGGGACTCTTCTCGTTCAAACGCATGCTGGACAATTGACTCGTTGGCGGTGGTGAATCTGCGGTCGACTGCTGTACTGAAGTTTGGAGTTGTGCCTCGCTGGGGAGTTGTGCAAGAATGGCGGATCGCTGGGCCTGGGAAATGACATCTATGTCTACGAGGAATTCCAGCTCCTGTTGATGGTAAAAAAAACAAAAAAAAACAAAGAGAACGATTAGATTTTAGGCCTGCGGTTTAAAAGGGATGATACAGAAGAAAGGAAAACTGGGGAACGAACGGAACTGATGGTTCTCAATGACCGAGTGCCCTGGGCGACAACAGGCTGGGTTCTTGGAGCCATGCTGTCGATAACACCAATGAAAGGATAATTTTACAACGTATAACGAATGTGATGTACTTTGTATTCGGGGGAAAACCAGCCCGGAATCAACGGAAACAGGTCGAGGACAGACGCTCTCGATGCAGAGGACGAGCGGGGCGGATGGAAGAGGATGGCGGGAGTGGAAGCCGATGAATGGGGGGAGAGGATAGAGGATGGAGGATGGAGGATGGAGGATGGCGGATGGCGGAGTTGAGGTTTGGATAGGGTAAAGGTTACGGGTGGAAGGGGGTGTGGCTGACGGATGAAATTGCACAAGAACCAGCCAACTTGCTTGTTCGCTCTTGGGGGGACTCTTGGGGACTCTTGGGGGGCGATGGGGCTGCACTACTCTACTACTTAGCCATTGACGAACACAAGGAGAGACCCGGGATGAGAATTCCTGCTAAGAAGCTAATAATAATGATAAATAATAAATAATAATGACAACACTAGCAACGTGCTACAGATGGATAAAGTAGGCTTCAATGTATTCTTATGACTGACTGTTGAGGTTTTGTGCACAGATAGCGCCGCAGACTTTGGATGTAACTATGGTATTCGCAATACACCGCCGCTGCTGCTAAAAATATCCCACTCTCCAGCAAAATCATCCCTGCTTCCATGTATTATACCGTCGTCATTACGCCTCGCCTGGGCAATTCGACAGCAAACAAAGAGGATAGTTCTTATAATAATTAGGAGTAAGACATCATTATTATATTGACTATACGGAGTACACAGGAAGATTTACGTCCTTTCCGGAGTACGTTACCTGAGTCGAATGCCTGAGTCTATCAGAAGTCTCCGTTAGAGCATTCTTGGCCGCGGTCTTCGTTCGCACAAACTATGGACAGTTTGACCAAGCAACTCGTGGGAAAATATATATATACAGCCTATCAGCTCCAGATTGTTCACCAGCTGTCATAGTTTTTCATTCATAATTTGAACCATACCAGATTGAATCTGATTTTGCGATACAAATCCCAAATGCGCATCTCAAAACAATCCCAGAGAAGAGGAGTAATGGTCCAGATTCCAGGCCAAATGCAAATGCCTATCCCTGGTGGCTCGCTCCGCCACAGACAGCTTCGTCGATCTCCATGCAGGACCGGTGCAGCTCTGCCAGTGACATTTGACTTGGGGTTGTACTCCGTATACCCAGGGGGGTTCTTGTGTGCGACAAACAAAGCACTTCACCTTCTTCGTAGGGACACTAAATGCTCCGTAGTTCGGTCATATCTGACCATAGTCATAATCTCGCCGTGCCTTTCAGTCTATCGAAAGTACACGGGTGAATGGAACAATTCTCTCCCAGGGCCCTCTATTGTTGAAAAAAATCTGATACATAAATGCCAACAGCACCAGGGCTGATATGACAACAGAATTTTGAAAACTTATTGGTTGGAAGCTATCGAGGGGTGTATTGCAAGATCCATTCTTATGTTCGGCCTGCGGGGTATATGTGGCGTAGGGCTGCCCCGAAGGAAAGATTCTTGATACTCCTGCGCTGCGGATTTGTACACATGGCATAAGAACCATTCACAACCGGCATTCCTGACAGCCTAGCTCCGGATTCCAATTTTAATTTTTTAAGCTACATAAAGCCCTTTTGAGATTCCAGAAAACAGATCGACGGTCGAACCCCCGAAAGTTCCTGATTCAGCCCTATCTATCCCTTAAGGATGGGAGGGTACCTCGGGCCTCAAGGAGAAACACATTTTAAAGGTTTTTGATATAGACGGCATTTAATTGTTCCGTACGGGTTGGGTTGAGATTCGCCGTCACTTCTTAAAATTAGCACCTACCCTGAATATGGCTGAGGACGTCAAGAGTTGTTGGCAAGGATATGTGTATATCATATTGTTTCTGTAGTTAAGTGTGTTTCCTCCTCGTCGACACCAAAATAGAGCGCCAAAAGAGCAAGGAGCAAAGCAAAAATGCAGGGAATTAGGAATCCATCCAGTAGTCAGAGAGCAGAAAAACTATCAAGCAGATTTGACCATTGTCATATCTCGCAACTGTAACTACGGATTTAGAGCCTGCATTGTTGATAGAAGAAATCCCGGACACCCGATCCAACACTTTTTCCGGTTCCGAGCCGCCAAGAAGCCCCGGGCTGTTGTCTACGGATCAGATATAGGATGTCTATCAATCAAGGCAAAGAGCGATTCTTCAATTTATATGATATGCTTGAGAGATATAAAAATCCTGCCAACTTGAACCCTGAGCTCCTCCAGAATCGGGGTTTGCTTCTCTACATTAGCTGAAGAAGATACTTCCGGGGTTGTGCCTTGCTATGTTGTCACGGAGATTCCTATATAAAGCTATGATGTAACTAGTTAGACGTTCATTTCCAGGCCTGCTCTAGATGTGAAAAAAGAGAGTGTATTGCCATATCGATAGAACATGAGCGAGTAGCAAGGTATTTGGGAACATGTGTACTAGATTTATGTGTACTAGTAACTAGATTTTCCTCGAAGCATCAATGATATACGGGGTTATTATTATCTGAGTTAGGCGGCAGTAGCACAGCCACAGCTGGATGACTAGTTAACTCTGAGTCATTGCCCTGGGCTGGGGCCAGTAATTCCCAACTGTAGTTACGTAGTTACGTAGTTACTCCCGTAACATGTTCTCCAGGGTCCTTTGCGGGCTCTGTACAGACTGTACTCCGTATGAAACCAGCTAGTTACCAGGAGATGTTAACCGCCTCAAGACGATACGATACTGTAGGGCAAAACGTCGCCACCTCACCTGAAGAGTCAAAGTCTGTCCCCCCGTGTTTGGTAATGTAAAGCATCTTACGCCTTTCTCGATTGAGGCTAGCGCAGAAACTCTTACTCAGCTTCTCGAGGCTTCTTTTGCCATCCCCCAAGATCAATATCAATATCAACCTTCAACCTGCGTCTTTGTTTGTCTGTCCAACTCCATCCTTTTCGCCTTGTATACCCTCTCTCCTGTTTCTGCCATAGCGAAACTCCATCCCTTTAGTAGCTTCCACTCGTTGCTATTTCTGTTTACGGAATCCTTTTTTTTTTTTTTTTTTTTTAAATCGATAACTAGCTGCTGTTCGTATACACTCCCGCCAGCTTGTCATTCACCGCCGACAGGCAACTAACCGATTGCTTATCCTCAGACAAGCGCAACTTCTCTTCTCACATTACAAACCTCCATCTACCAATATAATATGTCTGAAGACTGGGACTCCGTCACCCGTATTGGAAGCAGAGCCCGCGGTGGAGGCGGCGGTGTCCGGGAGACAGTTGTCAGAGGGCGGTCTGCGTTGAACGCGGCAGCCCGATCCGGTGCCATCATCGGGACAGAGAAGAAATATGCTACTGGGAATGCCGTACGTGATTTTTTCTTCTTCGTCCTCTAGCCGTTTTTTTTTTTATGACTTTTCATGCCTTCCTGTTTGGTGATGATAAAACATCGAAAACTAACCCTCCCCGTCCGCAAAACAGGCATCCAAACCCCGCGTAGAAGGACAACATCTCACCAAAGTCGACCGAAGTGATGACATTATCCCCCTGCAATCCGTCGGCGAAGAGGTCGGGAAGGCCATCATGCGCCGCCGCAACGAAGAGGGCTTCAAAATGACACAGAGGGAGCTCGCTGCCAAATGCAACACAACACCGGCCATCATAGCTGACCTGGAACAGAACAAGAAGGGCGCGGATAAAAAGATCCTACCGCGGATCGAGAACGTGCTTAATATCAAGCTCACTGGGCGTGATATTGGGAAGGAAAAGTTTCCGAAGAGGAAATGAGGGATTACTGGAGGGTGAGGCTCTGGGTTCCATTTTTTTCAAATGAAGTTTCTCCTTTTGGGCTCTTTTTTTGGTAGGGACGGGAAAGGGAAAAATGTTATACGTGCTGTGAAGGAAATGTTTTATTTGGGATTTTTTGAATTGGGGTTCCATTTTTTTTTTTTTTTTTTTTTTTTTTTTCCGTCTTTGCCGCTCTCTTTTAGCTTGCACTTATGATGATATACACGGGGCGTGGGCTGGATTTCGGAGATGTTAGAAAGAATGGGAAATATGACAAAAAAAATTCAACGATGGTTTATGACCATATTCCCCCTTTATCTTCTCTATACAAAGTTAATAATCCATGTTAGAGAGCGTTCTTCGATCTTTCTATATACTTCTCAAATCAGATGGGGAAAAAAAAGGAATAGACGCTTGAGGATATAGAGGTATAAAACGGTAAAATCAAAGCGGTATGAATCAGTTTCAGTAAGCACCAGCGATATCTCCCTTCTGTAGAGAGAGCGTTTTTGAAACAGGTGCCACATTCTGCCAAAATCATAAGGAAAACATATCCGCCACTCCTGTAAGATCTGGTCCACTGTTGATATCAACTTTCCCTCCTTCCTGCACATCCATTTCCGTCGTATAACGTTCCTGGAGCGCGGATTTGGGTTTCCTCCGCGCTGGTGGGGGACCAGCAATGCGCCCCTGCTCGCTAATGCTCACGCCCCGTAAACCCTCTAATAAGTCAAGAACTAGAGCTCTTTGTTGGCGGCCGGACCTAGACTCTCTGAGCGCGGCATATGTAGCCGCAACTTTGCTCTTCGGCATATCTGGCAGGCTTTCTATGATCTTAGTAGGTGTATCGCTGGTGGGGCCATACGCTATCCAAATGGAAGCGATAAGTTGCGCCAGCTCCTTTTGCATGTCGACGAAATAGGGCTCGTGGACGGACGTGATACATGCTTTTAGGATATCTGTGCTGATGAACTCGCGGATACTTTTCGCAGTGGGGTTATCGACTTCGAGGATGAATGCGTCCAGAATAGATCGGATGACACGGGTTACGATGGAGCAACAACGGGTATCTTTCATGCGAATCGCGTGTGTGCAGAAGAGAATTACTGGTTCGAGAATTTGGGGGGATGAAAGAACGAACTGGCGAATGGAGTCGCCCGGGCTTGGTTGGTTAGCAGTGCCATTCTGTTTACTCGGCCCGGAAGCCTTTTCGGGATCTATTTTCGGAAGCAGTGTTAGATTATGACAATCGAAGGAAAGTGAGGGAGATTGGGAAGAGCAGCACTGACCTCCCCGTTGCGGGTCAAGAAGACTGGCGACCATGATGACAACTGAGTAAGTTAATTGGCGGAGGATGCTTTCATCTTTCATTTCCACCGTTAGATCAGACTCCACCATCCCAGCCTTTCGATGCTCTATTATGTCCCATTCCGCGGTGATCTTTTTGTCAAATTGAATGAATAGAGCAGATAACATCGGAGGCAAGAAATGGGGTCGATATCTTGCAGGGCAGTCGTCAACCAGACAGCGGGAAATATTGAGTAATACAGACAACTGATGGGAGGAAAGTGATGTCGCATCCTTAAATAATGCCTGGGATAGGGGAACTGGGAGCTCTGCAAAGGAGTAGAAGTGTTCATGGAGTCTGCTCATGCTGTAAAGAATGGAATAACAGGCTTCCCGTACAGCGCGGACTTTCCCTCGAACAGAGGAGGAAAATCCCTCCAGAGTGGCTTTAGAGGTAGTTATGCGGGCATAGAAATCTTCTCTACTGCCGCTAGAGATACCTGCCTGCCAAAACCGGTCCGTGAGGATCCGCCCCACAAGTGGGCGCATATCTGGTGGCAGACCAGGACAATTTTCCGGGTTGTGAAACGCATGTGCATGGCTAAAGGCTGGTCAGCTTAGGTTCATATAGGGGGTGGACTCTGTTATGCATACCTCAGAAGTTGGAGCAATGTCGGGAGAATAAGGGGAATAGAGTCGCGCCATAAATCGCATGCGATGGAGTATGCCGGGTCGGTTGTTTGTAACTTTTCTGTGGATACCGACAGCATCGTTTTCGTCATGCGTAGCGGAAGTTGCTAGAGATATCAGTTAGCTGAAAACGTTTTGACGATGGTAAAATTCACGGCATTGTACCTGGAATTTCGTTGTCATGTGGGCTTGTATGTTTTTTCCCTCCTCATCGAGAGGTATTGTCGACCATTCCTCAACTTTTTGGGCTTGTAGGCGTTGTAGATATGGCCAAATTTGGTCCAAGCCAAGAATTTGACAAAATCCCTCGAAGGACGTTGAAATTTGCTTGAATTCTTCGCTACTCCAGGATTGTCTAATGGGCTCAACAAACAATTGTAGTCGAGACTGCCGTATATCAGGATCCACCTGCGGAGCCCGTTGCCTAACTACTTTTAGAAACCTGGAATCTGAATTATTGGGACGAACTTACATTATGATGAGAAGGATTGAAGAAAGTTCCATTTGGGGCCTATCTCCCGTGGTAGACGTTGAAATAATCTCCCGAATCTTTGGTTCTAGGGCATCATAAAACGTCTGAACTAGTCAGTGGAATCCAGGCTTTCCGGTCATGTCATGAACTTACGGAAAAATAATCGGCATAGCGTATTGTCAGCCGCCGTACTTCGTACGTAGCCGTGTTGTGGAGTTCCTTCACAGCTTCAGAGTAGGCGGGATATTCTGGACGATCGGGCAGGTTGGTCATGAGAATGTGTTCAAGAACCTTAAGCGCAAAACTTTGCTTGTTCTTCAAGGCCTTGTAACAAAAGTCAACGGAAAGTCTTATGACTCGTTCTTTAACAACTGGATCCTATTTCAAATTTAGTCAATTTATATAAAACCAGAGTGGGTTCCAAGTCCTTACTTCAAAATTCTTTTGGATTAAATTGAGCGCCCATGATTCTAGAGAACTTTCCAGCCCAAGTCGTTGTTGTTCCTGGTGTAAATGTAAGTATCAAGAAACTGTATGTATAGAGAAACACGTACATCCTGTTGTGGGGAGTCCCCTTGTGCATCCACCCATTTGCTGAAGCCTCTTAGAGTAGCCTCAACGACAGTGAACTGAGTATCCGCTTGCAACGATGAGAGGGAGTATTTTTTGAATATTGCAGCTGTGCTTGTCAACTATGTCCCGACGCATAATAGGTGGGGGAACTTACGATTGAAAGGACCAGTTGCATTATGTAGGTTGCTCAAGACGTAATCTGCTCGGGCAAGTATATGTGGGATCGCGTCATGTGGACGTCGATACACTATCAGCTCAATTGTTTGAGCACAGTATCGCCGGTAATTCCCAACGAATGCATGTCTCTCCGGTATGGTGTCGATGTCCTCGTTTAGAAATATAATCGTGGGGTTATCGGTATCTTCAGGTAAAGTTTCGTAGCGTACAAGACGTTGAGTGCATGTTTCAAGTATTGGTGCAATAAGTCCATGAATTACGTCTAAACTCGTGATTTTGCTCGACGCAAGTAGTCTAGACCATGAATGAAGGATGGGTATCGAGACAGTCAGACTGGGATGCTGAAGAATATTCATGAGGAACGGAAAGAATGTTGTCAAGTCAATATCCTTATGGAAATCGAAGTTCTTCTCCTCAAGGAATCCGGCAATATACGACATCAGCTGGAAATATCTAAGTCAGCTTTTGAAGCCCCAACAAAGAAATTGAGGATAATTACCTCAGATAATTTCTTCGATATGGTGTATTTTGAGTCCGAAATATCATGTGCATCGACAATCGACCAGTTATAGAGATTCTGCAGCAGATGAAGATTCTGAGTTTGATATACCAAATTGACAAGGTCTTGGAACTTCGTTATATCACAATTCCTGCTATATAGTGCGTGGAGAGCATCGATTGCAGCCTAAGGGTATAATCAGTCGACACAGCTTGGGAAAATTATGGACACCGAGCTGGAGAGAACACATACCATAAGAATATCATCGTCCTGGCACGTTAAAGCTTTGAGAATAATTTGAACACACATAGAAGTGGATATTGCTAAGGGATTCGACCATAGCATCAGTGATCGCAAGGTCGCCAATGCCTGTACAGCGCATATTTTGGCTTCGCGCGAGTCGTGAATGTTATTTAGGCATTCGCCTAAAAAGCCGCATGTCATGAATAGCCATCCGGGGCTTCCACTGCTCCTATGGCGTAGTTCAGCGGAGTGATCCCGCCCGGGATGCAAATCTTCGAAGACCGAGTAAGGAGGAACTATTTCGACTAGAGCGCGATGGAGAGGGCTTTCGTAGAATGAGGAAGTTTTATCTTCGTGATTAAAAATATCGTCGGATAACGTTTCTAGAATCGAAAGGACTAATTTTTTATGTGCCCAAGACATATTCCATATTTGAATCAAGTCGGCATCCATATCTGTCCATTTACCAGCCCCCCAGCTGCGTTTCGCTCCTTCTACCCAGAGTAGCGCCACTTTGTTGCCGATAAACGACTCATCCTGAGGGCTTATTGATATGGCCAAAAGGATAATTTTGCTTTTGGCATTCTCCTGTTCTTCCTTGGACAAGCGTGAGTAGCTATGCCTTAGAAAAGGCTGAAGTAAAGACAGGCCGAAATGGCGAAGGACGGGAGAGTTGCTTTTCTCCATCGCCAAAGCGAAGCCGATGTCGACCGCTGATTTTGAATGTTTCTGAGATTCGAGAAATTCGGAAGCTTGTTGACGGATGGCGTTGGTTGAAGTTGGGTTGTGAATAATATCTAGAGCTTGTATGATGCTATCCATGTTTGGCACCACGGAATTCAACGTGTTGCTGCCGCCAACAGCTTGAATATTCATGGAGGGAGGGACAGGTCCTGCCATGCTGTTCCCACTCATATAACCCAGAACTAAGCAAGGGACTGTCTGAGCAAAGAATACTGATATCAAAGTTTCATGGTTCTAATAGTGGCGTCGATGCATGGTTTAAACTCCGTGGGCGTGATGAAATTCGAGATCAAAAGGTGAATATCTTAACTACCATGCGAGATTTTGTATTTGTTTAAATTTTAAACAGTTTGAAGACTAATTTAGCGCGCTCTAGGACACCTTGCAGACCGTTGAAACGATATCAGCTGGCGACCAGGTCTGCTTGGGTGAGAGATGTTTGGATGGTGGCTGAAATTGGGGAGGACTTGCTGGGTGTGGGAGAAAAGGAAAAGATTGCCGATCTGGCGCGGGCCAGGCCCGGTCTTGGCTTTTTCCCGCTGGCGGGTTCCACCCCCAACGTCCGCGCTTGAGCATCACTCTCGCGTCAGTTTAGGACAGCCCCGCCTTGCCCTTTACCGTCACTGTACTACTCACTCTACCATTTCCCTTCTCTTTGATATGCGCAGTTTCATACGAGCGTGGAAGATCCTATTTGACCTTGCCGTCGGCTCCCGGTGACTCACTCGGTTTTCCCAGTTTCGTCATACTCTAACTCACTATGACGGGTGCCTACAGTACTACGTTGGAGGAAATGGTGATGGTGTCCATCCATGATATATGCGATAGTATTGGTTATTTTTGGCGAGTCATTGTGTGTTCTCCCTAGGTCTACTAGATTTTGTTAGGCTCCTCTTCCCGTCCGTATCCTCCTCCGCCCCGTATCCTCAACCTTCAGCCTTGATTTCAGCATCGCCGGAGTATACCCCGGAACCTCGTGAGCACATTCGGAATCCTCCACACAGACCAGTTACAGCTTTCGGGATAATGCCTTCGCCTACTATACCATATCTTCGCAAAATCGGATGAATCCGCAGGCTTTCTGGCCTTCTGACGCGCTCTCCGCTGTTTCGGCCCTGGCGCGCCGATTCTTGATAACACCTACTGTACAATTGAATATCACAAACGAGATAAGGGGGCGCAAGGGCTATTTCCCTCGATCACTGGTAGCGACAAGCGGGATCGTGCCGGGAATCAGGCATAAACACCCGCCTTGGACACACGGTATTCATGGGTGATTTCTTGTTTTGTAATGACATTTGGCAAATGTCACTGTCGACATATACCGCTACTGAGCTCCTGCTCGATAAACTGAGTGAACTTGTCCTCGTGCCCGCGACAAACCCACTCCTGTCCCTCATATGGTTCGAGTTAATAAAAAAAAAGTCTTGGTTTTGCTAGGTAAAAGTGTATAGAGAATTGCGACCCATCAGCATGGCTAGGCGGGAGGAATTCCAATGCCGGGCACGGGAAGTTAATAATAAGGATTCCAGTGATAACTACAGCCAATATCCAAGTGACCAAACTGGTTGATCTGCACGGCTAGCACCGCCATATACTATATGCTATATGCAGGACATGCAATGCTAACCTTTGTAGAAGTAACAGGCACTTTAACAAGATTTTGTAGTAACATAGCCATCACTGCACGGCTATAGGTTATTCCTTGAAAACTGGCCAGTGGCACAAAGCGACGGATCTAATCCTATAATATTCTATCAAATTTTTTTGTAATTTTGTAAGGATAAACAGCAATGACAGCATTTTTCAAGCATCTTGCCCGTTTCTGGCAGGCGGTGAGGCACGCACCCCACCATCGATCATTTACTGCCGCCCATCACGGTGGTTCAAACCAGCATCAACTTCACAGGCGACATCCGATATAAATTGGCTGTGATGTGCCTGACCGTCTGCTGCAGCTTCCCATTCCTTTGCTCCTAAGGGTTTGTTTGGCCCTCCTCTGCGGTCCTCGTCCTTTGAAATTCAATTCTAGTAGCCGTTGTCCCTGGACGAACACTCGCAGTAATGATGGAGAGCAGACAACAGCGGAGCTCCTTTCAGCGGTTGGAGAAGGTTTGTGCAAACCCTCCCAATATTATACAAAAGTTAGTATGGTATTTAGGCTAATTAAACCATTCTTGTAGCTTGGTGAAGGCACCTATGCGACCGTACGTTGCTGATAGAATTTTCTTTTTTCTTTTTTTTTTTTCTTTTCTTTTATATATATATATATATATATATTTTATCATCACCTGGCTGTCCGCGTTTGCTGGAAATAGCTTGATACAACTGTTTTCGCCCATTCTAACTTTTTCTGTATAGGTATACAAGGGAAGAAACCGGCAGACGGGTGAAATGGTGGCTCTAAAGGAGATCCATCTGGATTCGGAGGAAGGCACTCCATCAACTGCAATTCGCGAAATCTCCCTGATGAAAGAGCTCAAACATGAAAATATCCTCTCTCTATATGATATAATCCACACGGAAAACAAGCTAATGCTTGTTTTCGAATTCATGGACAAAGATCTTAAAAAATACATGGAAGTGCGAAACAACCAACTGAACTATACCACGATCAAGGACTTCATGCACCAATTACTCCGGGGCGTTGCATTTTGTCACCATAATCGCGTTCTTCATCGAGATCTCAAGCCGCAAAACCTCCTAATTAACACCAATGGTCAATTGAAACTGGCAGACTTTGGCTTAGCACGAGCATTTGGTATTCCAGTCAACACCTTCTCGCACGAGGTCGTCACATTGTGGTATCGTGCGCCAGACGTACTTCTTGGAAGCCGTATGTACAACACTAGCATTGACATATGGTCTGCGGGCTGTATTATGGCTGAGATGTACATGGGCCGCCCATTGTTCCCTGGCTCCACCAATGAGGATCAGTTACAGAAAATCTTCCGTCTGATGGGGACGCCGTCGGAGCGTTCCTGGCCCGGGATCTCACAATTTCCGGAATATAAGCCGAATTTTCCCGTGTATGCCACGCAGGATTTGAGCCTGATACTTCCTCAGATAGATCCTCTAGGTCTTGATCTTCTCAATCGCATGCTGCAGTTACGCCCTGAGATGCGGATTAGCGCGGCCGACGCACTTCGCCATGCCTGGTTCAACGATCTTCCGCAACTTCGATATCAAATGCAGCAACACCAACAGCAGCAGCACTAGCATCAAATAAAAGCGTTTCATGTGGTTGATAGACACCTACGGTAAAATAACTACGAAAATAGAAAACTTTTCTTTAATGGGGAGGATGGATATAAAGTACATACATATCTTGGGTCCGCATTTTCTCAGTTTTCTGCTGATATCAGGCATGGTTTAGTTACTTTTTGAATTTGGCATGTCTCGCATTTGCATAGTTGCGATACGGGATAATATTGATGACTCATCTTAATCCCCTTTGATGTTTATTTCTTGAGCTTTCGTGTGAACAGCCCTATTGATACTGAACCGATCATTGACGCCGTCACTGTGCTATGGCTAACGATTAACTCTATAGAGTTCACAACAATATCTCGAACCCGTTGGCTGTCGAGTTAAAACTAAATCCAATTGCTAAACACCACAAAATCGAGAAGTGGGGCAGCACCTTGGAGACGAAACTTCGTTTGCGAGCCAAATGTTTAATATATGATATTATGCGCAGGAAAGAGATAGACCACTGGACTCCATAGCGATATCACCATTAGTCTAGAAAGAATTACCAAGTGCTCGAAGAGAAGTCGTCTATATCATGATTGAACCAACCAGCAGTGTAACAGCACCTATATCCGGACGACGACAAAATGCCAGGAGCGAACTTTCGAAACAAACACCGAAACTCTCATATCAGAAGAAGTAAGAAAACAAACACAACACAAAAAACCAGGAAAGTTAGGCTGGGAACCGACACAAAATACTGCAAGGCACTACATCACGCTGCAAGAATTACGCTGGCATTGCTCAAGGTACCCTTCATCCTCACTGGTGTCAGGGACAGTAGCAGCTCTGCGCTTTACGCCCTGGATTTTGATATTTTGGTCACCCTCTGCATGCCACCATTTCAGCATTTGCAGGGTTCCAGACCCAACAGCTTGAACATCGATAACCCATTTTCCACCGCTAACCGCGACCTCTGTGTGCATTCTTGGATAGTGCCACTCGGGGAGGTAAATAATGGAAGGGGCATCCTCAGGTGTTGCAGTCTCGGCCGATAAGGATAGCGTGAAGAGACAGTTGCGGAGGTCGAACCCATATTCTTTGATGGAGCCGTGAGTAAGGACAGGACTTGGCCGGACAAACGCTTCAGCTGCACGGAAGCCAGGCTTATCCGTCAGCTCGGAGGACGGCTGTGACGCCTGTGTGATAGATGGCTGCGGAATAGCGTCTTTCAGGTTCCCAGCGGAAACCTGGGTGACTGAGTTGCTTTGAGCAGCGGAGAATGCGGGGGAGGTTCGATCGGAGGATGTAGAAGGCCGATCCTGCGAGATCTCCCCGAGTACATCTAGATTTGGAGGAGGAAATTCTAGGTCATCGGTTGAGAATATGGAAAGATCCTCGCCGTTCCATCGATCACCCCATTCATGGCAATTCTAAAACAGTAACGGGGTTAGTTATTTCACGTTTTTTCCCCGTCTTCCGTGCTTTCTGGGGTGAGCTGTTTCCCGTACCTCTGACGTATAACACCACAGCGAAAAGCCGTTTGATCCACTCCCTTCGATCGCAAAGTGATTAGCATCCATTGCACTGATTTGGCTGCTATAATCGCCTGTTTTATAAGCGTGCTTATCGTCCATGTCATATGGGATACCAATCTCGGTGAAAACCATTGGGTGAATCCCCATGTAATCGAAGCTCTCTTTTCGCAAAAAGCGTAGCTGATCGCGGAGACAATTTCTAATTGCAGTTTCTCCTATTTTGATAGCGAATATCGGGCTGAGATATTTCCCTCGTATAACCCCGACTACGTCCACGTTGTAAATTCGATTCCTAAAAACGAATATGTCAATCATATGCCAATAGAAGAAGAACGGACACATAAACTCACCAATGCTTAGTCATGAGTGTAAGCCCATCGTACTGATGCGCAGCATGGACCATGTTTGGATCATCATCTTCGGTCCCCTTAATGGACGGAGGTAGCTCCAACACAGCAGGCTGACAGAACATGATAGCATTGGAATGCACACTTCTAATGGCATCCCTGAAATTCCGATAGTGAGCCATAAAATATTGATTCGTAAATTCCTCGTAGTTGAGGGCTTTACCGGTGTTCGGGTCCTTGGCGAAGTAGTCTTTTTTCAGCAAACTGTCAGTGCTGGGATCCCAGACGCCGTGTTGAGCCCAGAGACATTCTCCCAATTTCCACTGAGGGTCCCTTTTCCAGCCATAGAAAGTGTCATCGTAATCGGCAGGGAGCCAAGCAATTTCACCCTTAGGATCAACAAGTTCCCTTCCAATTTGGTATGGCCCAAAGCTGCCAAATCCCCATGTGTTCACTTCGCACGCACGGCCGGAGCCAGTCAACATCCCCTGAAAAGCAGTTGGCGAAGTGCCAAGTTGGAGTTGTTGTTCTGCCGGGATAGCAGAGAGGTCCTGAACTCCTACCAACCCTCGATTCACCTCGTTCATATTTTCCCACCCGATGACAACCTCGTCCTCTAGATCGCCTGCCTCATGGATCCGTGTTGCCAGATGTTTGCACGCGTTTATGTAGTGGCTTTGGAGGTAATCTTGAATATTTTTGCCATCGATAATTGCCTTTGGTGCGAAGTCCCTGCCTGCCCAGAAAAGGGTGAAAATTGTTTGGCAGACGAGCCGGGTATAATTCGTGCTCCAGATCATTTTCGGAAAGGAGGCCGGGTCGGGAAGCCAGGTGTTTTGCACAAGAGCAGCCTGCGTGACATTGAAGTTGCGAGGATTGAACCCAGCTGCGTAAATCGTCCACATAGGAGCCCCCGAGCCGCCAGAGAATCGAGACCACTATGTGTTTGAGGTTAGCGACAGAAAGCCTTTATCTAGCGCAGATATACATCAAGAGAACATACCACATCCTGATGAGGGTCCATATAAATGTAAAACCCATAGCCCTTCGCTAAACGCAATATTTCTATTGTGAATTTTATAAATTCCTCATCATATTTGCCGGGTCCGCTATGCTCCAGTGCCTCCCAAGTAAAGATATATCTTATATGATTGTAACCCCATCTCTTTAACCTTGAAAAGTGAGTGTGTGCATCTTTTAGCTCGAACGGTCGGCCAACAAAGGAAACATTATCCCCATCATAGAAGTTCTGCGGGGTATACGAAGGTATATTTGGGTGTTTGGGATATTTAGCACCAGCGTCTACGTTGATTCCTCTTAGAGTGACCTCTCTGTTCTGTGGATCCCGGAAGGTGCTTCCCTCGATCCTGAGCTTTAGAGGAGACATTTAATCGTTTTTGTACGGGTGAGAGTCGGAGACGTCGCTGGAGTAAACAAAGGGAGCGTTGTCAAAGAGCTTGGGATGCAGGAGGAGGGAGCTCGGGTAGGAAACTGGGCTGCTGCGGGAGTGCACGAGCGAGCGTTGGAGAATATCGCGGAATTTAAACAAGATCAAAATGGACCCCTTTGCCAAAAGCGATCAGACTACTGCTGATAAATTTCCCAGCGGACCTGGTTGCTCTTGTAGGTACAATTCCCTGCTGATGCTCTCACGTTGTCCAGCTTGTATTGACGGTGATGCTGGCAGCTGTCCAATTAGGGAGTAAGTTAGTTAAATATTTATGTCATCGGCCCGAGAGTGGCACAGGAAGCCGCGGGCTAAAGACATCAGCCACAGTTTGGGTTATTTACTCGCAACATCAGCAGCGGGAGACAGGCATTGAGGAACCCCATAACCAGTGCCACATGGCGCGAATACGCATTCAATTGATGTCAGGTTAAAATTACGGCCGTTTGGATCAAGGTTGTATGGCGCCAGAACTAATACGGAATACGAAATACGACGTGCAAGAGTCCCTCCCAGCAACTTCAACAGGTCCACATCGGCGAGAGACATTCCAGCCTACAACGAACGTACTTTTCCCGGGGCGCTGACGATAGACTGGCCATGTCATATCACATCGGAAATTGCAGTCTGGAATAATAATGTCGGTAAAGGGGGCTCTTAAGTCTATCCGCACTTGTTTGGATTCTGAAGATTTTGAGCAGGCTGCGGGGAAGGCAAAGGAGTTATGTGATAAGGATCCCCAGAACTATCATGCGTATGTGGAAGCATAACACTTGGCTAGGTCTGCTTGTACTAATATATCCATTTACCAGGCACGTTTTTCTCGGACTTGCGCTTGATAAATTGAATAATTTTGAAGGGGCGGAGGCTTCATACCTAGCGGCAACTGCAATTAAGGACGATGATAGAACAGCTTGGCAGGGTCTGCTCACACTGTACGAGAAGAAAGATGGCAAATATTTAGACCAGTATCGCAAAGCGGTGACAAGGCTATGTCAGATACTAGCTGCAGCGTAAGCTTTGCTTCTACGCCGTCCTCGCATAGTATATCCGCTTAACTGACACCAACTTTAGCGACGACAAAGCTAGGTGTCAATCTGCCGTCCAGAAATATGCCACACTGGCTAGGAAACACGGTTCCAAGGCACAATACAAGCAGGCTTTGGAGCTTCAACTCCCCTCTAGTTTTCTTTATGATATCCTTGAGGGCACAGTTCCTCATCCCGCTCATACGTACCTTCGTATCATAGAAATATGCGAAGCAGAGGAGAAGGAGTTTATCAACAGAGAAATTGGCGAAAGGCGGACTAGGCTGGGCGCCCGGATTGACCAGGTGACCCTCGAAGTGAGACGTGAAGCCTTCCAGCGTAGCAACCTGGACAGCCTTTACCGTGAAATGATTAACTGGTCTAATGATGATGAGGTTCGCCGGAACTATGAGGAGAGGTTAATACAGCGAGCTTATGACTTTCTTCAAGTTCTCCCCCCTACCAAAAAAAATCCAAAGCGTGAGGAGGTCCTGCGTCTTGCTCGGGAAATGGTCATAATCAAGCACCCGTTTTTACTTTCCTGGAAAATTGTTTTGGAATGGCAAGATGCAGATGATCTCTCGGGGATGGATTTAAACTTGCTAAATGATTTCATAGAGCTATTTCCCGAAGACGGATTAAGCAAAGTACTTAAGGGGTTTCTCCGAAGCGATATATCACCGTTCCCTAAAGAACTCGAGTCGGACGAACCGAAGGAAGACGGTGCGCATAAAGAGTCAAGCGAAGCCAGTCACCAAATCAACCCTGAGGATAGCTTGCTACTGATGGCGGAGGGGTTGGAGCAAAGTCCAGATTCAATCCTTGCGCACAGGATTATGGGGCAGCTTTATTTGTCTCTGGATGAGTTCCAGACTGCCGTTGACGTCGCTCGCAAAGGTATAGAAGTGATTACGGAAGTACAGCGATTTACAGGACTAAAACTGCGTAATGTCACTGACGCTGTGAATATTACTCTCGCTACCGCTCTCATTACATACCAATCACCAAAAAATCACCCAGAGGCAAAGCAGATATTTGAAGAGATGTTAAATCGCAGGCCGAAATCTACCAGCTGCCTTCTCGGGATCGGTCTGATCCTAGAAGAAGATCAGGATTATGCCACCGCTGTGGACTTCCTTGAGCAGGCGTTGGAGCGCGACCCCACTAATCTTAAGATAAGAAGTGAACTGTTCTGGTGTAAAGCACATAATGGAGCACTCGAACTAGGGCTATATGGTCTACGGGAAACTTTAGACATGATGGAATCGGGTCGTACGCGGAATCAAGACCTCAGAGCGGAGATATTGTACCGGATCGGGTACTGCCAATGGGAGTTAGATCCGTCACCCGTAGCCCGGAAAGACCGCACCAAAGCCTACGCCAGTTTTCTCGGCTCCATACAGTCGAATATGAATTACGCACCCGCATATAGTAGCTTGGGGGTGTACTATGAGGACTACAAGAAGGACCGGAAGCGAGCGCGCCGGTGTTTCCATAAGGCTTTCGAGATTTCACCTGCAGAGGTAGATTCTGCGGAACGTCTAGCTAGGGATTTTGCAAACCAAGGGGCGTGGGACCTCGTTGAAGCGATATCACAAAGAGTGGTGGATTCGGGAAGGGCGAAACCTACTCCGGGCTCGAAACGGCAAGGCTATAGTTGGCCATATGCCGCTCTGGGTGTGGTGGAAATAAACAGACAACAATATACGAAAAGCATAGTAGCGTTCCAATCGGCATTGCGAATATCTCCGCATCATTACCAATCCTGGGTCGGGCTGGCTGAAAGCTATCACAATTCCGGCCGTTTTATCGCAGCTACCAAGGCGTTTGAGCATGCGGAGACATTGGAGACCACCCTCCCGGTATCTGAAAGGGAACAAACTTGGTTCGCAAAGTACATGCTTGCAAATGTGAAACGGGAACTTGGAGAATACGAGGATGCTATTACGAGATATGAAGCAGTTTTGAACTTAAAGCCAGACGAGCTCGGAGTCTCGATCGCACTCTTGCAAACCCTCACTGAAAATGCATGGAAGTGCGTCACGTCAGGTTTGTTCGGGGAAGCTGCTGAATGTGCAAGGAAGGCTATTGAAAATGGAATATCAATTGCACAGTTCCACCCTGACGTGTTCAACCTTTGGAAGTCAATTGCGGATGCCTTTTCCATCTTCTCTTGGATTCGAGGGAAGGCATCCTTTATGCCTATCACTGAATACAGGAAGCTAATTGAGAGTCAAACTGATATGGGATGCTTTGAATTACTTGCAGACGAGGATGGTGTGAGGACAGACTTTGTATCACTCCTCACGAAGTCGGATTCTGAAGAAGTTTTATCACCAAACGTATGCATGCACGCTGCAATTCTTGCTCAAAAACGCGCTGTGTCCATATCTACAAGTGACAAACACGCTCAAGCAATATCCTGGTATAACCTTGGATGGGCAGAATATCGCGCATATACTTGCTTGGAGGATGGGGCGAAATCGAAAAGAAACAAACCCTTCCTCAAAGCAGCGATGCGGTGTTTCAAACGAGCAATCGAACTCGAAGCTGGTAATTCCGAGTTCTGGAATGCACTTGGAGTTGTTACAACGTCCCTAAGTCCGAAAGTCGCTCAACATTCGTTTGTCCGAAGCCTTCATCTAAACGAAAGAAGTCCTCAGGTATGGACGAATTTAGGTGTATTGTACATTCTTCACAACGACCATGAGCTTGCAAACGAGGCATTTACAAGGGCACAGTCAGCGGATCCAGATTTTGCTCATGCTTGGCTTGGACAGGGCCTCCTTGCTCTGCTTTTTGGAGACGTAAAGGAAGCCAGAGAGCTCTTTACGCACGCCTTTGAACTAGGAAATTCAGCGTTAACGCTCCCGAAAAGGCAGTATGCAGTCTCCGTCTTCGACCATCTTATCTCCGACTCTATGATGCATGTTGATATTCAACAACTCATACAACCCCTTTTCGCCCTCCACCAACTCCATACCCAATCGCCTTCCGATCTTCCATTGCAACATCTTTCAGCTCTCCTGGCTGAAAGGATGGGCAGTTTTGCAGACTCCAATTCTAGCCTGGAAAATGTGTGTTCTGGTATGGAATCAGAATACGAAAGTTCAGAGTCGACCTCGTCATTAGCTCGGTTTGCCCAGGCAAAATCAGATGCCGCCCGAGTGCATCTGGCTCAGATGGAATACGACGCGGCCGTTGACAGCGCAGAAACTGCTCTAAGTCTATCATCTGACGGCGGCATAGAAGAGTTTGACCCTCTAGTCAACCAAAAGCTACGACTTTCGTCACATCTTGCGGCGGGACTAGCCTATTATTACCTCAAGGATATGGATAGGGCAATCGACATGTTCCGTGATGCTCTGCAAGAAGCTGACAGTTCACCGGATGCGGTATGCTTATTGGCTCAAGTCCTATGGGCCAAAGGCGGAGAGGAGGAACGAGAAGCCGCTCGAGTTCAGCTTTTGGACTGCATCGAAAAGCATCCTACACATGTTGGCGCCGTAACGCTCTTGGGTGTCATAGCTCTGCTGGATGCTGACGTGGATTCAATCGAGGCAGTCGAGTTAGACTTGCAAGAGATGCGAACAAGTGACGATGTTGGCATACATGACCGCGTGAAGGTTACAAAGCTTCTGGCAAGCATTGCCAAGCTTGGACATGTGAAAAATCCTGATGTCTCGCAAGAGTTAAGGCAGAGCCAGGAAGCTAACACGTCTATAATGCTTGCCCCCTATCAACCACAAGGGTGGGCTACACTGGCAGCGGCGTCATCGGAGCCATATCCGGCTGAAATGGCGCTACACACGGCATTGCAGAACATCCCGCCAAAGGGAACGCTTGATGCAGCAGAGCTGGCTAAGTACTACACCCTCACTGGCCGTCGGGACGCTGCCGCAAGAGCAATAATGATAGCGCCTTGGATACCGGATGGTTGGAAGGAACTTCCTCATTGCATATCGGCGGAGTAATTGGGCGGGATAGTCATCTAACAGCATATATTTCTTAGTTCAGGACCCATATGTTGCAAAAATAGAAGAGAGTAAAAGAAAGAAAGAAAGAAAGAAAGAAACAATAAACCAAGCCATCCTGTAGATAGTAAATTTTATACTTACACATAACATACTATTGGAGCATAAACATTTAAGTTCACGTAGTTTCGGCAGCAGCCTGCTCTGCCAATCTTTCCAATAGCCTAGCTTTTCTCCCATCTCTCCACGCTTTATCTAACCCTTCAATCTTTCCTCCAAGCACATTAACGCAATCTGGTTCCAGCAACAACATCCCTCTCGCCACGGTCGCGTTTTTCAACACCATCTTTGCCCCGATAGACATCTTCCCAATCCCAACTTCCTCCACTGGTTTGCATTCGATTGCAACGACTCTCGTCCCTTTCGCATCTTGGAGCACTAGCCGATGTGGCCCACCATTGCCGGTTGTGGAGGATGATATATTCCGCGCATTGCTATTATTTGCTCTTGATGTATTTGGGGTGTTATTAGTGGTGTTGTTGTAACCAGCAGTCGCAACATCGCCCGACTCATCCCGGGTGACAGTTCGTATAATCTCTCGCCCACGCGTTTCTTCCCCGCGCTCTATCTTTTCAATTGACTCAACCTGGCTCCAGAGGCTGCTGCCTATGTCCTCTATATCAAGTACTTGGAGTGGAATTGGTCCAGGTATGAGGCATTCTTTGACTGCGGGGTCCGGAATGTTTGTTGGGAGGGCTTGAGAGGGGTTAGTGATTTCGAGAGAGGTCGTGAAGTCCGAGGCTAGGAGGCGGAATAGGGCTGTCTGGGTCAGAGCGGAGAGGGGGGTGGTCGCTGCACGCTGCGAGGAGAGAAATTGAGAGAGCCAGGGCTGTGCGATAGGGAGGGATTTTGTTATGAGGAGGTGGTTCGATATGTGGGCTCGAGGGTCAGTGGCCATAATGATTTGAATCAGCCCTAGGCAAATGTGTTTCGTATAATTTTGGACTCTGCGAACGTTTCTTATGCGAGTCCCATAGCTCTCCAACGTTCAACGTTTGTCTGCATGCCGCACGGACCACTAGTTTAATTCTAAATTTGGCCTAGTGGATTCTGTAGTTCCCTTGGCATCAACGAGTACCAGGTCACATCATCATCATCATCATCATCATCAGTCGAGTACCCTTCGGACATTTCCTATAAGAAGTTTTACATTGCCCCAAAATAATATCAAAAACACATTTCAGTCGTCATGTCAACTATATCCTCGCCCCGCCCTTCCATATCATCTGCTCGAACCCCTACACCGACTGGATCCCGTCGACCGTCTGTCGAAACCAACAGCTTGGCAGCAAGCAACACCTCCAACCCTATGGCCAAAGCCACTTCCCCATCTCTTGCACATCGGAGAAACCGAGCTGCGCTGCGAGATTATTATAATCTCCGGCCTACTGGTCCTGAGCCGTCTCAACCCAGCCAAGCTCGACCCCGAAGCATATCCCCTAGCGTAACCTCCCACGATCCCACAACCCACCCGTCCCTTCCTGCAACGCACGCTGAACTCGACAGCCCCAACTTCGATCCATCTGCCTACATTTCCCACTTACTATCCACTTCCTCCCTCTCAGCGATTCTCAAGGCAGAAAATTCGCTAATCAGTGATATCCGGACGCTTGATGGCGAGCGGAAAGCACTTGTATACGATAACTACTCGAAACTGATAAAGGCTGTGGAGACCATTGGAAAGATGCGGGCTAGTATCGAGGAGAGAGGCCAGCCTGTGATCATGACGAAGACGCTAACCCCCGCAGTCGGGTTTGTGGCAGAAACTGCTGCGGCGCTGATTCAGGAACAGGAGAAATCTCTGCTGGAGCGGGATGATCCGAAGGAGGAGCCTCACGGTGACCTGGATCGGGAGAGGGAGACTGTGAGATGGGCTCTCGCTAGCCCTACGCGGCTTAAGGAGTTGCTGGATGATGGCAAGAGAGAAGAGGCGGAAAGAGACTGGAAGGAGATAGAAAGACTACTGGTGAAGTGGAAAGGGGTGAAAGGGGTTGATAAGTTAAGAACGGCCTGTGAAGAGATCATGGGGAAAGGCGAATAGGTTTCTCTGGGCAGACATCATTGTCTGATCTGTCACAACTACGCGACACTGCGGCATTGCAGAGTTGATCCTTCTATGCCACAACTCCCGTAGTGGATGAGACGGCCACATCCGGCTGTTAGAAATCGACAAGTTCCCATGAGCGGTGTCAATCAACTGGTTAAATACCGCGGGGGTGATTTCAGCATTGGCTCAGAGCATCCATGGCCTTTAGCGCCTTTCCGAGGTTGGCTTCATGATAAGCATTGCTCGGATGACCAAGCGGCACAAGCTCTCGGAAACACGTATGCGAGCGCCCTTTATCAATAGAAATGCCGATCCCGAATATCAAGGGAGAAAGAAGATATTTGTAATTACATCACGTATCGCTACGTACCCCGAAGGTCCATATACCCCGTATAACGTCAAGCCAAAAGTTACTATTAAATATACCATGATAACACAAACTTCGCCCTATTCAACCTAGTTACCTGTTGTTCGCCAAAATCTCCGTGCTAGAATGCATACTCTGCTTCAGTCCGAACGGATTACTATTCATAATACCCAGGTAAGTGTATGCATCACACTTGTAGTAAATCGGCGCCCATCCTTGCCCGCTCCGGAAGAGTCCCAACTGCTTCATGCTCATAAGCACCCTCATGATATCCGCCTTATCGTCAAAATCAGCCGTATACACGCAAATAAGTCTTGGTCTGTTAGCATCTCCAGATCTCGACCCACCACATTCTGTCGCGACTTTTGCACCTATACCCAGCTGCCCACGCGCGGTCGATTCCGCAACGATCCCCCAAACCATATCCACTCGTCTCACGGATGGGAACAGCATCCATTTGCCTGATATAATCTTGTTCGCACGTGCGGCTTCCAAGATCTCTGCATCGAGTATGCGGCACTGCATACTGATTCTCTGCTCCAACAAATACTGTGGTCTGTCATGGAATTCAGCGCGCAGGGCCTCTCTTTTATCATTGAAGGCCTGCAGCAGCTCTGCGCCGCGGTCTTTGAAGTTGCTAATGTCTTCGTTTGAATATGGTACTGGATTACAAATGGCAGGGTTTTTGATGTATATCCATGGACCTACGGAGGAAGCGGTGGTAGTCCTCGGTGATAGACGGGCGAGGAATTGCGGAATGGTCTCTGTTTTCGAGCGGTGGGGGCTGCTGGGTGTTGGTGTCTGGTTATGGTAGTTGATACTAGGTTCATTCCCTGTGCCTTCTAGTTCTTCCTTGGTATCGATGTCGATGTCCATCATGTCCACGTCCATGTTCGTATCCAGGTTTCGCTGCTGGGCGGCGATTGTCGCTAGAGATTTTGGATGGATTGATTTCCAATAGTGATGCACGCTGAAGTTGGATACTTGCTCCTCAAGCGTTGCGATTTGATTGTCATCTCCTGTGATGTCTTGTGTAAGCTACTTTCCAACCTCTTGGATTTTAATGAACGCACCGTAGAAGCTCGATTCATCAGAGATGTAACCCTCTGTGGTCGCCTTGGGTAATATTTCCACATCGCGTTGTGGCAGAGGTCGCATTGGGAAGGTATCATATATATATATATATATATATATCCCTTGGACCACTAAGATCAGGAGATCAGGCAGCAATACACACCGAGTCACGGGCACATATTAATATCCCAGCAGCCAATATCTCTGTTGTCAACCTCAAACTCATTTCCATGACCTCAGCTCAGGGGGATTGCTGCCGGTTACAGACTCTAAAGGGTTAGGCGGCCCGCCACGCCTCACCCTTTAAATAGTCGGTTTCTTAACCAGTTGAAAGCCTGGGACTAAGTTTTTGGCGTGAGAGCCAGAAAAGTGGATATTTATCAGAATAAATAGTCGACCTCAAACCTTAAAAAAGCAGCATCATCAACGAGGGTAGTAGGGGTTGGAAATACCCTATCACTCGATTCAAATAAATAATTGAGCAGATAGGCTCGCATCAATATATAAATAGATGCTAATATACGTATATCTGCGTTTATTATTCTGCTGCATTCTATCATCTCATTTCGTGCCATGGCGACTATTCAACAACCCCTGGAGTCGCTCCACACAACTTTCCTCGACCAGCCTCCGAGCTGCCTCGAATTCTGTCCTGCAGACCCAGATTATGTCGTCATCGGGACATATCTTTTATCTGAATTATCATCGGAAAGCTCAACTGTTACTGAACAAATAAAAACCGGAACCATACAGCTCTTCAAGCTAGATCCGGAATCCTGTCAACTGTAAGACTCCATGCATGCATTTAATGTCGGTATATTGTTTTCCTCTATATATCCGTTATAGTTAATTTACGCAAAACGAATTTTTTCTAAATGCCATTGCCAACTGGAACGTAATAGCACTCAAATCCATAAAACACTACTACCCCATGCGGTCTTTGACCTGCACTTCTCGCCACGAGACCAAAGCCAATTCGCAATCGCCACAAGCGCAGCATCAGTATCCTTATACCGCCTTGAATATTCCTCACCAAAGGCTCCCAGTAGCATCGTTCACTTGACCACAATACCCGTTCACGAGGACCCGAGCATCCCCGCCCTCTACCTCTCCTGGTTGCCGCCACCACCGTTGCTGGCGGGGGATAAACGAGTCAAACATAGCCATGGCCGTGACCATTCTCCTAGCCAGCTATCTACGGACGGTTTCGCCGTCTCCTTTTCAGACGGGAGAGTCTCCATCTTCCATACTAACCCCCCTTCTCACGACTTCTCCAAAGAATCAATGACAGAGATAGTGTTACCAGGCGAGCCGATAGAGGTCTGGTTCACCACGTTCCATTATGGTAGATCATTATCCGGAGAAGAACATCTTACGTTGTTTTCCGGGGACGACTTTGGCGGTTTGCGTGTACATGAATTTGCTGGGGACGGGGATGAAGGTAGTAGAATGTTGTGGGATGATGGGCAGTTCACCGCCCAGACGATGGAAGTTACTGTTGGCAGAAAGCATTATGGAGCAGGAGTAACGGCGATTCTGCCCTTGTTTACTGAAGGTGGGGAAACAGTGTTGCTTACGGGGAGCTATGATGAGTATCTTCGAGTGTACAAATTTACGGGGCGAGGGTCTGTTTTAGCTGAGGAAAGGTTGGGCGGAGGGGTGTGGAGGCTGAAGATCATTAGGGAGGTGGAAGATGAGATTTTGGCGCTGGAGTGGCCTTCGAGAACAGGGAGGTCACGCTCGTACTTGGTTCTTGCTAGTTGTATGCATGCAGGGGGGAGAATTGTTAGGGTGACTTGTTCTCTCGGTAGTGAAGGTGATGCGCCAAGGGTGGGATCATGGAGTATTGAAACCCTGGCGCAGTTTACGGAGCATGAGAGTATGAATTATGCATCGGATATTTGGAGAGGTAGAGAGGAGGGTGAGACGCAGGGCGATCCCTTGCTCTGTGTCTCGAGTAGCTTTTACGATAAGAGGGTTTGCATATGGAAGGCAAAGGTTTAGGATTTGGAGATGTATGCCTCCCCGCTTCCTGTTAGGTTGTGTCTTTTTAAGCGAGCTGATATGTGAGTGGCATATGGTGGACGGATTGATACACAATGCAAGTCATAAATATATGGCCCTCACATGTTATCTATGTGGTGCCACGGAAGGAAAATAGAAATGTGAGAAAGAGGAAACTCTGCTGGCAATAGTGGGAATACAGGAAAATTCCTAATCAACGACGTACGTTCAAGACTGTATATAGTGCATTGAACGCTCTATTCTCTCCTAAGCACTTAGGATGCTCATCCACGCTATATGAGTTTCAGGCGAGCAACAACAGTGGCGGGGAGGCGGGAGGTACAAAGAACAGTCGCCGTAACTACACAATCGTCCCTAGCTGCTGAGCATAGCCAATGCCATTCTCAATAATCGAGCGACTGGCGCGTGAAGCACTCTTCTCCGAGCCCTGTACCTGTTCCGCCTCTGATTGAGGAAAGTATATTCTCCCATCCCTGAGAATCCAATCACGAGATTCTGCAAATTCAACAACATCCCCTTCCGAGTCGAGCTTTAGAACATCTTTGGCGCTCGATATGGAGAGGGATTCGTATGCCTTCTCGGCGCTCGCGGCCATCCACATTCGGATTGTGCTTAGTAGGACCTAGAAAAAGGCTATGAGTGGTGGAACAGCGACAACCCGAAGGCGGAGATTCTCCCCAATTCCCTTTCCCTTATCTCCGTCTAATATAGATCACGAGTGCAGGAAGCTCTCTCTAGGAGGTACATACCGGCGAAAATATTTCAAATTCCTCAGGCAGCTTTGCTTGTCCGGACAAAGCTTCCGAATTCCCTTTCTTCCTGGCCTGCTGCTTCAACTGTTCCCACGCCACGTTATACCTTCCATCCGTCATACTAGCCGCTAAATCAATCGGATATTTAAGCATGGGGTCATTTTTGACACTATCCTCATCTACATCCCTCAGCCCAGCCAAAACCGTATCAAATTCTGTAATATTGCCCTCGCTCAACAGATATACCAGATAGAGCGCCGTAATTTTGTTTCTTTGGCTGGCGCTCGGATTTAGCCGTTCCAGAGCGGGGTCTTTCGCCATTTGAAGTGCTTGCTCTCTGTCGTAGAATGGTTTTAGTAGCTTGTAGCTAGTGGTGAAAAGGGCTTGGTTTCTTGGGTCATCTTCTCGTAGGTGAAGTGAGGTAATGGCGGACAGCTCTAGGGCTTCACGGGCGAGGCAGAAGAGTTTGTCATCGATTGAAGTGGTTAAGGAGAAAGCTCCCAGCTTGTGAAGGATTGGTGCTGTTTTTTGAACAAGTTTTTCAGCTTGATTAAACTGCTTGCGTTGAAGGTTACTCTTGAACGCGGCGATGAGGTCAAGAAGCTCTCCGAGGTCCTTGTCTGGCATGGTGGGGTGACGAGGCTTCAAAAGATGGTTCACAGGGAAGAGAAAGAAGACGAATAACGCGTTGACCAAGGCTATAGTATAGAGCTGAAAATGACTTTCGAGGAGGGGAGTAATATGGACGCTGTCGGCGTAACATGGTCAGGCTGGCGCCGCAAGAAGGTTTTTCCGCCTTGACATTCTGTCACGTGGTATGACGACGAACTCTCCTTTTCCTAATAGGACGGACGTGAAAGCTTGTTTATTTACACCTGCCAGGACGCTCAGTATAAATTATTTTCTATGTATACCCCTTTTGCGCGCCATTCCGTTGGCGGTTTTAACCATTATGATTCAGTATCATTATTATAACAGCAGAGCTCAATGTAGGCCAATGCTGGCTAACGGAAGCTTCTTCCTCCAAAGAAAAATGCAACTCTAATATGCTAGACCAAACCCTGCCCCAGCGCCACTCTCATCTAAGTGAAGGAAAACCGATGCAATGTTGTGTCTTTCAAAAGAAAAGAACAAATATAAAGTTGTTTAAAAAAAAAAAAAAAAAAAAAAAAAAAAGCAAAGCAAAAGCCAAAAAAAAGTCTTAAAACGGCCTCATAAAACTTTCACGATTTCGGCGAGCAATGCAAAATTTGGCGTACCCAAGCCTGTCACAGGGTCCCATCCAGTCGTCGCATTCCAGCCGGCTCCGGGAATGTAGGGCGCATCCAAGCCGGACAGCTTGGATATGCCGGTACATCCTTCCGAATAACCCTCGACGATGTCGTTTAAACCTACCCCCTTGAGACTATATAGGAGTGGATTGAGAAATCCAAGCACAGGTTTCCCGTGAGCTAGGCGGATAGAGTTAAGATTGGCTACAACTGCTGCGAATACGGGTGCAGAGGCACTGTTGGGGTGGTTAGACAAACGGGTTTTCTCAAGGTTGGCTTTTAGGGGTAAGTGTCATAGCAGGAGAAGGGAATAGGGTCTAAATTTGGACAGGGAGAAACAGGAAACTTGCGGGGAGTTCGAGGATAAAGGGGGCTAGAAACTGCATTTCACGAACCTCGTTCCTGATGCATAGATGGGTCTCCCATGATCAATAATGTGAAATTGTGCCGACTGCGCTGCGACATCTGGGAACCCACGACCTGCAGGGTTATAGAGTCCTTCCCATTTATTGCCTAATTGGGCCAGATATGCTGAAACTGCTTCATCTTGGTATGCCGGGCGGGAATATCGGTCAGAAAATCCTCCCGAAGAGAAGTATATTGCAGTCTCAGGGTTGGCGCCTTGTGTCCCACCAACGGATGTTAGGAAAGGGCAGGCCGCTGGAAAGACGGGGTCGAATTGTGTAGTGTTTTTGCCATCGTTAGATTGACAGGCACTTCCTGGTCCATAGTCTCCACTAGCGAAAAGGACTGATACCCCGCGTGCGCCTAGTTGGGCGAACAAATTGCAAGTTGAATTTGCGTATCTCTCCGGTACGCTGCGTTCATTTTCACCGTATGAAGTCGTCAGAATGGCTGGTAATTCCTCATCTGGAAGGGAGAGTAAATAGTGCAATTGGTCTAAGTAAGGCTCATTCGTGTTCGCATTTGGATCAGGGAGATCGAGGTCAGGAACCATTGGGCCACGTCCCCCTGTGGTGTAATATACCGTCGTAGCGTTGGAAAGGCCTAGCGCATACTGAATGTCCAGGCTAGCTTCGGTTGATGACAGGCTCGAATTTTGCAAGTTCAACCCGCCGTTGATGGAAACCACATCAAAACAGGATCCTTCTAATTCCGGGGCGTACAGTTGAAAGAAGAGATCCAAATCGCTGTACCTTGCGTATTGTTCAAGGTAGCCCGAAACTCCAAGCTTATTGCGAGGATCTGGGGTAGCCGTGAAATTCCCCATGTTATACATTTCTCGAATGCATGCTGGAGCAACAGCAAGGCTGCAGTTAACTGGGGGATAAGGCTCATCAGGTTCCACAAGCTGAAGAGCGCTAGCGCTTGTTGCGTCGGGTCGGAGTTGACTAAATCTCGTCGTCGGCTGGATCATATGGACATAAGGGAAAATTTCAGGGGGAACACAGTATTCCAGCGTTCGAATTACCCGAGTGCCGCGAGTTGGGTTGTAAAAATAGAAGAATTTCGTTTGAAGTAGCCTTTCTGCTTGCGCGACTGATATTTTGAAATTGATCCAGTCGCCATGGTCCGCAATCGCCGTCTTGGAAACACCTCCTCGTTCTAACCATGACAAAATTGATTCTGACACTTGCGGTAATGGTTTTAGGAACTTCTGGACTTGATCTCGCTTCATATATTTACCATAGGTTGGATGTCCCGGTGTTGATAGATCGAGGACCGCTTGTTCAAACAACCATCCATTTTCTTGCGTAACAGCAAGGCGAAATTGTATAAGGGTATTTGGGGGAGGAGCTTCTTGTTGCTTCCACCCTGGAGGAACTGAAGGAAGCCATTCTACTATATCGCACCTAGCAGGCAAAGGATTTGGGAAAGTGAGAGCGGGTAAAACCAGCGTAGAGGCTCCAATGAAGCCTAACAGAAAGGCGCGCATTCGGAAACGACAGACTGGTCGGTCGGATAATATATTCTAAAAGAAATGTCCTCCAGAAAACGAAGTACCGTAAACTTGATGCAACTTTCGGTCTTGAGTAGGGATGGGGGAGGGCTTCCATGCCCTTTTAAATGATACAATGAGGAACAGGGGCATTATTACCTTGGAGAGTGTACAGAGTGAATTAATGTAGCAGAACTGGGAACACCACTTTCCGCGTCTAGCTTAAACAAGGAACCCCTTAGCGGTTGAATAGCCCAAAGAGTTAAAGGAGCGTTTAATGCGACCATATGCATCGTACAGCGAGACACAAGATATAGCACTGGTCGATATCTAGAAGATAGGTGTGACAGCATACGGATGGTAACAATACAACAAGCGAAAAATAACAGTGAGATGCGCACCCATATCCAAATCTAGCGCCTGGGCGTTTGGCAGCATGTCTAGGAAAAAGGAAATGAAGAAACTCATTTAAAATGCCCGGAATGTAAAAGCGCTGGCATGTAGCACTGCATTCCGTTTCCATTGGGCAGTTTGATCAGAGGGAAAGCAGGTTGATGGTGAGCCGAGAAGCCTGCGCGGGTTTTTCTGGAAACCCAGCCCGCTGCTCAATGACCAGCACATCAACTGGGTTCATATAAATACAGCTTGGCTAATAATGCCCATGAATAAATCAAGGCACCGTAGATAAGGACGATCTTTTCTTGGACTGCAAAACAAGGGCGCAGAAGATGGGTTCTTAGGGGGCCAGATCAGATTAACTTTCGACAAATAAAAAAGGACAAGATTCAACGCGGATTCGCAATGACCTGGGTCGGCCTCACTGGGTATGAAATCGGGTTCAGCTGAATCAACAACAGCCGCGTCTATACATCCATAGACTGTATAATAAACGCTTGGCAGATCTAGAGCCTATCGTGACGTATCACAAGAACCAAGAGGATTTGCCATCCCTTGCCATAAGCATGTTTGAATAACACATAACAATAGAAGAAGCTTATTGTCGGATTCTGGCTGCTTCCAGGGTTCAAGGTCTTTGCCGGCAGATCCCACCTGTGCCGTGCTTCCGCATTGCATTATTTCCAGAAGAAATATCTCGAAGAGAGGTTGGTTGGCGGTTGGTTGCATGAAATTCAGGAACGAAAAAGAGGCTTAAAATCCCTGGAAAGTTTCAACCGTTCTTGTTTGTCGAAGTGACAAACATTGCATGTCACGTGCAGTACATCCCCGCATCGACTTATCTTAGGTAAATGTACAGAGCCGATGGATGAACCACTTGAACGGCAAGCAAGGAGACAGAAGGAATTTTCCCTGCTCGTTGGATTGCCTGATATCATTATTGTTAACATCACATTTGTACTGCTGGAACACACGGTCTTTCTGCGGAATACCCCAGGTATAATATCTTGCCTTCTCTCTCAAGCTGCGATATTCCCCCGCCCCCACAGGCATCGCTGCTATATTTGGCTTCTCAGACGACAATGAAATCCCCGAATACCCCGTAATCGACGGTTTCCTGTTATACGAATAGCTGGTGTCCTATTGATTTAAGGGACTTTAAAAGTGCCCCTGGGGAGTATTCCATCTTCACTATACCAATTTATGCCATATCTCGATCTTCATCGCTTCGCATTTTCGGAAGATCGTTCTTCGCAAGGATATAAAATGTCCTCTCCAGAACCCTCTAGTGCAAATCAAATGCCCAATGAGGTCATTTCGCGGAACAAAACTGAGATATCATTGAAGGATCGCTTTTTCCGCTATTTTCAGCATGAGATTACAGGTGGGGTTTGGCCTCATGCAGCCGTCACGATATGCCCCGTTCTTCGCTAACGGAAATATGGATCTGTAGCTCTTCAGGAGCAGATGGACCGTCTAGGTGACACTGCGCTAATTGGAGGGGAGCGCACTGATGCTATAGATCATTGTCTAGCGGGGATTGCTCGGCTCTCAAGTGAAGTTAAAGATGCGTCAGCTTCTATCCCTCCATATGACCAGCGGATATATGCCGATGTACGTCACTGCGGCCAACAAATTTTTGTGATTTCAGTTTCATATGCAATTTGTTGAAATCTGCGTGCCGTTTTCTAGCGTGCTTTATGGTCCCTTCTTACATTTTTTAGGCGATTAAAGCTCTCCAGGACAAGCTCGCTGAAGTGCGAGCAAGCTTTGCGCCGCGATCTAAATTTTCCTTTAAAACCGCGCGCAAGAACCCTTCTGCGATATCCTTAGCAGATGCTGCTGAGATAGCGGCTCAGGGTCGTCGGCACATTCCTGGATACCGATCCAACGATAACTCGTTGCAGTCGTCTGCCAACCCGTCACCAATTTCATGTTCAACCCCCATTAACGATCGCATGTCCTCTCGTCAACAACAAGCTTCGGCACCTCGTGAAACATCTGAGTCATCTGATGATTTACATAAAGCGGATGCCGATAATCCAAACACCTCCGTTTCTGTCTCATCCGTTTCCATCAGCTCCCATACTGGTGTCCATATCGTGCTACCGACAGATGCATCACATGCCACTATACCTGCATCGATAACATCACTACAGCATTGCGTTGTGGACATGTTAATTCCCACCACGGATGGGCGACGATTTGCTGGTCTTGTGATAAAGGGGGTTACCGAGAGTCTTCTCCTCTGCGGACAAGTGAATGGCCCTGCGCATATTACCGGAGTCAAGCACAGCACTATTGTGGTTTCCTGTCACCAATTCCGCATGCACGATTGCTTAGACGTAGATGTCTACCTAAGCTGCTCTAGCAAACCAATCATTGAAGACTGCAGAGATATCCGATTTGGCAAAATCCCCGAAATTTATGTATGTTGCCTTCCAATGTCTTCCGCCTCGTCCGCTTTCTCTATCCCTGCCCATGTAACAAATTAAAATCCCATGACCCCAAGTACTGCCTTGACTAATCATGCAACTTTATGTAGACACCGAAATCCTCAGATGGCGCGCAGTCAAACTTCTGGGACGAGGTACAAGATTTCAAATGGATTAAAGTGGAACAAAGCCCCAACTGGAGGATCATAAAAGAAAATGAAAGAGTCCCAGATGATGTGTGGGCAACCAATCTTTCTGGTGGACCCGGCGTATCAGTAGACACTATCTTAAAGGCGGTGAAGGTGATCCGATCTTGAAGTCAGCTATCCAGATCTCTCCTCGAGAGTGCCAGCATTTTCGCAACACGTGGATCGTTAGTATCACCTGTTACGAGGGTTCAAAGGCCGACCGCCCTTATCCGTAAGCAAATATACCTAGTTACGAAACGACAAGACAGACTCAATAGAAGAAACGAGCGGTGACGCACCTAGTCTTTCGAAAGCGGCCAGGCGAATATACTCCTCCCAGAAATGGCCCATAAGTCAAAAAGCGTCCGCCTTCCGCCAGCTCACTGGTTGGATAAAGTTCGCCAATAGCTAGTTTACAAAAGAAAAAGAAAAATATTTGGCATTTCTGACCTCAATTTGGGCTATTTGGCCTTCTTCTGTTGCATGTATATATCTCCAGACTAGAATATGTTGATATCAGTACTCTCTTTGTTGTTTTTGAGAACTTAACATCAAGTCGCAGTACAACGGAATAACATCCTTACGCCTGTCTGCTTTGTTTTAATTAGGAATATAATATATGCCTGGGTATGCTTGCTTGGAGTGAGGTGTAATCAACATACCTGCCTGCTAGGTATGCTTATCCCAGTTACACCTCCCTTGGAACTGCTTGACTTCAATTGTTCTGCGGAAGAGGCAGCATGATATACACAAGTCCACTTCACATCTTTGGATCTCAATTTATAGAATGCTGATTGACATCTGAGTATTCATCCCTGAGTAACTCAGTGATGAGGTTATTCTCTGAAATCCTTCAGTAATTTTCAAAACTGGAAATGATCTGCTCTTATCATCAACCTACAACCTACAACAGGAAAGAGGAAAATATTATCAAATAATATTAGATCATACACTTGTAGTAGTTAAGCAAATGGCGACTAGATACTAGCGTAGATAGCACCTAGACTGCGCAGAAGGGTTCAATAGAAGTGGTAAAATTTGAACTAGTCTAGGAAAAAGCATGCTACAAGGCAAAACAATGCCACTGCGATACAACAGAGGAGGGAGGGGACACAAAGAAAAATCCCCCTCCACTCCACTCCATCCATTATTGGGGAGTGAAGTCTACCATAGAAGCATTATGCATATGCGGGAAGAACCAAACAGTCATACAATGTCGTTGAATCATGCAAACGCATAGCACTAGAGCCGCATCGATGCGCAAGGGGGAAAAAAGGTTCCTTGGCAAGTCAAAGGATAAAAAATAAAATATACTAAGAAGAAATAAGGACAGGATTACGTCCTCTTTCAATGACGGAAATCCACAACCTCAAACTCCAAGCCTTTAGCCTCAAAGACATGTCCGGGCCTTAGTGCATCGGTATATATGTTAGGCTCTGAATGTGGGTGGAAGAGCCCCGGCTGCGTACAGGCAAGCACACATTTCAATCCCGGTGGGTCCGTGAGCCGGAACACACCCCAATCCGGATCCTTGCTCGGTGCGCAAACAATCGCAATACTTTCCGCTAACATTACTTGATAGCCGGATTGCGTGTGCAAATCGCGCGAGCTCATGAAGCACGTCTGCGTTGGATGAGTGTGTATCCAGCCGAGAACCATTAGGTCCTCCGAATCACAGTAGTCGAAAATAGCTGACTCGTTGATCATTTCGCAGGTATCAGATGTTGACTCCTGCTCGGGAATTAAAAGCTTGGAAATGAAAAAGGCATTGGAGATTAACGATCCACAAAGGATACCGCAGGTTTCAAGGTTGCGCTCGGTATTTGGGGCGGCGAGGTAGAGGAATTGTTTTCGGAGGTCAGGAGATATGAAGATGGTTCGGAGAGGCGTGCCATTTTCAAGATAGGCTGACGGTTTAAACGTAAAGGTTGATGGGTGGAGATCCGTTCCTGGGGTTATGCTGTCGTTTGTTGAGGGTGGGGAAGAAGGAAATACCTTGTCCGGGATTGGGGGAGATATCAATTCAGGAAGGGGGCTGCTCGCAGGAGACTCTAAAGGTGAAGGAATAGGATGTTTAACTTTGGCAGGGAGTTGTGGGGGGAGAACTGAGTTGGATGCTACAGGTTCCACCTTACTAGGCACGGGCGGTGGTTGTTGACAGACATCATTAGAAGGCTGGTGTGGAACATTAGGGTATTTATAACTGGATATTTGCCGTAGGTCAGTTGGCCGCTGGGGGGTGTGCGCCCTTTGTAAGTGACTGTGGGAATTTGAAACATGGCGATCCTGAGGTGAGAGCGGTCTGCGGGTCGTCCTCTCGTTTCTTACGACTTTTGATCTAAGGTCCTGGAGGCGTCGACTGAGGTCGTCTGCTGGTTCATCATTAGATTTGGGGTGGAAGCCTTCAACCCCGTAGGTTCCTAATATGCCTTTCGCATATAGGTCCTCGGGTTGAGTTGCCGTCCGAGCAGTTGCCCTTCTGCTGAATTCTCTCTGGGCAAGTTTCACAGCCAACTCTCTGTTCTGAGCCGCTTCCAGAGGCTCCGCTACTCCAGCCAACGCGGGATCAATCGGAGTTGTCGCAGTTGTAATGACATCATTTCCCAATAGAGGCGCTGTTCGTCTAGCCTCTCTGCTACGAATAAGCTGGACGTAACGCTCATAGCGCTTGTTGATGCGTGGTTTTAGCTCTTCTAGTTTGCTAAGGTTCCTCTGGACTTCCCGCTTCGCAGCCGCCACAGCTTTACGATTATCCTCTTGTCGTGCATCGGGGTGAGTCGCAATGTGGGAGAGAACTAGTTGTGCGTGCCTAAAAAGTAGAAGGTATGCCTGTTGGTCGTTTCCCTCACGTTCGTAGATGCTTGCCTGGAAGCGTAAAATAAGTCAGTCACGGAATGCCCAAGATCGATAGAAGACATAAGCGCACCTCTTTAATAAGTAGCCCGGCTGCTCGTATCCAGTACCGCAATGGAGAAAAGGGGTCAAACTCGAATTCTGTAGCTTGACGAGCAATCTGCTCGACATTCAAAGGTGGTATCATTTTCGGGTTGTCTAGCGGGGTAGATGGCATGGCCTGACGCTGTTGTCCTCGAAAGTTCTGACTGGACGGGATGGATGTAGAATGAGAGTGGCTTCTTATTTACCCGGATAAAAACTTTAGAGAGAATGCCAACAGTGACATGTGGTCCATCGACTGAGCTATCAAAGTTAGGGATTGGTGGTGGGCAATCTTCGGGCGCGGGGAAGATTGGACGCTGAATGGCGGTGGTCCTGGCATGAAACAGAACACAAGAGCATATTTCCGTTTGCCTGAGCTAGGTCATAAAGTCTCCGCAGTGAAGAAATCCTATATTGCTGCTGTAGTCCCTGTCGTCCACAGTGGTTGATGCGGGACGGAGGAGGAAATGTAATAAATATAACCAGGCAGCTCTCTCTCTCTCAGGGAAACCTTGTAGTCATCGCGCGCCAAGGCCGAATTTTCCCAAAGGAGAAACTTCTTCGGCTTCAACTTTTTGATTTCAGTGATAGGAGCTTCACTCCACCATACATTGATACCTTTCAATATATTTCATTCAGGCGAAGGCCTGGTCTCCGTTCGCTCTTTTATTTTCATGTGTATATATTTACTTAGTTCTTTATAACTTTGTCCTGACCCGCACTAACTACAATCCCCGTTCCATTTTCAAGATCGCGACTGACTAGCTGCTTGCGCTGCACAATGCCAAATGCCAGCACTTCCAGCATCAGTCATACCGAAGGCGCCTTTCCCTTCTTCCAATGTCTTCTCATCTGCAATATCGGCCGTAATGGCCAAACGGCCACCTTCCTTCAACCAGCCTAGATCTCACATTGCTAGCTCGTTGCTCTGCGGTAAATTCACATCATAGCTCACATAAGGCCTAACATGACCGTGTTTGCCCTGCAGTGCTCCATTGTCCGAAGCTAACTCCAGCACCATGTATGTAGACGATCTTCTACAACGATTGGGTCCATCATTGAAGAAGCATTCCTCATGCGATATCATCGACGTTTTCCCTGGCGCAGGATTACTCTCAGCAAAACTACATAACCATCTTAAACCTCGACGTCATCTTTTAATCGAACCCAATACCAACTATTACCAGTCATTTCTAAAACCTTTGACCGAAGAACAAGATTCTACTTACAAACATTTGCCCTGGGACCCGTTAGACCTCAAAACCTATGATGATCTATTCCTTCAAGGACATCTGCCAGAACAAACCAAACAGCCACCTGTTTGGTCTCAAGGCAGTGGATGTGCTACGAATGACAGCCTACTCGTACTGGCCAATATGACTGCGAAGCCGCAATATGGGCAAACGTACACTCTTCTACTACGATATCTTGAGGCGTGTTTGGACCAGACATTGTTTCATCGATACGGGCTAGTGCGAATGATCGCGCTCCTCTCATCTGATGATGCGGAAGTACTATTGCCTAGAGTAATTTCTAGGCGGAGGCGATCTGCTGTTATCGCAGAGGCTACTTGCTCAGATATAACGGAAGTTGCTGGTGATTCCGCCCGTGAGTTGTGGCATTCACAGAAGGGGCTTTCAACGTTGGAAGTAAGTAGAAAGCAAGTTGAAAACCGATTCAAGGAGGGCGGCACAGTTACCCCTCCTGGCCGTGATGCTAGCCCTCCGGAGCTAGCCCCAGACGCGGGAAAGTACGGAAAGCGTGAATCCTATGTGCCTCGACCAAAACGCCCGTGGCATGACACGTATATTGAACTGACTCAAAACCCCAATCTTCCGGACCTTCGGACACCTGCACAGAGGGGAAGACCGTCATTGAAAAGCCCTAGACGTACTGATACGACCGATAAATTAGCTCATGGCAAAGTTACCGCTCTGCATAGGCGTCTCGTTCACGAGAATCGGGATGAGGCCTTGTTTAGAAAAGCGGAACCGAAAGTAATACAGATTGAGCAGCTAGAAGCTGAACTGGTTTTGATGCTACAGACCAAATCGCCGACTCTAGCAGATGTACTCAAACGTGTAAAGCAAATTCATGTGGAGTTATTGGAAGTTGAAGAACAACTCAGCTCGCGCAACAGCGTCGCATTGTCGCGCTTCGATTCACTTATGGAAGAACGAATGTGCTTCGACGGCATTCGGTCAGGCACTAAGGAACCTCTTCTACTCTGGGATAAACGTCCATATGAGCCGTTTGATGTCGGTTCCGACGAGTTTACACCCAACGGCTTGTGTTCAGTCATCGATTTTCAGCCGAATCCTAATTCGAACATCATCCAAACCCAACAACAGCACATCAAAAATAAAACGCTTCACAACTATCACCTGATGCTTCGGGCCTACCGCCATATCATGGGCACGGTAACAACCCACAGCCAAAGATCTATTGGCGATATCCTGCGCCCAATGTTTCCTGATCGCTCGATGTCCAGTTTGATCCAATCAATCCCCAACCTCGCCCCATTCGCGAGGCCGAAAATCCTTCAAATGGTCGATTCAAAGATAAAAATGAGGCGCTTGATATCCCTAACCGAAACAGTTGATGTTAACAAGCCCATTCAAGAGGTGGCGCCTGAACTTGCGGAATACGACGAAAACTGCTTCAGTTCAGTCAAGGTCCGACATTTGCCGTCCTCTGTCTTGTGGGATATAATCGTCGAATGGCAAGGATCGTCCAACGGCTTTGAGGCTGAAGAAGACATATATAAAGTGCTGGGCGGGGCCCGACTTAAACGGATGGATGGGGAAGCTTTCACGACGGGCTTCGCATAAGAAGGCGTAGCCCATCAATGGCATCGAAATGGCAGCGCCGATTCTCAGACCTCTTCTCATCATGTTGCCATATACCATGCTATTTACAATGTATATATAGACCTAATGCCTCTGTACAATATTTATCCTTTAATAGACTTTACCGTAATTGGGCTAGAAAAAATTTCTTAGAACCTTTTTCATGAAGGCATTTCCAGGTGTTAGTGGGTGGCTTATGCTCGTTGATTTTTGAAATGGGTTTATTCATTAACTATCTTACCCTCTCTTTCTCTTTCTTTCTTTTTTTTTTTTTTTTTTTTTTTTTTTTGAAGTTCAATGAGTGCCCTCTCGTGTCCGTTGGAACTATGGTTGCAACAAATAAGCTTAATTTTATAGTTAATCCTTCTTCAACTCAGAAGGCTCGGTGATGTAACAGGTCGCCCATTATTATTAATAATTGTAGCCGTCTGTCGTACAGACTCCAGCGTGGCTAAGTTTTGAATTAACTAGGCCAAGATAAATATGAAAATCCACCCCAACTCACTGCGAATTTTGCATAGTTCCTAATTTTTTATCTGAACACAACATCACAAAAAAGGAATGAACGAACACGATAAAATCTTTAAGAGAATCAGAGAGCAGGAAATATACAAAAAGCAAGTAAACATCAAAAGAAGCAATAGCAACCAAAAATGCCACACAAATCCACACAGAAAGAATGATTGATACCATCCTCCAAAAGAGTGTTTTTTTTTTTTTTTTTTCCTCCTCAGCGCACCGTTTCCCTTTTCCAAGGGACACATCACAACAGCCAAAGGGAAACTGCAGAGTAACTAAATGAAAGACAGTAGACCCCATTACTCCAACAACTCCAGAAATTAAAGGGAGTCCGGCAAAGAACTAAGAACGAAATGGAGAAGCCAGGAGCAGATGATACCACCGTCAATTCGCTCACTTCCGTTCTGGCCACCTACCATCCCTCAAAATTTCTTTTCCGTCCATTTCTGTTGTAACCTCTAACCTCTCTCTACACCTAAACAGAGCAAACTGAACCATCCCCTTCTGCCCTGTTCCTCAACCACGGTGGAATCAGTCCATGAAACATGCCTGAGAGTACACACGACGGTGCAGACTGCGTTAACCCCAACCCCAATGGCGTCCGTGGTAAAACAGGGACATGAAAAGCAGGAGGAAGAATATCAAAAGAATCCCAGGATGACATGCTGGTTTCTGTTTCGGTGTTACTGGGTAGGGAGTGTAAGGGGTTCTGGCCAGGGCTGCTACAGCTGTTGTTTGACAAAGGGGGTGAAAGTTCGAGCGGCCAAGTATGCGGTGAAGATGACATCGCTGTTTGTTGGCGAGGAGGTTGGTCTTGCTGATCCTGAGGATAATGCGGGTAGTGATGGTAATGCCCGTTGCGAGAGAGGGGACAACTGGAGCATGAAAATCTCTCATCGGCATTTCCGTCGTATTTGCCGCTGCATAGGCCGCCCATTGGTGACGAGGGAGGAGTATCTGGGACGTTCCGTGTAATTCCCTCTCGGTTGACTTCGTCGTTTGCAATTGGAATTGGCTCCCCATCTTGATCACGAGCGGCATGTCTGCCACCACTCCTGCCTCCCCCAGAACACCCGGGCGAGGATGCCTTGCCATCTAGACAGCCGTTGCCAATCATCCTCTCATCAACCTCGTAGTCATATCCACCTCTTCGATCCAAATGATGAATAATATCCCTTCCTCTTTCTCCTCCCACTTCCAGCTCCCATCCAGTCCCCGCCGCAGTCCCATCACAAACCCTGGCCCCTCGAACCGCTACCAACTTCCACGTTGGCAAATGATACACCGCCCCACCCCACGTGGCAAACACCTCATACTCGCCAACCCGGATGGTGGGTTCGTCACTGACAGGATTCATGTACTGCTGCCATTCCGGGTTAAACCAATCTTCCCGCCCAATGCGGAGCCAGGGCGGGAGCTCATCAAGTGCGATGAGTGGAACGGCAACGCCATTATCGCGGTGGAGATAGAAAGCCGGAATTGGGGATATGTGGTGGACTGGAGTAGTTAGGTCGTGTGAAGGCTGATTGGGTGCGATGGATGTAGGAGGGAAGTGGATGTGGCTGTGGTGGTGGCAGCTGATATCTTGGGAGGAGCTGTGCATAGCTTGCGGGGCCGTGAATTGTGAGATGCTGCGATTGGCATAGAATGCCTAAGTGGAGCTTCACCTTTGAGGGAGTGTTCTCGGTTGCTTTGGCGAATTCGCCCACGATTAGATAGACCTCGAACTAGGAGAAGAATTAAGAGCGGTTGTCTCCCTCTCAATGCGGGCCAGTCCCTCCCGCAACAATTTTATGCGCCAATGAACCCAATAGAATTTGATAGTAATAGCAAGAAAAAATAAAATCAGCTGCGACAAAACATGCATTTGGTAACGAGTGGACAGCGTTTTTGGGAAAAGACTGACGTGAATATTTGCTAATGGATGAATAAATGTAATGAATGCTCGGTATTTTCATTTGAACAGAAATCAACAAACATGATAGATGCAATTTGCATTTTACCCAGCTGAAGAAGGAACTGGTCCAATGGCATATGAGGCCACATCTTGCCGTGTTTTATCAAACGTTACAGGGCAGATGAAGGAGCCACAGCCCGGGTTTTGGCGTCAGGGACTCATTTGATGTTTATCCATTATTGATAGTCAGCCCAGAAAATTAAAAAAGGGTCGGGAAATTTTGTAACAACCGAAGCAAGGAAGTTCAGATATAATTGTGGATTCAAGATGATTTAAAATGGGACAAGAAATTCCTATTCTGTTCATCTCAAATGGAAGGGCCATTTACATGTGAAGACATCGCAGTCTACGGATAAAACATTGTCGTCTGGTGCTTTTAAGAACACAAGTAGCCAAGCGAGGTAAAAATGAGGGTGAGCAAAATATCTTTGCACATTGGCCTAAGCCTAGGTATTGCGGAGAGGAAATTTATTAACGAAGAAAATTGTCAGTGATAGAGTGACATTGGTAGAATTAGACGAAAGCTGAGGAAAAGGGGCAAAGGTAAAGCGAAAAATTAATAGAAAAATAAAGACATAACGACAAGAGCTGCTTTTTATCCCCCCCCCTTCTCTTTCTAATAAATGAATAGAAGAGGAAGAACGAACTCCATTTCCGAGGCGGGTCGTAGGAACGTCAGCCGACAGAAACAAAACACCATCGCTCATGAAGGATTAACCATGCATCAAGCATGTAATGTGTAGAATAGTAAATAAATCTGAAATGTGACGAAGGACGTTGAAAGAAGGAAAAAAGAAGAAGAAGAAGAAGAAGAAGAAGAAGAAGAAGAAGAAGGAAGATATAAATAAAAAAAATGAAAAAATAAAAAAAATAAAAAAAATAAAGAAGAAAAGAAATAAAGAAATAAAGAAATAAAGAATAATTGTATAGAGAAGTTACTATAGGTATGCATAGAAAGTAAATCATGAAATAAAAATAAAATCAACCACAAACCACATGAAGTAGTTAGATATCAGCTTTGTGGTTCTGGTTTTAGGAAGGGCAACTGAGGATAACCTGCGATTTAACACGCAAAAATTAGCCAAGCTACCACTCTCTCCTAACGCAGAACCCTTTGGGTATCGTTATTCTTTGTTTTCCCCTCCATTTTCTCTTTCATTTTGCCGACTATCAATCATCAACAAGCATGGTTTCGAAGAAACGAAAATCGAAAGTAAAAATGAAAATGAATAAAACGGGGGGCGAACATGTCACTTCTGCAGCCCCTCAGCTACCATGCAATCATCAATTATCCGGAGCCAGTCAGTCGGCTTAATTCTAGTCTCGGGATCCTTCACAACCGCCGGAGAGAGTATCTTTTCCACAACACCCCCTAGGGGCAGCCTCGAGCCATGCACGCCGGACCTAACATGGTCCAAGACAAGGTGACCCTCCCTCGACATGGCTAACCGCTGCATATTGCTTGACCCGGGATACAGCAGCAAGTCACCAGTGACAGCCGCGAGCAGCGTGACAGCTAAAGAGAACACGTCCGAGGCCTTGGATTGGACAACGTCTGTGGCCTTTAGAGATTGGACTGTGAGCAGTTCCGGTGCTGCAAAGGGTGGTGTCAAGGCCGATAGCCAGGGGCTGGGTCCCTGGGGGCTAGGTTCGATGGGGGTCGATGGGTCATATGAGGATGTGAAATCTACGTGAAGGGGTTCGTATGGAAATGGATCCTCATCTTCCTTGGCGCAATCGCTGGCTAGTTTTCTTAGAGGTCTCAGTAGTATATTTTGCGGCTTGATGTCGCCGTGGACAATATGGCCGCATGAATGCAGCCATTCCAGGCCGCGGACCAGCGCCCTTGCGAGCGTGAGCCACCGGGGCATGCCGAGGACGGGATCAAACATCGTTTTTGTTGAGAATACTTGTCGCGCGGAGACGGCTTGACTGCTGATATATGCTGAGAGACTCAGTGGGAGGGCCGATAGGACAAGGGAATGCGATGCAGATATAAACCCATGGAAGGGGACTACGTAATGTTCAGCGCCAGGGATTCTACAGAGGCGCGAAAGAAGTCGTGCTTCTGCGCGTAGGATGGAATGCGCATCCTGCCGCACGGGTACCTTAACGGCAAGATTAGGGGTTGAACTTGATGTCGATACATGTTGTTGGGGTGGGGGTGGAGTTAGCGGGGAGTCTTGTGTTGTGGGAATCCAGCGGGATGTGGCGCTATACACAACACTCCAAACGCCGCTGCCGTATTCGATGAGATTGCCTCCTGAATCCCTCTGGAATTCTAAGTCATAGGTAAATTCCAAGGGTAATAGCGGCTGCTTTGGCAATTTAGTCTGCTGTCCTTCAATCTTCCCATCATCCGACGCCTTCTGACCAGGTAATTGTCTATCCTGCGTTCTTTGGCCACCACTCGATTCTTGAATATCAGTGGGTGTTATTGGTGTTAAAGGGGGTGTTAGCGCAGATGAAGGGTTTAGGGGTGACAGAAGTGAAGCGCTTGGGTCAACTGAAGTCTTCAAGGCCAGAGGAATAGGCGGTTCTTTGTTCGACATGACTGGATTGAATGGGCGGGAATTTTAACTATACTTAGATGCACAAAACTTGATGCACGTGCTGTATGATGCTGTAGGGCTTTAGTGGTTCGTCGAATATCAGATAGAGATAATTCCCGTTGGGAAGTGCGCGCAGAGTAGCTGCAGGAGACCAGAAGGCGGGATTCCTTAGTGGCGGCGGGCGGCTGAGGCGGAGGCGGAGGCGGGGCCGGGGGCGGAGGACGGTGGCGGGACGTGAGAAAAAAAAAGTGGGTTTCCGCTATGGAAGAACAGGTATGTTTCTCAGCCTAACGTTATTTGGGATCGCGCTTGTAACTGGCAACGCATAGTGAGGATGGCGGCTCCAGAAGAGAGTAAAATAGGTCAGAATTCTCTCGAGCAGATGAAAAGGACAATCGAGGTGCCTAACACTCGAGCTGACAGTCGTCTCAAGGAGGAATGGTGACTTCCGCCGAAGGAAAAAAAATTATTTGCGTAGCGTAGGGCGACAAATAACAAACGGACGACGAGTGTTTGGAACTGAGGACGACGAAGAGAGATCCCAACGAAGAAAGGAAGACAAGAAGCAGAAAAGGAAAAACAACAGAGAAGAAATAAAGAGAGAAATAAAGAGAGAAAAATAAAAATAAAAATAAAAAAAAATAATAGAGTCGCAGAACAGCGTGGGATACCCTAGTCACATCCCCCACAGCCCGCGATAATTGGGGAGATTGTTGAACCTCTTTCGCCCATGGAATGACAGCAAAACCAAGCCGCAACCGCAAAAATTGCCTATATTACGCGGTCCAAGGACAAGGGACAAACATTTTTTCATTTTGTATGTATATTATTATTATCCCTATCAAAACCTGGCTGAACGACTGAGCCATTCTGCCATGGCGGAATCGGCGAGGGAAATTTTTCGGAAGACAATTCAAATGGTCTGCAGAGTCTGCTGTATATGCAGATGCGGAGATAAAAAGCTGAATTGAGGACTGACTGTTATTAGTAGAAATCGAAAAGAATTAGTCTGTAAATTAAAGTAAGAAAAAACGCCCAATGACGATCTGCAACCTTTGCCCTGTGGATCTCTTTGAACAGGTTGAAGTCAAATTTTCCCATATCTTTTTATTTATCAGCCTCTTTATCTCTCCGCTCGTTGTGATTGAGTAGTTACAGACTCCATGGTCCATTTGGATTGTTCAGGGGGAAATATTAGGGAGCAACTTAAATCCGTGGAACCATCCATAAGTTATTTCTTTCCTCCAATCATTCCCCTCTGCTGGTCCACGGGTGGTGGTGGCTTTAACCCAATAATTATTAATGAAGATCTCTGGATGCTATTGTTTGCAAACAAATATATAAAATAAAAAGCCCTCCCCAGCAAGCAGTTACGCAACCCCATGTTTTTGTTTCAAGTTGAAACCTGTCGATTGATGGAGCTAAATGTAGAAAACTCCTCCCTATCCCGTATGGCCTGACCTGCGCCTATTTTGTTTTTGGAAATCGATTAATGAGGCTAGTATTTTTGTTGGCCGGGAAAAGAGTCGAGAGCGATGGCAAAATGAGAACCGTTCATGGACGAGTGGCCACCTGGCTGAAAAATATTCTCCGCTTATGATCATACATCTTAGGTAAAAGATGTAAAGTATAAATATACATAGAAAAATTAAAAAACGATAACGAAATCAGACAGCAGAAACAAACAAGAGCAGAAGAGGAAAGGAGAAGCAATACTAACTCCTTCTCGGGTGGTAGATCTAGAAAGACTATTTTCTGCAGTCGCAATCGAATATCTCCTGGAGGACGGCAGAAGTTAAAGCGGATTGATGAATCTCGAGAAAAGGATCCAGCAACAGAAAACGGTTCTGCTAGGCCAGAGTGGTTTTACATTTCTATATCCCATCGTACTGCGGCCGTTGAATGTTTCTCAGAACACTCCGATCCGCTCCAGCCTTTAGCAATAACTCCATAGCACCTTTCACGCCGATTGAGAACGGCGGATGCCAACCCAACTGTATCTTTAGCGTCCGTTCCTCTCTCGCGAGATGCTCCAGTAAAAGAGTCGCGACGTGAGGACAGCCTCTCTGCGGCGCTTCCTGGCATGCCTCCGGGGTGATCTCGGCACCATGGTCAAACAATAGCTGAATGATGGGTAGATCCCTGCAGCTAACTGCTCGGCTCAACGGCGTTCTTCCAGATCTATCAGCGTAGTTTACTTTTGCCCCCCTGTCGATAAGGTCCTTTATTCTGTCGAGAGAGCAACACTCAACAGCAACGGCCAGTGGCTGTACAACCCTTTCAGGGGTGTTGACAGGCGAGCCGCTGTCAAGAAGCAACTCTATAATGTCCTCATTGTCGTTACTCAACGCAAGGGCCAGCTTCGAAGGAGAAGAATGGCTATTTGCATCTTCCTCATCAGGGTCCTCCCCACTGGCCAGTAGCAGTTTCAACAGTGTAATGTTGTTTGAATCTATGGCGTAAGCAAAGGCTCCCTTCCTAAAGTCCCGAATAATAGCTTGCGAAACCCTAGCTCCTAACAGAATGAGCTGCTCCACGGAGATAAGATCATTGGAAAATATGGCCTGGGCTAGCGGTGTCATCAGATCTTCGTCGTCTTCCTCGTCGAGACCACCTAAAAAGTGGGCATTAAGTAGTTGAAGCATTTCCGCTCTGTTTGGTTTGCCACTGGTAACTGCATAATGATAAACTGTCGACATTACCAACTTGCTCCCGTGCTGATGAGCACCGTTCTCTAAAAGTACATTTATGCAGGACATATATCCTCGAACAATCGCAACTCCGAGAAGCTTATGTAAACCATAAGTAAATTCGAACCTGGAGTCGACAGCCCTGTTTACATGTTCGTCATCCTTGTTTGTGGACTGCCACTCTGCAATTTGACACTGGATAGATTTGAGGGCAATTGACTCGGTAGCAGAGCTGAGAAGGCACTCGGCGGAGTGGTATTTGACCAAGAGACGTCCAATTTCAACGTTCCATAGTCCTAGGACAATGTTAGACTGAGAGATCCATAGACCCACCATGAAATAGCGACTGTGAGGGGCTTGATTCAGGCGCGGATTGTTAAAGCCATGATACCTACGGCAAACAAGAAGATATTGACTAATACCCTTCAAGGACTCAAAAAGGCCATTGCAAAATGTAGGGAGCAACTTGCTGAGGATGAGAACTTGGATCTCATGCGGCAATGTATTCCAATTCGACTCCATCAAGGCGCTGAGCATCGACGAGCGGTGATGAAAAGGATCTGCACGCGTTAACCACCATACAAAAGGTTCGTTTCGGAATGCAAGTTTGATGGAGTAGGGATTGACAAGGTATGCAGACTGTATGCAAATACACTCCGTACTCTTTGCCAAAAAGAAGAGTTTGGGGTTGAGCAACGCGTAGACGAAGTAGAAGCGCGAACAACACCATAGAGTCACGTGTTCAGGGGAGCCCTGGAGCTGCTTCCTCCATATTGCTCCTGCGGGCAATACCACGGTCAATAAAAGCATCATCAAGCTCCTGTCATCGGTCTGGTTAACCCGGCTTGGGAGAAAGTGCTGGAAAAAGCTTGGATGACTACATCGGTCTTCTTTCTGATCGTCAGGACTGGATTGGATGCAGCGCTCTCGGGTTGGTTCAGGAGGCGACACTGCAGCATGCCAGGAACAAATTATTACACGCAGGATGCATGCCGGTCATCCTAATGCTTTGTTACACTCTCAATGCCGTCGTCTGCAGCCTTGCAAGTGAAAGACAACTTGATACACCGCGTCAGGGCACACAGCTCGTGGGCTTGGGAGAAGAATATTGACAAAACTTGGGATTGTTTCCTATCATTTTCGTTGCCTTCCGGCATGCTGATATGAAACTGTAGTTAGTAAATATCAATGAACTTGGCCGTGCGCTGAGTCGCGAATCCGGGCAACTTCGCGCTCTGGTTGCACCCTGTCACCCGGAACGAAAGGGCGCTGAAATTGGGATACTGGCAAACTTTGCGGTTGCCACTGATTAAGTGCTCCCGGCCGATTCCGCTGTCTCGAGGAAAGGTATAGATTACACGTCGCTATTATTGGGAATTCGTTAACATCTTATGTTGGATTCGATCTGATAGGAAGAAGTCTGGGGATGACTAACTCTGGTTTCGTTATTCCATACTCATTTACCTTCTTCCCCCTTACTCACTTTGAACTTCGTAAAATCGGCTGACATTCGGTTAAATAACCGCCATGAATGAGTTTAAATTGTGGGGGGGGATCCACCACCAACCCGCAGAACAACTTCCAAGTTGATACGCTGACTGAACCAGCTCCGTTTCCCGACGTCACGTCTTTGCACTGTCCGTTGAAAAGCAACCAAGATTAGTTAATTTCTGCGACCTCTCCAACCAGCTCATAGAGAACACGGACTGAACGAATCCCTCACCATGGCATCTTCCAGCAGTATCACCATCCATGTTCTAGTCGTGGGTACCGGCGGAGTGGGGACAATGGCATGCGTGGCCCTCGAAAGATCTGGGCGCGCAAAAGTCACAGCAGTCCTACGGTCCAACTACAGTCACGTCCAAGAGAATGGCTTCACAATTGATTCGATCGACCATGGGAAGTTGACATCATGGCGGCCCAGCGCAAGTACGAGTTCTACCTAGATGAATCAACGCAGAAGTAGGAAAAACGAGCTGTTCACTAATGTAGCGAGATAGTTGTAAATGCGGTACCCAAAGCTGACCCAGCTCATCCATTCGACTATGTTGTTGTTACGATGAAAAATATCCCTGAAACATGCAACATTCCAGAAACAATCCGGTCAGCAGTGACACCAGGACATACCGCTATTGTCCTAATCCAAAATGGAATTAACATCGAGCCGGAGTTTATCAAGGAGTTTCCCAACTGTGTGTTGCTCTCAGGTGCTAGTTACATAGGTGCTCATCAGCGAGATGGCCATGTCATCCACGACGACCACGATCGCATGGACCTAGGAGCCTTCCGCAATCCATCCCTGGACCCTTCAATCGAACAAGCAAAGCTCAAGGAGTTCGCCACTGTTTATACAGCCAGCAATGCGGTCGATATCAACAGAGTCGACGACATCGTGCTGTACCGATGGCGAAAGCTGTTGTGGAATGGCACCTTCAATCCACTGTGTGCCATTACCCAGCTAGACAGTGCAGCGATCAGGAAATTCGGGGGCGATTACAGCTTAATCCGGCCTGCCATGGCGGAAATAGTAGCAATCGCCCGTGCTGATGGCTATGAACTTGGAAACAATGTTATCAACGAGATGATTGAGGCGACGCCGCTTGAGCTCTCGTTCCGACCAAGCATGCTCGTTGACGTGGATAAAGGGAATCCGGTTGAGGTGGAAGCAATATTAGGTAACGCTTTACGGATCGCGAGGGGTAAAGGTGTCCAAACACCAGTCTTGGACAATACCTATCGCTTCCTAAAATTGATACAGGCCCGACTTTTGGAAGCGCGTGGGTTGATTACTACACCTAATGAATTACCTACCCATGATTTCATATAGGAAGCACTAGTATATGGTTTGCATGTTAGAGCTACCTAGTGAGTAGATGAATGGTAAATCCGTATTATAACTTCTCTGTAACAATTCATATTGCCTCGGCTCTCAAGCATGCTTCAATCCCTCTCTGGGGCCCATGATCAAGAAGAACAGATCCAGTGAATCATCAGACATGGTTACTGCGCTCAACAACCTCCAAGAACAGAATGCTCTCTCCCCGACCTAGGCCCACAACAAGATCAGGCAGTGAGATGGACTGGACTCAAATCGCTACCTCTCAGCTCCCCATGTCACACAGGTCAGAGATATCACCTCAGTGAGACTCTCTGTCACATTCTTCAAATCAACGACTGCATTCTTCAGAGACTCTTCAGAAAACAGAGCTAGTACTGATAACACTGACAACAACACAGATATATAATGAAGAGATAGTTCTTCTTCTCCTTATGAATGATTCAGATGAACTGCTGAAAGTTCAAGAATAAAATCATGTATCATTTCTTGTTCAAGATTATGAAAAATCATATATATGTTAGAAAAAGCACCTCAAATGTATCAAATCTTGAACACATCAAATCCATCCGTCCATCCATCCATTCATATCTGCTCAATCTATGAATTCATCCTTGTAAAGTAGCATTTAAATGCCTAGTTCAGAACGACCACTAAATACGTATACTAATGATAATAATTTTTCAAGTAAAAAGAAAATCCGAATCCGAATCCATCTCATCCCAGGAAAACCAGTAAAACCAGGAAAAATAAATAAATAAATAAATAAGATAAAAAAAAGATAAACCCCCCCCCCCTTCTATCCCCCACCAACCCCCTCCAACAAAAACACAAACGTCGCCTTCCTCCCCTGCACATGCGTCAGGTACGCATCCAACTCATGATCCTCATCAATCACATACACAACATCCCGCTCCGTTCCTTCGATCCTCGCAATCCGCGCATCCTTGAATCGGTTCGTCACTACGCTTCGCAACTCCGCCATTGTCCGCGTCGATAGCTTGTCAACCCAGGTCTTGGCGTTCTGGTGGACCTGCGACTGGGGGTGGATGCGGAGGTAGATGGGCACGGGGAGGAAGGGGGAGTGGAGCATTGGGTCGACGTAGTTGAATGATTGTTGCTGCTGTTGCTGCTGCTGCTGCTGCTGTTGTTGTTGTTGTTGTCGCTGTTCTTGTTGGTGGTTGTTGGGGTGGTGCGTTTGGGGGTTATTGTGGTCGTGATGATTTTGATTTTGGGGGTGTTCGGGTTGAAGCGGTTGGGGATGGTCTTGAGGGTGGTCTTGATGATGATGGTTGTGATGGTGATGATGCCTGTTCGCGGTTAGAGCGAAGGAAGGGTCGTTGGCGGCTTGGAGGAGCGAAGGGTCTATTTGTAGATCTGGGAGGTCCCCAGACATCATGGGCGCGCTGGCGAGGGCCTGAGAGGCGAGCGTACTGATGCCGTTGCGGATGATCGCCGGCGGTCGAGTGTAAGCAGAGCTAGTGCTGCTTTGGGCGCGTTGGGCGGTATTGCTCCCGTTGTTGGAAGTGGACGTAGAGGACCTCTTGCGGGACGGATCACGCTTGGAGATTTCATCTCTCAGCCTCTTGTTCACGTCCCTGCAGAGTATCTCGATGGCCTTGACCTTTATAGCGTGGTTCGGATCGGCTTCCCCAGCGGCGAGGATCCGCTGGAGTAGCTCGGAGCCCTTGATCCACCTCTCTTTAAGCTCGTTCCAATGTTCATCGCCAGCTTCCAGCTTGCTCGTGAAATGATCCGCCTTGAGGGTCTGGTAAAACGCATTCCGTATCTGCCTGCTCTCCTCAGGGTTGATCCCCAACGCATTCTTAGCCTCCGCAATAGTCATCCTCCGCTGCAATGTCCGCATGCGCTTCGTGACATCCGTACACACGACATCCAATGCCAACGCCTTGGCCTCAATCTGGCCCGAATTAGGCCAGAAGACACTCCGCAGGTGTGGAGATTCATCAATCAACCGATTCTTCGCTGCCTGCCACTTCTCCGGCCCGGCAATCGTCTTCTTAATAAACCCAGCCTCCTCGCAAATACGCTGGAAATGATCCCGAAGCTGCCGATACATCTCATTATCCAAGCTCAGATACTGCTTGCTCTCATCAATCGTCGTCTCGGAGGGGAACCGCGGCGGCCCCGGCGGATCTGCAGGTAGGCCCGCCCACCCTCTCGTTCTCCGCCGTCTTTTCCGCGTTGCCCATCTCTCCTCGCTCTCCGCCTGCAAACGCTCCAACCTCGCCTTCCTCTTTGCCAGCACCTCCGGCGACAACCTAGGCGACGGCGGACGCTGTTGAGCTACGTCCCCTCCAGGATCCGTTACGATCGGTTGGCCCCCCGCAGCCTCCATATTCCCGTCCGGCCTATAAGTTTCCTGCTGGAGCGCCAACAGACCCTCATCACCGCTCAGCGTCGCCGCTGGGGCCGTCGACGCAGCAATACCTGTAGCGGCAGCTGTAGCCGTAGAAGCTGTCGCGGCCATTGTCGACTGGGCTTTCATCCCATTAGGGACGCGCAACAGCCATCGATTCTTCGCACGGACTCGCATCAGCTCCCGCTCCTTGATCTCATACCCTTCTTCGTTGAGGATACGGAGCATGTCCCGCTGGCTGGTGTTTCGCTCCCAGAGCTCCTTGATGCGAGCGACGAGGCGTGCATTTTTATGAGCGGGGTTTTGCTTCGAGGGGAATCCCCATCGTTTGAACTGGGTTTGGAAGGCTCGTTTACTATGGTGTAGAATAAGGCCCGATTGGGGCATGCTCGGTTACTTCCTGATGCGGTAGAGAGGGGATGTATGCGATTTGTTGTATAAAATAAAGGAAAATGTATAATGATAATAGGAACGTTCTGGATGCGAAGCCGGATATATACAACTCACCTTGGCGCAAACTGATAGCACACCTTCATATACTCCATAATCTCCTCGAGCGCCTTCTTATCCTCGATATACATCTTATAGCAGATGTCGCGTTTACCATCCCAGTCGTATACCATCTTTACCTCCTTTTTTTATTATTTTAATTTTCGTCTTTTTCCCTTGTCTTACATATAAGATTCAAGAATGTAATTTTAGGAATTCGACTTTCACCCCCTCCCCTCCCACACGTGCGTGCAAGCTGTTCGTTGCAAGCTGTCCTGATATCGTTTTGCCTGGTATGGTATGGAACTAGTTCGCTGGTTGAATGGCCGATGCGAGATCTGGTGTCGTGTGGGCTGCCGTAGGACAGGAGAGAAAAATGAGGTTGGCGGTTGTTGCGATCTACCGTACTCCGTAGTGTGGGACAGAGCCGCCCGTGGGTGGGATTATATAAGCCAGCCAGATCTGGGGGTCTGTGCGTGCCAAGACCTGGACCTGGAGAGATGTGATTCGATTTACAGGCGTACTGTCAAAAACGTCAACGGAATACTCCGTCTGTTTTTTTTTGGTCAACCAGTCTGGATTGCAATGCTACCTGAAAAGACTCACTCAAGCTTTCAAGAAACCCTAGGATATTCTCGTCAGGTAGTTAAACTAAAACTGTGTACACGCCGATGAAAATGAGTGGAAGCTGGCCAACCCGTCTTTTCAAGCAACGGAATAAAAAAATGAAAAATGAAAAATGAAAAAGAAAAGAAAATAAACGAGAAAGACGATAGTGATGCTGCTGTTTCCCATCCTTTGATTCAGTCAAAACGCCCAAAAAAACCCATGTAGCCATCACAGGAAAAACAACCAAGCATGCCGGCGTATAATGATAAAATAAAAAAAATAAAAATAAAAGAGACTCAGTTGGAGGTATCCCGTGAAAAATTTCCTCCGGAGAATGAAAATGAGATGCGGAGAGGAAATAGATGCAAAAGCCTGACAGCAGAAGGAAATGAAGGAACCTGCCCATCCTTGCACGAAATAAAAACGCCTTACCCGTTAAAGATCCAGAACAAGAACGCCATACCAAACTGTTCACAGGTAGACCGTGCACAACCTCGACTTTGTTCGCCCCTGTGCACGAAAATAGGGACTTTATATAGAACGCATATAGTCATTGCCCTTGGTCACGGATCCCGCCGAAGTTCGCAATATAAAAACAGAAGCCAAAAAATATAACACACGAAACAGAGAGAGAGAGAGACAGAGTGCGGGAGAGAGAGAGCGAGAGAGAACGCTAACTCACTTCGTCATGGTCGTTATAGATATACGTGGCGATAAATCTCATGGTAGTAATAAAGACGAATAAAGAACCCAAAAAAAGAAAAAGAAAAAAAAAAAAATCAAGACTTCCTCTTCACGCTCAACTTCCTGCCCATTTTGAAAAGCTTTGTCCGCAGCCAGGTAATGAATAGAACCCAAGCGCTCTTCGGGCTCTCAAATGTGCGACTGCGGTTACCATGCGTATAGTCATAGTCACCAATCGCATCACCGCGCTTCTCATTGATTGACTTGCGACCGGAACCGCGGCCTTCAGAGGAATTTCTCTTGTCATTGGAGCGTCTACGGAGGGAAGCTGCGGTGGACAGTGAATTTAATTGCTGCTCCTTTTTCTCCTGTCGTCGGAGTTCACGATTCTGGGCTTTCATGCTTTGCTTCTCCAGCTTGCGCTGTTTGGCCGCCTCTTTGTCCTCAAACGCTTGTCGGGCAGCCTCGACGGCAGCCGCTCTAGCTGCCGGGTCCGTATTGGTACGGGTCCTTGAGCGGAAGGTAAATTCAAGAGAGTTTCTTGAAAGGGGTGAAGGAGTTTCATAGCTCCCTCGGGCATGGTTTGCTAGGACTGGGGCGGAGATATTTGTAAATGAGGTAGTGTTGATCTGATATGGCTGTGTCTCCGATGCTGGCGCGAAATCCCGACTGACGGACGTTGTGTCATCCAAGTCCGTGCTGAACTGGCCGGCGTCTGTAGACTGTTCACTCTCAAGGACGGAATTTTGATAGGACTGACTTATAGGCGGAGTATAGGGCCGTGGAGTCAGGCGCATGGGATGAACATATTGAGATCCTGGTTTATGTGTGGTAGACGAAGTTGTGGCAGAAAATTGCGATGTCCCACTTGTAGATCTATTGTGGGAGGTCCGCCCAGTTCTCCGGGACGAAGCAATGTCAGCGTACCTCCGATCGCGGTCAAGATTCGTATAGATTCCTAGTCCTTCATTTTCAAGGGCAGATCGATCAAGGTCGATGGATGTCGAGTCGTTATGGTTAGATCTCTTGAGATGCGATCTGATCGTCCCCTTTGGCTTGGTTGATCGATCACTTCGCGGCCCACGGAACGGCATGGTTGTGGAGTTGTCGTGTATCCAGGTCTGTTTCGATGATGGTTGCGAAGGTAGAATGGTAGTGTTGGCTAGTGAAGCGGAGCGCTTGTCGTGCACTGATGGGAAAGGTTGCGAGTCTTCCGAACCGTCAAGTCTAGATGGCGAGCTTGTTGAGCGTGGAGAGGAGCGGTTTGTTCGTGCACTTACGAAGCGCGTAGCTCTTATGGCAGCTCTAGCATCGTCGTCTTTATATCCAAAATGTTGGTGGGGAGGGCTCAAAGAGGTCTTTTTTAGCTTGGGAGGAGCCATTTTGCTGGTGGGTTGGTTCTGTGAAATATAAGAATAATTCTAGTAAGGTTTATACCTCCGGGCATATGCTTTCTAGTGGGTCATCTATGATGTATCGAACTCAAGTTAATATACCTTGAGTATGCCGATACAAGAAGGAGAGCTTTTAGGGTTAAGGTTGTTTTGTTGTATGACCCTACCCGCACGGGTGAACCGTGGTGTTCGGCGGGTCCGGGGTTGCAACCTTCAAAGGGATTCAAGAGAGCGTTTGCCAAAACCGGTGAAGGGAGATATCCGGATAGAAAGGGAATCCCGATTCAAGGATATGTTATATTGGGGACTTTTGGGGCGGTTGCTTTGGCCGCAGAGTTTCAAGAGAAGCAGTAGCCGTCGTCGTCGTCGTCGTCGTCGGCTAAAAGCTTAAAGTTTGAAGGAGCAAAACCAAGCAGAAGCAGCAGATTCATCCATACTGCTGGTTGCCGTAATAATAAACATGTATCGACATAAGAGACGAAGCGAAGTGACGCGGGAGCCACCTAAACCACGTCAAGCTGAAAGCTGGTGGAGAGAGGAGGAGGAGGAGAGAAAGATTGGTGTTGAGATGTTGAGATGTTGAGAAGTTGGCAAAGCCGCAGCCGGCAGCGCAGCGGCGAGCGCAGTTGCACCGTATGTATCGTATCTGGTACTGTAACTACTGCCCATACAAAATACAAGTATACGCGATGTTTGTTGCGCGGTGTGTATTTGTCGTATCGCTGATTCGCTGCCTCCCCGGTGTTTCAGTAAGCTGGTTACCGCCCCGGTACCGATAACGCCGCTAGTGGCTTGGGGACTTGGCGTGTGGTGACGTTCTGATTAGCTCAGCTGGCATCTGTCAGCAACTTTCAAGCAGCCAGCGATTTTGGTCTGGATCAGAGTTTGGAAGCGAAAAATCAAATATCATCATCTAGCTATGCGTAAGTTCTAATCGTGGAAGTGGGAGGAAGATAAGCTCCAGCATATCGATACGCGAGCTGCAATCTTGGAACGTTCAGACCTCTAGGGAGCTACGGAGTATACAAAGTTTCAAATGAAGCTACGATAAGCTTCAGTCCCGCACACAAACAACAAACATATAATAATAGCTCTATGCTCTTGTTTTATTTCGCAATATGATGTTGTTTCAGACCCCGCCTTTTTCCCACATCTTCAAAAATCTTTTTTTTTTTTTTCTTTTTAAACAGTTAATCCGTACAGTCGACGTTGGTATCAGACCCCGCATTACTAGATATTCCATTGCCTCCTCCATCGCCATCGACCTCCGTGTTCACGGAAAATAACCATAAAAGGGATAACTTTACAGCCAAACAATACCGCTGCAGAATGTTAATGTCACAGCTGGCACTTTGATGGTAATAACTCTGCAGCCCATCCAAATGTTGAAAAGCGGCTCAACTGCTGTCCAGTGCATGGCCCCATGTGAACAAGCCACCTGAGACACCTGTAGACAGGTGTCTGACACAGTTTCTGCCCAGCAGCAGCATATTATTATTATTATTATTTATTTATTTATACTTACGCGGAGAGTCCCAGGCAAGTGCGTTTCTGCGGACCTGTCCCGAACACGCCTCCCCTCGTACTCAAAAATCAATCATGGCTGAAAACTCCGCCAAATACCTTCTTCTGTAGCTTTTACTGGGCTGGGTGATTTTGCAGGCAAAACAACCCGAGCCAGTGGTGTTGGCCGCCCTAAAAACCAGCAGGTAGTTAGTTATTACTGTACATGTACATGTACATGTACATACTTATACTTATTTCAACAAGTGGATTCCACATTCTTTTACACACGCAGGGATTTGATGAATCTCTTCCAACGGATGGCTGCGGAAAACTGATTTTATCCTCTGCAAAATAGATGTTCTCAGTGGCCATGGATTTAACAACAAACAAGCAGGCACAAAATGTGACAGCGAAAAAAGCGCACAGCCACGGAGAGAGAAACAGGGCTGCTTGGAAGTTTGCATGTATGGAGTAGATAGCATCAACATGTGGCGATGGCGGTCCACACGTCGCCGGGATACGCAAGTAGAGGAGGAATATTAATAATAATGGCTACAAGAGTATGGAGCATGGACAGGCTGTAATCCTTAATAATTCGTTTTTCGTATGCAACTCCTCGATGCAACGAAGAAACCCTTACGATCTATCCTCTCCAGCCTTCTCAGCCACATCTAACTTAACTACTCCGCACATATGTGCATTATTGCAATGATGCCAACACCTATTTTATGTCGGTTTCAGCCCCTCGCCTCAACCAAAGAATTGCAAAAATAAAAAAACGGCATCGATCCAGGTTCCACCTCAGTCCCGGGGGTGGCAGTAAGTGGGGTTCCTTGTTCCCACTCATTATTCCATAAATTTTTGTATACGTCGGTTATAATAATAGTTAATGCAGCTGGCATGCCATGCCTGCCACTTTCCATAATAAAAAAGCAGGAAAGTGGTAGAAGTGGTAAAAAGCAAATCACGTCATCCCCGCCACCAAACCCTCAAGTTGTTTTCCCATTCCAAGCTTCACTCTCCCCTTCTTCGGGTCTCGTCTCAGCTCTCTTAACCTTCCTACATATTTTTCTCTTTTTTTAGATGCTGACAGCCCATTTTGCCGCATGACGTGAATCCTGGCCGGGGTGACAGGAGAGGGCGATGATGATGAGGGTTGAGCGCGGGGTTCGTTGCATTTCGTTCTTCATCTAGGTAGATAACCAGCCAAAATAGTCCAAGATTCTGGTCTGGGCATTGTTTTGATTTGCTTCATATGCTTGATGATTGGTGGTTGCTTTTTGGTACGAGATTGTTTAAGACATGGGCCTGGTATTAGTTCTATGAATGACAGGATATGACAGGTCTAGGCTTCTCTGGAGTTGAAGGGATGTGATGATTCATTGAATACACAGTAAAGTAATGAGTTGATGAAGATTTGAACATTCAACTCACCTATCACTTTATTAAGATTAAGATTAGTTAGTTAAACTTAGTTAATTGATATAGTTATTAACTAACTTAATAATAAGTTTTGACACTTGTCTCTTCCTCATCAAAACCTTTTTCAGGCCGTTTTCTCTATTGATAATTTTATACTTGAAAGTGACCTCCTTGGTTGAATACACTTCTGAGAAAGAATCCCTCAGTTATCAGAAACATACACTTTTTATCCCCAAGATCTTGCTTCATTGAATTTTTTGTAAATATTATTTTCTCAAAATCACTGGCTATTAGAAGAAAGAGAGAAATATGTTATAAGCAAGCTTAATCATCAAACTTTATCTCATCGCTTAAGTTACTAAAAATTTCTTTTCACTTGTATTCTTGCAGTATGAAACTTGGATAGATTCCCACGAGTGTGCGTGAGGCTGTTCGTCCAGAGTTATCTGTGCCTCTTTATACTTCCTCTATTTGATGGCATATAGCGATAGTGGTTTTCCAAAGAATGAATCCCTTTATTTTAACCTCCCGTTGCAGCACCGTTTTACCTCTCGGAATATGTTCCAATATAAAAAGGCAATATCGATACATGTAAAATAGGCAAATAGGGTATATTGTTTCTTACATTCCACTATATAACAACGTATACTAGACATTGCTAATCACAGAGGGATAGTGCTGAGTCCTGTCTTAAAACGAGATCCTAAACACCAAAGCTTGGACATCAAGATCGAAGCCGGATGTATCCGCGTACTTGAATTTTCCAAAGTTAAGATGGCCTATGTTTTAAATTATTAGCACCTCGTGGTAAAAGAAAAAGCAATTCATTTGGAGGGGGGGGGGGGGATGTATGGGAAAAAACAGACCATCTTGGGTGGTATAGTCGTTATCACTGAAACTAATCAAGAAGTACTCCTTCTCTCTCCCCTTTCCATAACCACGACCACAACCCTTCCTAACACAATCCCGCTCATCAACGGGAACCAGAGCTAGACTCTCCCATTTCTCATTCAGCAGCATCTTGTCTTGCTCCCCTCCATTGTGCAAGCCGAACTTCCCCAGCTCTGAATCGAGATTATAATCGATAAATTCGCAATACTCAGCTGGCTCAATCCCGTCATTCAACTCCCCGTCGCTTGACGCAATGGAGCCAGTAGCTGCGTCATATTTCTCCGACTTGATATCTGTCGTGTCGCTTGTTATTGCGAAAATGTCCGCCTGCCGGTAGACAGAGCGAGACTCAGCCTGCCCGTGTCCGGAATCGGAGTCCCGCGATAGAATCAAGAAGTCTCCGCTGGGTAGCATGTGGATTTCCGACTGCGATGCAACAATACGTGACTCCTCCTGGTCCCCTTTAGACCTATCTGGGTACGTTGGGAGCGTGACGACGTACTCGTGCGTGTACTGCACTTTGTAGCCCGAAATATCATACTCTAGGAGCCGGGCCTGTTTCCGATTTATCTTTTTTGGGCCGCCCTCCTGATTCAAACCTGACTGGATCATGACAAACAGGTTCTTACCGTCTGGCGAGATTGTCAGCGCCTCGAAGCCTTGGTTGTTGTTTCGTCCCGATTCCGTGTCTTTAGGTACGGGCATCTGCTCCGGGTCGTAGATTGGTGGGGAGGCGGCACTGAAGCTGAGACTTCCATTTCGACGCGGGAGATATGCTTCGGGCGGTTGGATTGCTCGGATCATTTTACCCTGACGTGTGAATTGATAGACATACGGTCCGTATTCGTCAGATATCCAGAAAGTTCCATTGCTGCCAAGGGCAAGTCCCTCGGTATCCATACTGATGCGATGTCCGCCTGGTCCTTCGTTGCTGCCGAATCCGTCACCGGTGTATGTAGCTCCCGGCAAGGGCGGAAACCCGGGAAATTCTATGAAGCCGGTGGCATCTGCGTCGAGGCCGGTGGTGGGGGTTCCGTCGGGTCCTGTAAGAAGCACGGTGTCTAGGTGCTTTATTTGGAGATTAGGCTTAGAAGGCCTTTTCACAGATGCTTTATTGTTAGGCTTGAAGGAGAGAGACAGCTTTTGGATACGTGACTGGACGTTTAGAGTCCCATTGGTGTTCCTATGTTATGCATTGTCAGCTAATAATTCATACCGCCATAAGCAGGCCTAACACAATCCATGCCGTGAAGAAAAACAAGAGAAAAAAAAAAAATTTAGTCCTTCTCACCATCCACGATCCGGTAACGCCCAAGCGATCCCTTCATATGTGCCATCTTTCCTCCTATGCCAGGAAGAAGGCTCAATAGCCAGGGAGCTACCAATTCCGCCCATGGTATCGCCGTATTTGTCAACGGCATTGGACGGCACGAATCCATATCCCTCTAAGCCATGGTACTTGTAGGTATTGCCTCCGCAGGTTACCTTCTTGACCAAATCTTTATCCTTCCCCCTGTGTGGAGGTCCAGCACTCGCGACACTCAAAAGCGCACATGCACAGGACAGCGATGTAAACAAGATGGACCACATGATGGGCTGGTTAAGCGGTCGCGATGCTCATCTCCCAAAACAAAAGGACTTGAACAGAATAGCTATTTGCGAAGAGCATCCTGGGGTCCTTATGTAGGAGCCATCCCTGAATCCGTGAGCTCATTTCTTCCAGCTCCCTGCTCCTTCAAGCGTGGGAAACCTCTCCACCCCCAGGAATCGAAATTACATTCTCCACGAGCTCGCTTGTCACCATCCCTGAATCCGTGAGCTCATTTCTTTCAGCTCCCTGCTCCTTCAAGCTGGGGAACCTCTCCACCCCCAGGAATCGAAATTACATTCTCCACGAGCTCGCTTGTCAATTTTCTGAAGCTATGACTTGCAGTTAATAAAAATGGGAGGAAGTCATTAGAAAGTAACAGCCAATCCCGCAACGTTACATCTGCCAGTGCAACGATGAACCGAAGCGCCTGGGCTCTGGCCTGTATTAGTCGAGAGGGACCTGGATGTTCTTCCTCCACATCCGATACCCCAGTCCTGTTATTCAAAAAAGGCCCAGTAAGCTGCGAGGCAGAATTTCTTTTGCCATCTCCTCAGGAACCACGCAGTGAAAAGCGCAGAACGTGAGGAGATCGCAGCGGCCAATCGAACCTGGTGCATCTTGGCAATCTTCTAGATAGTTTGGCCCGGTGAGTTGAGTTTGCTAACCTTGTAGGTTTTGCTCCCCTCTGTTCCTGAACAAGAAGCTAGAAGAAGAGATAAAATCCTTTCAGTTTATGAGGGTGATGAGTTTGTGCGATAGTATTGCGGTTTTATAATCGATCATGCAATTACGGTAGTTGTTTCGCGTGTGGCTCCGCGACGATTGTGGCCCTACAACATTCTACTTTGGCAAAACACAGCGAACAGAAAGTCGTGAACAGAGGAAGAGCGTAAATAACATTATTAACATTTTTCACCCAAATTTTTAAATACTTACCCTGAACAGCTCCGCCTTACTATCGCATTCATTATGTTAATCAATACCTGTGCCCTAAAGGAAAGAAATGCCGTATCCACAAGAAATATCCCAATCTCAATAGATCAAGGCAAGAGAAACTGAAGCAACTCATCCCCAAGTCGTCGTGACATCTGGATAGTTCCTGCTGTCCATGCCCAGATCTTCATAGACAACGTCGTCATCTGTATTGAATACAGAGAGCATTAGTCAACGCAGTGGTCGCATCGACCAGGAAATAATTATATTCGAGCAAGACTTACCCTTGAGAGGAGAAGTTCGGGATTCATCCTGGTGTTCAAGCTTCCCCGCAACCTTGTCAGCCTCTGCTGGATCCTGGTGCTGGCCCCCAATAAGAAGGAATTGCGCATTGGGGAAATCCAGGAATTCGGGTCGTAATGGCACCCAGCGAAGGTCATCAAACTCTTCCTGAACGCTGCATGATGTTAGCCATCAAACCTCAACACCCCCTTCCACCACCCCCAACATTATTTTTTAACATTATATTTTTAACTCCATAGGGGTGGGCCAAGCCGGACTTACTTTTGTGGGTAGTCAGGCCCCTGAGGCAGTCGGGCCGCCTCGGGTCCGCCATACTCTGGGTTCTTTGCACTTGCAATGAAACTACCACGCTCTTGGAGGCCAATGTCCTTCTGAACCTCACCAAGCTCCGACGGAACCGTCAGACGGTATGCAAGGTGCGAAGTGCGATCCTTAGATGTGATCACATAAGCGCCTTCGGCAATGGGAGTTGCGGCGGGAGTATATGTCGTTCCCCGTGTCGCCGTCTCCTTCTCAATCGCAAGGAACGAGTCTCTGATGGTTTTTACTGTGGTGTGCGCTTTCTCCACAAATCCCATAAATCGATCCCGAGTAGACTTAGGAAGTACCTTTTTGGGTAACACAAGCAAGCGACAATTCTGGTTGTCGCCAGTCGTGCCTTGACCCAATTTTGCATCGGAGGGAAGCGGTCGAAGGACGATGAAACTCCGTGCCACGTCCCCGACACCCTCTGGCTCCTCGACTCCGACCTTGCCACGGAAGAAGAAATATATAATTCCCTTTTCGAGGACGTTGGATGGGAGCGTTTTACCCTCTTCTCCTGTTTTAACGGCTGTCGGTTCCGGTGCTTTCTCCTTGCCTCCGGGTATAGCAACGTGTTCTTTGTGTGGCTGTTGTTTTCCAGCGTCGCCCTTGTGTTGTTCCGCTTCAGCCGGCTTTTTAACTTCTTCCTTCTGTTCTGATTCTTTCGCTTGGTCCGGTTCTGGCTGTTTCGCTTCCCTTTCTAGTTCCTTAGCTTCAGCCTTTGGTTCTGTCTCCTTCGGCGCCTCTTTCTGTTCCGGCCGTTCAGTATACATCTTTTCCGGCTCTTTCGGCTCGTTTAGTCCGCCATTGGTCGCTTCTGCTTCCTCCTTCCGTTCCTCAGTAGGTGGTTCCTCCATACCCTTCTCAAGCTTCCCTTCTCCCAGCTCAGTTGGCTCTTCTTCCTTTTTTTCGCGCTTAGTTTTGGGAATTTCTTCCTGTTCCCTCCCCTTCCGCTTCCCGCCAGCGGTTTTCTTCGTGCCAGCTCTGGCACCTTGGTGCAGCGCTTCATTTGCCTTAACAGCTGCCTGCCGAGTTGATGTTCTGGATGGCATCGCGAAGGATTTAAAGCTAGTTTAGCTGCGCTGGTTGTGATTTAAAGTACCAATTAGGATGCAAGCGGTGCGAAGTGCTGGGTTAGGTCCCAGTTTTCGCCATTTAATACTGTTGGCAACGGTTTCAGCAACGACTGACGTCATGTACTTGTCAGTGACACTGGGTGACACGCAAGTTATCACGTGATATTATTGGCAATGAAGCTCAAACGGTAATCAATATCCATGGATGCATTTTCCATATCATTGAAAAGCACATCATTGGATGTATCCAAGAACAAATTCTTTCCATTTATCCCTCTCCAGAAGCGTTTGTAGCCCACCTATCCAATATCCATCTCATCTTCCTGTGATGGAAAGGTATCCCCATTCAAGTTAATTCCATATGGGACATGCGTAGGAAAATCCCCGTCAACGCTTGACATTTCAGCATTCTGTGAATCAGGGGGATCGCCCGTGTATCCACGTCTCCGTCTTCTCTTGCGTGGTTTGGCCGACGTGGCCGGCGTAAATACCTTCCCATAATGTTCAAGGTCGACGATTTCTATAGATTCAGCGTCTGAAGAGCAATCAATTGTCGATTGCCCGCTGAAGAAATCCCCTCCTTTTCTTTTCCGCCCTCTTATACGTAATCTGCGGTACCCATAGTCTGTTATATCTGAATCACAATCCAATGCTCTCATTGCATCAATAAGCCCTGTCTTTGCAATATCATCGGTTCCAACATCGTTCCTTGACCGGTGTATGGCTTGTTGAGGCGTCGAAGGTCTTGATTCAGCTTCTTCATATTCACAGGGCGCAACTATTTCTATATCCCCATCGTATCCGGCGTCATGGGCAGATATGTCCTCCACCACTAAGGTATCGCCGTGTCCGTCAACGGAGTGTACGATGGTACAGTCATTCGGGAATCGTGCGGTATTAGAGGGATTTTCTGAAGCGAACGCAGCAGGGTGCGGCCTGTTCGGATGTCGCTCTTGTGGCAATTTTGGAGAGAGAGAGCACCGGTTCCCGCGTGATGGGGATTCATTCAGAACCATCTGAACGACAACATGGGATAACAATGAACTACCCTTTCAGTTCATCTCAACATTAGAAGGACATAAGTCGTATGCATATATCTGGTTAGAAATATATGAATGTATGTCGAAGGGAGGTGAGAGGCCTTCGGCATATATGCGTAACTAGACAAAATTGATGCTATTCAAATTTAGCAGAGAAACGGGGCAGTTACACGTCCGCTTTCGAACGACTTTAAATATATTGTAATTCCAACGAACACTTTGATCCGATCACCGGGACTTAGCTCTCTTGCCATCCTTCAGTTGTTATCTGTGAGCATTGGCTACGACTTGCGGTTTGAACTAGTCTCTGGAAACACCGTTTCAGCTGGCCAATAATAAGGGCTCGGACTGCTCAACCCGCCTGCTTAGTCACCACCCGCCTCGCTGGAAACCACAAAGTGTCCTGTCTGCGCACTAGGAATAGGTAGGAGAAAGTGATAGTCGACTTGAACGATACAACACCCCATCTTGCCATTACTCTCGACTGCCAATCTGCCTCTCTATAAACCCGCTTTATGAATCGCAATCGGTAACCTATAATCGTGACCTGTGCGCGGAGCTTATACGTAGTATACGGGTGGCTCCCGCCAACATCAAAATGCAGTCCGCTCCAAATATGCTGACGAAGGTATGTCATACCTCCTCCACCCCCTTTACGTTGCTTCCTGTGAACGTCCTTCTGATATATTTTATGTAGTTCGAGTCCAAGTCGTCTCGAGCGAAGGGCATCGCGTTCCATCCGAAACGGTGAGCCGGTTCCTGGACCTCTTCCCTGTTCACAACTCCGCTAACATCAGCAGACCATGGCTTCTAGTGTCTCTTCACTCCTCTACCATCCAATTATGGGATTATCGCATGGGCACTCTGATAGACCGCTTTGAAGAGCATGATGGACCTGTTCGAGGCATCGACTTTCATAAAACGCAGCCCCTGTTCGTTTCCGGAGGGGATGATTATAAGATTAAGGTGTGGTCGTATCAAACGCGTCGGTGCCTTTTTACGCTCAACGGCCACTTGGACTATGTGCGAACAGTCTTCTTTCACCACGAGCTTCCTTGGATTGTTTCAAGCTCCGACGACCAGACCATTCGCATTTGGAACTGGCAAAATCGATCATTAAGTAGGAGGCACTGTTAAATACTATTTTGGTTTGAGCAGAGGCTGATAAAGAGACACCTAGTTTGCACGATGACCGGACACAACCACTATGCCATGTGTGCGCAATTCCACCCCAAAGAAGACCTAATTGTCTCCGCGTCCCTTGATCAGTCGGTCAGAGTTTGGGATATATCTGGCCTCCGGAAAAAGCACTCTGCGCCAACCTCGTCGTTGAGTTTCGACGATCAGATGGCTCGTGCAAATGCCTCCCAAGCAGACATGTTTGGAAATACTGATGCCGTCGTTAAATTTGTTCTTGAGGGCCACGATAGAGGTGTCAACTGGGTTGCATTTCATCCAACACTTCCGTTGATTGTATCTGCGGGTGATGATCGACTGGTGAAGCTTTGGAGAATGAGCGGTATGTCCATTGTCAACTTTGTGGACCCGTTGATGATTCTAACGTTTGTTTACAGATACCAAAGCATGGGAAGTGGACACTTGCCGGGGACACTTCCAGAATGCGTCTGCTTGTTTATTTCACCCGCACCAAGACCTAATCCTCTCCGTGGGCGAAGACAAAACTATCCGAGTCTGGGATTTGAATAAACGGACGTCAGTTCAATCATTTAAACGTGATATGGATCGGTTCTGGGTCATTGCTGCCCACCCCGAAATAAATCTCTTTGCTGCTGGGCATGATTCGGGTGTAATGGTATTTAAACTAGAGAGGGAACGGCCTGCCTCCGCCATATACCAAAACCAGCTCTTCTATATCACGAAAGAGAAACACTTGCGGTCTTATGATTTTACCAAGAATGTGGAGTCTCCTCCAATGATATCCCTGAAAAAGCTAGGCAGCCCATGGGTCCCGCCGAGAACGCTCTCCTACAACCCGGCGGAACGAGCGATTCTCGTCACTTCTCCTACCGATGGCGGCACATACGAACTTATTCATATACCCAGAGATTCTACAGGCGCTGTGGAACCAACGGACAGTAAAAGGGGTCATGGGACATCCGCCGTATTTGTAGCACGGAATCGATTTGCAGTCTTCAGCCAGTCTTCTCAGCAAATCGAGATCAAGGACTTGAACAATTCGACGACGAAGACAATCAAGGCACCCCATGGAACCACAGATATTTACTTCGGTGGAACGGGAGCCCTTCTTCTGATCACTCCCACGACTGTTGGTCTTTTTGACATCCAGCAGAAGAAGCAGCTTGCGGACCTAAGTGTTAGTGGCGTGAAATATGTGGTATGGTCTAATGACGGACTCTATGCAGCCCTGTTAAGCAAGCATAATGTTACAATTGTAACAAAAACGCTGGAGCATGTTAGCACCCTGCATGAGACCATCCGCATCAAGAGTGCCACATGGGATGATGCGGGTGTATTGCTGTACTCCACTCTCAACCATATCAAATACTCGCTTCTGAATGGGTAAGTCCAACTCAGGTACATTACAAGAATTGGAACACTGACTGAGCCTAGTGACAACGGTATTGTCCGCACTATGGATTCGACGGTTTACCTAGTTCGCGTAAAGGCAAGAAACGTTTATTGTCTTGATAGAACTGCCAAGCCGATAATCCTTGAAATCGATCCGACCGAGTATCGGTTTAAACTAGCTCTCGTGAAGAGAAATTACGATGAAATGTTACAAATCATCAAAACTTCGAGCCTTGTGGGCCAAAGCATTATCTCCTACCTTCAAAAGAAGGGATACCCGGAGATCGCTCTTCAATTCGTTCAAGACCCCCAGACCCGCTTTGAACTTGCTCTTGAGTGCGGCAATATCGACGTAGCCATCGACATGGCGAAACAACTCGACCATCCTAAGCTGTGGAACCGACTCGGGGTTGAAGCATTGGCCCATGGGAATCACCAGACTGTTGAAATGACATACCAAAAGCAAAGGCTGTTTGACAAACTCTCTTTCCTCTACCTTACAACTGGCGATAAAGAAAAGCTCACTCGCATGGCCAAAATCGCAGAGCACCGAGGAGACTTCACATCACAATTCCAGAATGCCCTTTATCTAGGTGACGTAGAGGGCCGGATACAAATGTTCAAGGAGATTGATCTTCGTATGTTGCATGATCCCTTTCCCATACCTTTACTCTTGTTGACAACGTCTAGTCCCTCTTGCATACATGACGGCAAAGTCCCATGGTCTCGAAGAAGAAGCTGCGTCCATTCTTGAGTCCTGCGGCCTCACTGAAGAAGAGGTCACCCTGCCATCACTTGGCAAGCCAATAACCCAGCTTCCACGAGCTATTGTACCCACTTTCAAGTCGAACTGGCCTGTTAAAGCGGCGTCCCATTCCTCATTCGAAAAGGCTCTTCTTGGGGAGGTTGGCGAAGATGTTGGCGCACCCATCAATGGATACGAGGCGGAGGAAGGCGAGGATGTTGGAGGACTTGGTCGTGATGCATTGGGTGAAGAACATGACGAAGAAGATGCTGCTGGATGGGATATGGGCGATGAAATTAACGTTGAGGATGTAGAAGACTTTGTCAACGTCGAGAGCGCTGTAGGCGGGGCTGGTGCCACTGAAGCGGATATATGGGCGCGAAATTCCCCTCTCGCGGCTGATCATGTCGCTGCCGGATCCTTTGAAACTGCGATGCAGTTACTCAACCGCCAGGTTGGTGTGGTGAACTTCGAACCTCTAAAATCACGATTCCTAGAAATCTACCAAGCCACGAAGACGTATCTGCCCGCCACAGCCGGATTACCTCCACTCGTCAACTATGTCAGGCGAACGGTTGAGGAAACAGATTTCAGAAACGTCCTTCCTATCATCCCTCGGGACCTTGAGTCCGTTGCAAGCATTGATCTGCAGGAGGGATACGCTGCAATGAGAGCTAACAAACTTGAGGATGGCGTGAAGATCTTCCAACGCATCCTCCACACCGTCCTCATCAACGTCGTCTCATCTGAGAGCGAAGTCGAGGAAGCGAAGAAGATCATCACCACTGCCCGGGAGTACATACTCGCGATGTCAATTGAACTAGAGCGGCGGGCCATCGGCACAGATACCCCGGAAAACCTGAAACGAAGTCTCGAGCTATCTGCCTATTTCACCATCCCGAAACTCCAAGTCGCCCACAGACAATTCGCCCTTAGAGCAGCAATGAAACTTGCATTCTCAAAGCAAAACTTCTCATCCGCCCTTAGCTTCGCCAACAGAATGATCGCTAACGGTGGCGTCGCCAAATTCCTCGATGAGGTATGCCTACGTTGCCCCCACTTCCCGTTCCCTTTATTACAAACATTCCATTCCTACTAGCATTCACTTTTATTTAACAAAATACTCAAAAAATAGGCCCGAAAAGTCAAAGCCCAATGCGAGCGGAGCCCGCAAGATAAGATCGATATTGAATTCGACCAGTTTGCCGAATTTGACATCTGCGCCGCATCCTTCACTCCCATCTACAGCGGCTCTCCTAGCGTCACATGTCCGTTCACAGGCGCCAAGTATCATGAACAATACAAGGGGTCCGTATGTCGAGTTAGCCAAGTAACGGAAATTGGAGCACCGGCGAGTGGTTTGCGACTATTTGTTCCTGCGAAGTCTTAGATTGTTCATATGGTTGATTTGTACCGCCGGTTGGTTGTTTGATTGATCGATTGAATTTTCCCACATTTAATTTATATTATTTATTTTCCCCACCCCCCCCTTTTTTTTCAACGTGACCTTCCTATTCTTCCTCCCTTCTCCTTTTCCGAGAAAAAAGGAACGAATAGTCTCTCGAAAAGCAATCGAATGAATAGGGCATGGGCCGCGTGGCTGCTTAAAGGTTTTATCTTATCCTCCCATTCATATTTTTACTTTACTCAAGCGCTTTTTTTTGTCTCCTTTTTTCGACTTTGAATGTTGATTTTTCCTTCCGTTCAATTTATTCCCGTGAGAAAACAGCAGAGAGTGAAGTATCATATTATTTTTGCCTATAATATTGTCTCATAAAGCATTTCATCTTACAACTGGGTCTCAAGTGCGGGAGGGAATTGATATCTTTAAGAACTCATCACCTTGCCGTCTACCCATTACATGAGCCGCGAGGTATAAAATTCCTTTCTGAACGAGACTCACTGTACTCTGTATACACACTGGGGATTTAAGTCCCTTTTCACCTCATACATAGTATCACATTTAACACCCAGCAGAGTGAAAATGAGAGCCACCATATTTTGTTGTAAGATTTCCCCCTACGAGGCCTATAAATGCCATGATAACTTTAGAGGCGCGTAATCGGCAGGTACAAAAAGTAACCTCACAGGACCCGTGGACGAATATGAAGTCGTTTCTAATTTACATAACGTCTATAAATGCCTTTTTTACACGTATATATTGTACATGTATGTACATACGATCCAAAACAAAAGGTCTAAACCAGCCAACCCACGGACCAAGTCTAAATGAGTAGAGATCTCGAACCCCCCCCGTCCCCCAACGCACCAGACACCAAAAGGACATGCGCCAACCGCTTAAAATTATAAACAATGCCACGAAAACAAAGGTTTGAGGAGATGGGTGTTTTTCCGCTGCAAATGCCTCCGCAGCCACCAGTGACGCGATCAAGGCCACAGAGGATGATCTGGGCTGATCACACATCATCATCGTTATCCACCGCATCAGACGCCGTGAGACCCCATGTCCACCAAAGCCGCCTCTCAAGCGTAGGTAAAACACACGCTACAACCAACCCATCAATCGATCAATCAATCAATCAATCAATCAATCAATCACACCTCCCGTCCTTCCACCCAGTCCTCCACCTCTCCTCCCACTTCGCACAATCAAACACCTCCTTCCCCAGTTTCCTATTAACCTCATTATGCGCCTCGCACATCCAGGTGCCAAACTCCGCGCGCGTCTTCAGGCGCGGCTTATTCGCGCCGCTGGGCTCGTTCATCCAGGCGCGGAAATCGTCCGCGCATACCCAGCAAGGGTAGAGTTTGCCGAATAGCGTGAGGAAGCTGCGCATGTCGTTCTGTTGCTGTGGGGTGGCGGTTGCGGGGTAGGTGGCGGTCATGCTGTGGAGGAGGGTCCACGTGCTGCGGCCAAGGGTTTCGACATCGGGAGGGCAGTCCGGGGGTAGGGCTGCTGTGGTTTGGTCCTGGGCGGTTGTAGTTGTCGTTGTCGTTGTCGTTGTTGTCGTGGAGGGGGAGGAAGAGGAAGGGGAAGGGGTAGCGGGGGATTTGCCCTTCATGAGGGCGCGCCAGTCGGAGATGGAGATGCAGGTGCGGCAGCTGGTGGAGAGCGATCATTTGTCAGTTTTATCTGAACTGTATAGCTAGCTGCTCGTCGAAGGGCTTGCTTGTAGGACTGGACTCGGAGCATGAGAACAGTTATGCTTATGGACCAATGGCAACTTACGGCTTTCCATCCATACCCAGGATCATCCCCTTGGGCAATTGTGTTTTCTCCTGGGAGCCATCTTCCTGCTTGCCATCTGCCGTAGTTGTGTGCTTTGATTTGCGTCTTGCCTCTTTAAGGGCCTCAACTTGCTCCGTCAATATCTCCGCCATGGTGTGTTATGTACGTGGCAATTTTCAAAGCTATTTGTTATAGACCCGCGCGCGAGTTGAGAGGTAGTTAACTATTGAGCTCGAATTATTAGTTGCCGGAGGTATCTAGATGGAGTGTTAAATGTTCCTGAATGTAAATTGAAGGTTATAATGTCATGGTGTTGGTGAAATGCGGAATATTCTGACCATTGAATGCTGAGAAATCAAGCTTGGATCCAGCGCCGGTCCCGAGGCGGCGGGTGTTGGTTGCGAGGAAGTTCTTGTCTGCGCCGCTAACGTTGTTCGATCCCAGCAGCTGCGCTTGACCAACGGTTGAATAACTCACTCATCTCACAAGTTCTTTGCGCCGCAATAATTCCTCTGTTTATCAAAGAGCTGCAATAATATCCAGAAACAAATAGTATAGCTACATTAACAAGGAGGAAGGTTACGACAGCCTCGCATATCCATACCTACATTAACGCGTCCATATTCGTCCCCCCAGTCGCGTCAACCCCGCCACAAAGAGGAAGAAGAACCAAAAATAAGCCCCCGTTTGCATATCTATCGCCATGTCTGATTCGGACTCCGATTCCGATTCGTTGTCCTCCGTGGGCATTCCTTCTGATGATGTCCTCGAGAAAGGCCTGCGCGACACCGTGGCGGCCATATTCAAGAAGGGAAACCTGGAGCAATTGACGGTGAAGCGCGTCCGGGCTGCGACGGAGAAAGCGCTGACTCTAGACGAGGGATTCTATAAGAATGACGAGGTTTGGAAGGCTAAGAGTGACCGGATAATTAAACAGGAAGCAGTATGTGTGCCTTATTTTTTAATCCCAACCACTTTCATTTTTTGAAGAGAGAATTATGCCAATTTTTGTGCATGGTCAGAATGAAGTGTCTTTTTGCTTTTAGAAGTACTGATACACATTTGTGCGGTATTTAAGGAGAAACAAGAGGAATTGGCCGCTGAGAAGGAGAAAAAGAAGCCAACCCCAGCGCCTCCAAAACGGGTACCTCCTCTGAAACCCAAGGAGCCTAAGCGCGCTTCGAGCGCATCACAACCTGCTAGAAAAAGACGGCGAACTGCTACTCCATCAGAATCCGAGGAAGATCTATCATCACCTCCAAGCGAAGAGAGTGAGGAAGAGGAAGACGAAGACGAAGAAGCACCCAGTTCTCGAAGGCGGGCACCGCCAGCGAAGAAGGGTTCTAAACCAGTAAAGCAAGCGCCCAAGCCCAAGCCAGCACCAAAGACAGACACATCATCAGACCTTTCCGACGTGCCAGATGAATCCGACAAGACATCAGAAAGAGCGTCATCGAGGGAAGCTAGCCCAATGCGTAAACCTAGCGACACCAAGCACGACGAATCAGAAAGCGACATGTCCGTTGTCATCGACGACGAACCACCACCGAAATCCAAACGTCGCAAGTCATCCGAGCCCTCACAGCAAGAGAAATCCAAGAAATCTTCGAAACCAGCTAGCGGCGGTAGCAGGAAACCCAAGGACGCAGCTGATGCGGATCCAGACCTGGCGGAAATCAAGAAGCTACAGGGCCAGCTTGTAAAGTGTGGGATTCGCAAGATGTGGTTTCGCGAACTAGCTCCGTACGATACACCGCGAGCAAAGGTGAAGCATCTCCGCCAAATGTTGAAGGACGCGGGTATGGAAGGGCGGTTCTCGCTTGAGAAGGCTAAGGCGATCAGGGAGGCGAGGGAGTTGCAGGCTGATCTTGAGGTTGTGCGTGAGGGTGCGAAGAGGTGGGGGACGAAAGTTTCCGATGAGGAAGCGGGGAATGGTGCACGTCCACGAAGACGGGTTGCGAGGGACTTTCAAGCTCTTAGTTTCCTTGAGGATGAGGACGGAGAGGAGACAGATTGAGCGTTGTTGTTTGGCTATTTTCTTATTTGTCTTTTTGTTTACTTCCCTTGTTTGGCGCATAATGAGTGGTATGATATTGTTATGGACCGAATACATATCTATCTGTGATATGAGCTTTTTCCTGGTTTCCCCTTTGTTCATGTTTTGGTGATGATGTACGACGCTGGAAAATGGGATGAGGTGAATGATATACCGCGAGAATGCTTGACGGGAGGGTATGTTTGGCGATCCGCTGCTATAATACTAATTAATTTTCTCTGAGACTTTTAATATGATTCTGAGATCTTCCTGATCATTGGTATGGCTTTCCGCCACCCATGCGTTGGGCCACTAGGCTGAAGACTGCGACTGAGGAGATGAAAAGGACCAGGTTGTAGAACTAGTTACGTAGTTAGAAGAACTCTCGCACATAGTGATATTAATATTATATTCAATCAGTGGGAAAAATGGGCCCATACAGCATTTCTGGAGTACTCATTCTCCTCGACTTCTGTTCGAGATTCGACAAAGAGCCGCCGCAGATTTGGGAGATTGGCCTAGGCATCAGTCAGTAACGTCTACTGTGTAGTTGTGTAGATATAGGCTCGAACCCACCATTTTTGTGCCTGGTAGTGAATATAGCGGTAGTAGCCGAGTCTTGCAATCCCAATTGAACAAATGTGGATTAATTGTAGCCTTCTCGCTCTCTCCCTGCTGTTGTCCAACCCAGATATTTAGATGTTGGTGACGAGGAATAAGAAGATCCACAGCGGGCTCAGGCTGATATTTAATATTTATTTGACTAAATATACCTTGGTCGCCGCGCTAACTTTAGTCAACTTTTCCCCCCATCCCATCCCCCTCAGCGTTTGGTCAGGAACACGACAGGACAGAGATCATCATCATTCTCTCATTGCGGGAGAAAACACACCACCCAACCCCCAAATCTGCCGCGTTTCCCTCGTGCTGAAGCGGTGTTTGCTCAGCTTTGCGTATTGCTACCCCCATTAGCTAAATAACGGCTGGACAACGCTCAACTCCAACGCCCAACCACCCGCCACGCAAGACATCATCCATCCCTCTTCCCCGCCATCGTGCCCGTACCCCGGAGCTTCCATATCCGCCCTTTGCCTTTGCATTCTTATACTAAGGGGCGACTTGGTCGCCGCTGATTGCCGTCGAGGAACATGGCAGTCAACAGAATAAGGGGCGCTTTCACTGCGCCTCGGAAGGGAGAAACCTTTGAACTGAGAGCTGGGCTTGTGTATGTCCTATTGCAGCAATACGGGATGTGAAAGGTGTCACTCAGACCAATGCTGACTTGCGCTTTTACAGGTCTCAATATGCTTGGGAAAGGTATTTCCATGTCCTACATATCCCGCTTCTTGGTCTATCCTCTTTTGAAAACTTACACTGGTTTGCAGAAAGGAATCCATCCAGAAGACCATCATGGCCATGACTTTAGGCAAAGATGTGTCTGCGCTCTTTCCAGACGTCCTGAAAAACATTGCAACCAATGATCTGGATCAGAAAAAGCTTGTCTACCTTTATCTTATGTGAGTACAGTACTCGGGGGCTTCTCTCCCTTGTCGATAATGTTCCTTTCTTAGGTTCCACTGATCATCTAACCATGCGGTTCTAGGAATTATGCCAAATCACACCCCGACCTATGTATCCTCGCCGTGAACACGTTCGTCCAGGACTCGGAAGACCCGAACCCTCTCATACGAGCGCTTGCCATCCGTACAATGGGTTGTATTCGGGTGGAAAAAATGATCGACTACTTGGAGGAGCCCTTGTGGAAAACGCTGCGGGACGAGTCCCCCTATGTCCGTAAAACGGCTGCAATCTGCGTAGCTAAACTGTTCGATCTCAATCCCACCCTCTGCTTAGAGAACGGTTTCTTGGAGAGGCTGCAAGAATTGATCGGAGATCCCAACCCCATGGTTGTAGCCAACTGCGTCACCGCTCTGGCAGAGATCAGCGAAACGGCTCCAGAGACGAAAGCCTTGCATATCACGCCAAATACACTGAGGAAAATGCTTATGGCCCTGAACGAGTGTACAGAATGGGGCAGGGTTTCCATTCTGAATAGCCTGGCGGATTATAGAACGACAGATGTGAAGGAGGCGGAGAATATATGCGAGCGGGTTGCTCCTCAGTTCCAGCATATCAATGCCAGTGTGGTTCTTGCCGCTGTGAAAGCTGTCTTTTTGCATATGAAAATTATTAATCCGGACACTGCTAAATCATACTTGAAGAAGATGGCGCCCCCGCTAGGTATGTTCTTTGGAACAGCAGCGCAGATGTATTCTGTCATGATAGGATGCTGATTTCTTTTCTTGTCTCAAAAGTTACCCTCGTCTCCTCCGCCCCGGAAGTTCAGTACGTTGCTCTGCGAAATATCGACCTTCTCCTCCAAAGCAAGCCCAACATCCTTGACAAGGAGCTCCGTGTCTTTTTTTGCAAATATAATGATCCGCTGTACGTCAAATTCCAGAAACTAGACATCATGGTTCGGATCGCGAACGACCGGAATGTAGACCAGCTTCTCGCGGAATTAAAGGAATATGCCCTCGAGGTCGATATGGATTTTGTCCGACGTGCTGTCAGAGCCATCGGGCAAACAGCAATTAAAATCGGGACCGCGACGGAGAAATGTGTTTCCACGTTGCTTGACCTGATTAACACCAAAGTGAACTACGTCGTCCAGGAAGCCATTGTTGTCATCAGAGACATATTTCGCAAGTACCCTGGTTATGAGGGTATTATTCCTACTCTGTGCCAGTGTATCGACGAGCTGGATGAACCCAATGCTCGAGGGGCATTGATATGGATCGTGGGCGAGTATGCAGACAAAATTAGCAATGCAGGTGATATCCTAGCAGGCTTCGTGGATGGTTTTAATGAAGAGTTCACCCAGGTTTGTTTCTTACGATTCACTGTATATCGGCTTCATGTCCAGCTAATTCTCCTTCCTTCCAGACCCAACTTCAAATATTAACGGCTGTAGTTAAACTATTCCTAAAACGGCCGGAGAAAGCTCAAGGCCTCGTTCAAAAGGTCCTTCAGGCAGCAACGGCCGAGAATGACAATCCAGATATTAGAGACCGGGCATATGTATACTGGCGACTCCTTTCCAACACTACCGACCCATATGCCGCAAAGAATGTTGTCCTGTCAGAAAAACCTCCTATTGTTACAACTATCCAATCCCTACCCCCCGCACTGCTTGAACGACTTCTCACGGAACTATCAACACTCGCGTCCGTCTATCACAAACCCCCAGAGCAATTCGTTGGCGAAGGCAAATATGGAGCCGATGCTGTTCAAAAGGCTGCCATTGAGTACGTTTCCAATGGCCCTTCGATCTGCCTGTGTTTGATTTTGTTTCGCTTTATTTCCCCTCCCTGCTAACACTCTAACACAGGGAACAACTCCAAAATGCACGAGAAAACCCATTGGCGGCCGCCGCAGCGGCAGCTGCGGTTTCCGGAACGGCTGCTCCAGCACAACAAACCAACATAGAGAGCCTGCTGGATATCGACTTCGACGGTACGGCGCCTGCGTCTGCGCAGAAAGAGCCGCCTAGCGGGATGTCCGGGCTCGAGGGGCTGGCTGGAACACCTGTTCGCGTTCAATCACCCGCTGCTGGTGTACCACCACCGTCCAGTAACAATCTTGAAGATCTGATGGGCGTATTTGGAAGCGGGCCAGATGCGGGCGGCATGACTTCTGCTGGAGGACTGGGATCGCAGAACGGCAGCAGTAATGCTGATCTCATGAATGGCTTTGCGGGCTTGGATCTTACGGGGTCGACAAGTAGGCCTACGCCTCCTCTGGCGTCTGGGACGACGACAAGCAAGAATAACCAAGATATTTTGGATTTATTTTAGCGAAGTGGATGGGATTGGGCCCTAATGCTGGTGGGGTAGGAAGGGAAGAGGAGAGGAGAGGAGAGGAGAGGAAAGAAGAGAAGAGGAGAAGGAGAGGAGAGGAGAGGGTTAATAATATCCTATATTAATGTTTTCGTTTTCTCCCTTTTGTCTTCCGGTTTGACCAAGTTTGCCAAAGCGTAATATCGAGATAGACAAATGGATTATTTATTTCTGCTCTTTTGGTTCGGCTGACTTCTTTTGACTTTGTCGTTTCGGCTGACTTCTTTTGACTTTGTCGTATAGGGGCAACTTTGATTACCACATTTCATTGTTACTCGAGAGAAAGGTATATATTTAGAATATTATACGAATAAAAGGATTTAATATGGAATGCTATCAAGTAAAAGGTAGTACAGTACATATCCAAGTCGTGTGTTATCATGCATTTACCGAATGATGTCAAGATTCCGCCATCCCCCAAGCCTGTTTCAAACAGCCGAGCTACGAATGTGCCCTTAGCAGTTTCTTGCAACAACACCGTATATCTTAACGACAGACACAACCACCAATCGATCACGACTACTACCTACCCTAGGTACATATATGCGCAACTCTTCTTCCGTACTCTATTCCCATGAACCGACCAACCAACTAATATCCACCCATCCATATGTCCGCATCCGAGGGCTCCTTTAACCCCCCTTCTTCCTCCCTCTCCCCAGCCCGCACCTCCCCCCCGCGATCTCAGTCTCAATCCCAACCCCAACCCCAATCTCAAACCAAGGGATCCCAATCTCCATCTGCATCCTCTTATCTCACCTACCCCGTCAGCCATGTCGTCTCCGGCCTCTACAGACGCCTTACAGAGCCCACCCCCTCGGGCTCCACCTCCAAAAAGCCCTCCCTAGACCCCATGAGCGTCTCCGAAATCTACAACCCCCCACACCGCACCGCGTCCCCCTTCCAGCCACCCCCCCTCACTCCTCTAACTCTTAAAGCAGCGGGAAGCCCCTCCCGGATTTTCCTCACACGCTCCCTAGCGGAGGAAATCCGGCTACTGGTCCCACCCCGTCTGCAGCTGCTGGATACCTGGCAGCTGGCTTATAGCCTGGATAGAGATGGCTCGAGCCTGCTGACGCTGTATGACAAGTGTAGAGAGTTTGGGAATAAGAGCCAGAGGGCCGGGTATGTGCTCGTTGTAAAGGATTCGTCAACCGCTGGGTTAGGTGGTGGAGGGGGAGGTGCTGGGATAAGCGGGGGCGTGATGTTTGGCGCCTATCTTACGGACCCTCCGCATCCGGCTTCACATTATTATGGGACGGGCGAATGTTTTCTTTGGCGGGCTAGTGTGATACCTTCTACACCATTGATGCAGGTGCGCTCCACGACTACGACTACAACTACGACTTCAACAGGAAATGGGGACGGCGAGGAGATGGCTACCGGTGCAGGCATCGGGGCAGGGGGACGAGTACAGTCGACTGAGGGAGATAATAATAATAACCTGCTGGAACTGGCAGGGTTGCCTTTACCTCCCAGTGCGGATACAACACAGGTTCGGGGCAGGACCACGACGCTGAGAGGTGAGGAGCGCAGTAATAATGTTAATGACGCAAACTATGACGGCAGTACATTCTCTAGTCTGCATGAGAGCCCAGCACGCATTGAAGATGGCCCGGATACCGCCAGTACTACTGGGAAGAGGGGGGATGGGGATAGCAGCCGCAGCAGATATGGAGGAGATCTACTCTCACCAACGCAGCGGCGGAGTGCGTCTCGCGGTACCACTGGTAGCAGCGACAATGATGGTTCTGGAGACGGTCAACAAGTTGCGCCAGCTAACTACCTTCCAACAGGTGCTAGCCGAAGCGGAAGCGGAGCCACCACGCCTGAGCGGATTCGGTTCAAGGCGTTCCCCTATAGCGGGGTTAATGATTATATGATTTTTTGCGAGACGGGGTTTTTGAGTGTTGGGGGCGGGTGAGTCATTTTTCTTTTTATTTCTATACCTCAAACATTATCCCCTTATGGCACAGTTGAATAAATATGTCCCATCTCCCTCTATATTCTGGGGGTAGACGGATACACAAATTATTACAAAGTAAACAAAGAAAGAAACTGGCGACTAATCACACTCTTCTCATGCACTATCTCTTTGTAGAGACGGCCACTACGGGCTTTGGCTTGACGACTCTTTCGAGAAGGGCGTCAGCAACACGTGCCCGACTTTTGGCAACGAACCCTTAAGCGACGAGGGGACGAAGTTTGATGTCTTAGGCGTTGAAATCTGGTATATCGGATCATAAAGAGTTGTGGGGGGGGAAGGGGGGGGTTGGGTTGGGGGAACTGGAGGGATGGAGAAAAACCAATATTCACTTCGCACTTTCTTCTCCTATGGCCAATAGCTGAATCTGATGATGTGTTAATTACTCTCTCTGTAATTCATGAATGGATTATTTTATGCGTGGGACTTGTGTCTTGTCTTCTATTCGGGGATGACATGAACAATTCAATTATGCACGTGTCACCAGCCTTTCTTAACTATCTCTCGAGCAAACCATACATCTAACCAAACGATGTCTACTTGAACGGACGTTGATTCACCAATAACGGTGTATTCCAACGTATGAATGTGACATTTTGAAGGGCATACTAAAGGGTAAGCAACTAGGTAGATGTATATATATGCTATTAGTTGACTCTGTTCCGCAGGGGAGGAAGTGGCTATATATACATCATCTCTCCAGACCTATAAGCAAAGGGGCAGGGGGGTGTACTCAACGATTCTTGAGTGTCCTACGAGGGTAAAGTAATATCAATCCAACAAGAAAATAACTAAATATACATTCATATAGTTAGCTTACTAGGCATACAAATTTGCATGGTCCACTCTTCATTTTCCGTGCGAGTTCATTGCCTATGTAGTAAGTATGCTAATCGCGGTTTTTGTGATTCTGCTTTCCGCTCTCCGCTCTCCGCTCTCCGCTCTAACAAGAAACGCCAAGACTTAGCGGCTCCCGACCACATGTAGCCCTGAAGAACAGAGAGTCCGAATTAAACTAGTATAGTTAACAATACGAAGTACTGGTAACTAGTGCTTTTGATTTTAAAAACTCAAAAATCACTAAATAATGTTTCATTTTTCCATTCCATTACTTTCTCTCTTTAAAGCTTGAAGAGGGTAGGTAGGCTATATACAGAAAAGAAGAAAAGGCTCGACCTGCTCAGATACCCTTCGGGCCTGGTGGACACTTAAAAGGAAGCATTCAAGGAAATGGGTGGCCAAGGAAAAGCACGCCTCAGCCGCGCGGATAGGAGGCAATTGGGTAGGGGAGGGGAATGGGGAGGGAGGGAAGGGAAGAAGGGAACATTAATGGGAAATAGAAACCCACGAATAAAGATGAAAAAATACATGTAGAAAATTAAAATAAAAGAATAAAAGAATAAAAAGCTCAACTTAAAAAAAAAAAAAAGAAAGAAAGAAAACACACGCCTGAGCTTGTGAAGATGTAGAAAATAACCACATACCATCAGTGGCTGCCCCAGGTCAAGACTGGAAGAAAAAAGTGATGTTAAGGAAAAAAGGGGACTGCTGAACTGGATAAGAAAATGACCACCGGAAATGGAGAAGAAAATAGCAAAATAAGCATAAAAATAAAAATAAAAATAAAAAAGGTCCAACACCTTGCAGAACCGCTCCGGTCCAATTGAATTAATAAGGACTATTTACTACCTCATTCCTCCCAAGGCGCGCACTACTTCTCCGCCCAGTGCTATGTCGGACAGGACCCGCAATACTCTCTCTCGTCGGCCTCCTAAACGTCTGCTTCGCAACCATATTGACCTCATTCGGCAGCGCAACAATAACATTCTTATCACTGCCATACTTGAAGTTATCCGCCTTCACTTCCTCTGCATATCTCTTAATCGTGTAGGGGTCCTTGCGGCCCTGAAGCACCTTCTTCATATTCCACGTGACGATGAACGGCCCCGTGGCTGTAATGATTGACGTCTCTGAGGAGTCGCGGCCGGTATTGAAGCGGGCGGGCGTGAAGGAGATGCGAGTGCCGGTCTCGTGTTGGAACTGAGCGACGTGGTTCGGCTGCAGGCCTAGTCGGCGTGGTTGGGGCTTGGAGTCCTTTGCAAATGATTTCTCGAAGCCGAGTTTGCCCTCATTTTTGCCATCCTTTTGAAGAGAATCGACCAAAAGGAGGTATGTGCGGCATGTAGCTAGGACCCAGCGGCCGTCGGCGGAAACATCTAGACCGATTATTGGTTCACCAAGAGCAGGGATGTGCGTCTTCGCCCGCACGCCAAACTTATCGAACATGCGGATGTCACCTTTATTGGAGGCGACTGCGACATAGCCCTGCTCTGTGGTCGCAGCGGCAGAGAAGTCGTTATTTTTGACATATTCTTTGAGGTCCTTTTGCACTAGTTTGTTTCCTGAGAGGCGAGGGTCGATGCGGAATAGGGCATTGCGAGAAATACCAACGAATTGCTGGTTGGAGGTCATTTGGGCGAATTTCTAGATAACAGTTAGTTTGAGAACATTAGAGGTTTTAGAATATAAAGGGCGAAAAATAAAAAGGGAAACACGTACGCTTTCAGGCGCAAATGAAGTTACGGGAATGTCATCGTGAACTTTCCATTCATCAACAACTTTCCCGTACTCAAGATCCATTCTGTACAAGGAATGAGGATCCTGTTCATTCTGCAAAATCATGTTTGAATCCTCGCAATGAAGCATGACTTTCTTGGGGCTGAAGAGCTTTCCACCTGGCGTTTCGACCTTGGAGATGTTTGTAGAAAACTCCAGATTATTGTTTGGCGTATGCTTGAAGACGCCAATTTTGGATCCCCGAACAACATACGATCGATCGTGTTTATACCCCACAGCTAGCTGGGAGTTGACGTTTCCGTCTTGATCCCGGGTAAGAACGTCGTCGTCCTCCTCGTCCGTATCGTAATATTCGCTGCGTTGGCCAACGTCTTCTTCCTCCTCAAGGACCTCTTCCTCGTCCTCCTCTTCTGTCTCTTCGGGTACGTCTTCCATAGTGAGATCGTTGAAAGCCTCAAGTACATACTCTCTA